AATTATAATACGAATTACGACTAATATATATCTTATATCTATTATTAGAATTATAACTACTACGCCTCTAAATATTAAGATTAATTTAAAATTAAGAGAATCTATATACTATAACTACGATAAGAAAGACTACTATCGAAGTATCTATATAATAACTATCTAAATCGAGGTCGATAAAAAGGCCTTTAAGAAGGCGCGACTTTACGCGATAGAAATAAACGAAGAATTCGAAATCGATAACGTCGATATTACGAATAGCGACGATTCTTCTTCGAATTCGAAAAACGAATAGCCTCTTTTAAAGTTATAGTAAGAGATACTTATAAAGTATATCTAATAGATACTCTTAATAACGCCTTAACACGTCGTCCTTTTCATATATAAGTTACGCTATCTTTATAAAAAAGAAAGTACTTACTTTAGAACTCTCTTATAGATAGTAAATATATCGATACTTATATAGTTATAAATAAGTTCTTAATCTTAGCGATATATAAGGCCTTATATCTAAAATTACTTCTACTATTACGATCTAAATTACTAAGAGATTATAACGACTAGATCGTAAAACGATTAATTATATATTATTTATTTTTTACGATAATAGTAGAGAACTATCGAGAAGAAATATATTTAATATTAATTATATTATTAAAATACGATATAATAGTTGAAAAATCTTAAATAAATAAATATAGGGTAGTTCTTAATATATTATAAAATAAGATACTCTTTCTATTTAATCGATATAATTATAATAATAATTAGATATTAATAATAAACGAACTCCTCTTTCTATTAACTTCGAAGCTTCGGCTACTTATATTACTTACTCTCTTATCTATTATACTAAAACGATAAAGCTCTCTCTTACTCACCTACGATAACGAGACTAATTTAAATATCTTCTTTTTAAATAAGAATGAGAATAATAAGAAGTCTAAGTTTATTAATATCGCTAAGATTAATATAGCGGTCTACTATTAGCTAGCCCGTAAAAAAGATAATAAGCTATTTATATTAACGATAAATAAGATCTATAATAACTCGCTAATATTATATATATCTTATTATCGAATATCTCGCGATTCCCGTATATCGATTAATAAACTCTATCTCTATAACTTAGAAAAGAAATATAAAAGATATTATAATTCTTATTATCTTATTTAGATTAATAGTATCGACGAGATTAGTTTTAAAAAGGTAAAATATAAGCTATCTACGAAGTATTACGACTATCTCGATATTTTCGATAGAACTAAGACGAATATACTTTTCTTATATCGTTCTTATAATTATAAGCTAAAATTTAACGATAGCTTCGATAAAACGAAACTTTCGAAAAGTAGAATCTATTTAATATTAGAATATAAACTAAAATAGATAAAGAAGTATCTAAACGAATATCTAAAGAAGGGATTTATAATATTAAGCTATATACTATTCGCTTTATTTATCTTATTCGCGGAAAAGTCGAATAAAGAATTACGTTTTTATATGAACTATCGAAAGCTAAACGCTATTATTAAAAGAAATCGATATCTAATTCTATTAATAGATAAGGTTTTAATAAGAATTTAGGAATATAAATACCTTACTCGATTAAATATTATAGCCGCGTTTAATAAACTACGTATATACCCCGATAGCGAGAATTTTACTACTTTTATTATCTCCCTTAAAGTATATAAATATCGAGTTCTCCTCTTCGATCTAATTAACGGCTCGGCTATATATTAATAATATATAAATAATATTCTATTCGAATATCTAAACGACTTCTATTAGATCTATCTCGATAATATACTTATTTATAATAAGATAAAAAAGAAATACATTTAATACGTTAGATAAATCCTTTAGAAATTAAGAGATATCGACCTTTAGATAAATATTCTTAAATGCGAATTCCACGTCTAGAAAATTAAATTTTTAGGCCTACTAGTATCTATAGACGGGTTATAAATAAACTCTATTAAAATTTAGACTATTATCGAGTAAACTATATCTATTAACCTTAAAGAGATATAGGCCTTTATCGAATTTTATAATTTTTATCGACGATTTATTAGAGACTTCTCTAAAATAGTTAAATTTATAATAAAATTCACGATAAAAGAGGCTATATTTAATTAGTCCCCAGTATATTAAGAGGCCTTTTACTTTCTTAAAGTCGTCGTTATTAAAGCTTTAGTTTTACGTTATTTCGATAGAATAAAGAAGGCCGTTCTAGAGACTAACTCTTTCGACTACGTTAACGAAGATATTCTTTTCTTAATATAACGATAAGAGAGTACTTTACCCGATAGTCTTCTATAGTAAAAATCTTACTTTAGTCGAGTATAACTATTAGATCTACGATAAGAAGTTACTAGCTATTATTCGCTATCTTAAATACTAGCGTTCTAAATTAAAATATATCGATATCTCTATTAAGATCTTTACGAACTATAAGAAATTAATATACTTCGTCGAAGAAAGAGACCTTAGTCGTCGCTAGGCCCGCTATTTAAATATACTATTCGAATTTAATATAAAGATTATCTATCGATTAGAATCTTAGAACGTTAAGGCGAATATACTTATACGAATAGCTAGATATAAATTAATCGATCTCGAAGATAAACGATTATATTAATAGTATTAAATAATTCTTATCTCTAATCGATTAAAGTTAAATAGCGAAAGTATCGATATATATATAATTAACGACTCTATCTATTATAAGATAGTAGAGGCTAATAAGAAAGAATAACTATTATATGAAAATTCGTAACGCTATCGCCGAAGATAAGAATAAGTTTCGAGGAATTACTCTTAATAAGTGCTTCGTATAGAATAGAGATACTTTATTATAAGAATCGTTTATAGATATTCGATAATATATATATCGATATTATTCGAGAGATATATAATTAATTATTCTACGGCTATTCTAGAGATAGCCTATATCTATAAACTACTTAAAAAGAAAGTATTACTAGCGAGAAATAAGGGCGATAATAGTTATCTATATTTCGAAATTACTATATCTATTAGAGGGCTAAGGCGTCTCGCGATCGAAAGTATAATTTACTATAGTCTCTATTAATTTTATAGAAACGATAATAAGATATATCGATCGACTTCGTTATAGGCTTATCTATATTCGATAACTATAACGCTATTTAAGTAGTAATCGATTAGTTTATTAAGAAACGTTACTACGTAGTCTATTTCGATATTAATAAAGATACTATCGCTAAGAAGATAGTTAACTTACTACTTAAGAAAGTATTTCGTCTATATAATCTATCGATCTTAATAATATCAAATTAAGGCTCTTAATTTATAGCTATTATATAAAAGTCTTTTTATAAGAGACTAGATATTATAGTTAAGCTATTAATAGCCTTTTACTCTAAAATCGATAAATAGATCGAATAAGCGAATTAGAATATAAAGCGTTATCTTCGAATATACTATAATTATATATAGAACGACTAGATAAGATAGCTATCTATTATCGAGTTCGTCGATAATAATACTATCTTATCGACTACTAATATCTTATCTTTTCTTATAAATAAGAGATTTTATTCTCGAATAACTTTTAGCTCGAATATTATCGACTATAAGATTATATATAAGCGTCTTAATACTACTTAAACGAAGGATATTACGAATTATATAAAATAAGTTCTTAAGTATATTCGAAGTAATATAAATCGCGCTTAGAAGGCTATAATTATATAAGTTAATAAGTATTAATAAAAGATTACTTTTTAAATAGACGATAAGATCTTTCTAAGTAGTAAGAATATTATCTTTAATCGCTCTTCTCGTAAATTAAATTATAAGAGACTCGATTTATTTAAGATTATAGGCCTTATAAAAATCTTATATTATCTAAAACTTTTATTAAGTATAAGAATCTACGACGTCTTTTATCTTAATCTCTTAAGTCTCGCGGTAAATAACCTCTTATTAGAGTAGATAAATCCTTCGCCGAAGTATATTACTATTAATAATCGAATCGAATAGATTATTAAAGAAATACTTATCTTTAAATTAATCTATAGTCGTCTCAAGTATAAGATTAAATAAGAAGGTCTCGATAATAACCTCGTCTAATATAATGCGAACGGCGGTAAATTCGAAAATTGCTAGAATCTAATAGACGACTTTTATAAGCGATATCTCGAAGAGTTTTACCTATAAAGAATTAACTAATAGGATTTCGAAACTACCTCGAATACCCCGTTTTTAATCGAATTAAAATCGTCCGATATCTTCGCAATAGCCTTATTTTTTTAGGGCCGAGAATCGATCCCTTAGGCCTATATCGATCGAAAATTATATCATATATAGTCTTTCGCGTAGGGTCCCCTTACTAATTAATATTTAAGTATCTTTCGAAGTTATAGTACGTTATCTATAAACCTTACTATCGCCGTCGATAGCCTTTATCGATATCGGTTATATAATATCCTATGAAGAAACTTACTTAATATTAAATTAGGGTTCTTAGCGCCTACGGCTCGATTCGATTCGAGAGCCCTCGACTAATTACGTCGTATTATTTCACCGATATTTATCCGCTTAGATATGGATTCGAAAATTACCACTAATTACCCCTACGCCTATAGACATTATTTTCGCTATACTATATCGATTTTCTTTTAATCGGGCTTTCTATATACGTCTAAACTACGGCTAACGACGTCGCTATAGTATAACTAAGAAGAGCTACTACCGTTACTAATATCGCTCTTAAAGAAAGATATTATACTAGAAGATTTCAAAAACGATTATTTCTTTCAAATACGCATGAATTCAGTGCCTAAGCGAACCAGTCGAAAGTTCTCTCACGAATACTGTGCCATTACATGTGCATATGAAAAACCATACATTTCAGGACAGAGCCCATCTCGTAGTGCGAATGTCCGGATCTTGATATGTATCTTAGGGAATCGCATGGGTATAAGGTGACATGTCAGTTGAAGAACATGAGCGAATCACGAGAGCTTTTGGCGATGGGATGTTTGTTCAGGGTGAAAGAAGTCTAGATGAAGTATAACATTAGACCTTTGCACTGTGGAAGGGGGAAGCAGCTCCTACCTGTCTTGCCACGCTTGCAATTGACCCTTGATCGCAACGTACTGACACGTGCTTTTTGCCTTCGTAGCGCCTCTGCGTCGATCCGTTTCACGCCTTTCGAAATTCCCATTGCCTTTGAATCGCTCGCGCTGAGTGGTGCTTTAACTCTCGATTGCTTTGCGCATTTTTCATCGTCCAAAGAAGTCGACACTGTTTGTTTTGCGCTCTTGCTCTTACGTCCGAGCTTCCTTTTCCGTGGCTTGTTCGTTGCTTTATTTCTTGGTGGGTTGGAACTTTGATGATGATCTGGGAGGTGTCCATCGGACGCATTTGATTCTCCGCGTCTAGTCATGTTGCCACCGTGCGCAGGGCTCGGCGACCTTGACAGTGACGATTCATCGATGAACTCTGGATAGTACGGAATGCGCATCGCATCCATTGAGTAGTGAAATCCACGCGGTCCATTCGGTCCCGTATTCGTATCCCAAACCCATCTTAGAAATTCAGCTCTAGAGAGATGGGTCTCACGACCCTGAATTTTGTTACCCTTTGCCAGCTCGTCTTTCAGGTATTGAAAGAAGGGTGAGCCTGTTTCTCTATTGGCAACATGGTAGCGTTTCCCAAGCCAAGCCCGTACAGCCTTGACATCTGTCCAATCGGGTTCGGACATAGTGTATTATGAACGTCGTGCTGAATATTGTAGTAGCTGACCGAGAATGGATATTCCCTTTTATTGATTCCGATATGAAATGGTATATGAAGGTCGACACCAGAAGTTCTGAACGCCAAACCTTGTATGGCCCAGGTAAAACCTCTTTGGCTGGGACTGAATCCTAAAACATTCTGACGTCGATCTTCTTAAAGATCGTCACTGAATTGCTCAAACAGTTGTTTCAAGGTTCAAGTCACAGCGAAGCTTTACTTGAAGTTACCCCTCGGTGTTTCGCGCCATCCCGATACATTTTCCAGCAGCCAATGAGATGGTCGTATAAAACGCTTTGTGTCCCAAATGCACGTGGGCGTCAGTATATCCAATAAGACTGACTGCCGCAGCTGAAAAGACTCGGCTAGCCGTATCATACATTTATAAGATACCTAGTCATACGGTCAGCGGGACTCAGCCTGATCTGTGCACTGCCGTTCCATTGGATATCGTTATGACCTAATGATTTACAAACCCAACTTATCTTCGGACAGTACCCCTCCGACAGTCCCCCGTCCACACTAATGCAGCCTCCCGCGCAAGATCTACACATTAAGCTTTCAACCCCCGTTATTATTAGCAACTCAGCTAAAAAAGCCTGGTCCCGGGGTGTCTGCGCTTGATAGCTTAACAATGCCTCCCCCTCTAGGGGGCTCGTCCTCGAGCTCCGAAAGACAAAAATCGCAATGTTCCGGGGACTCCTTCCCCGACGATTTTAAGGATAACATGCCCTATGCTCCGGAGGTTTACTCCCCCGAAGACTCCTAAATGCCCGCACATTGCGGGGCTTCAAATTACCTCTAGGGTTTTTGCCCACGGAGCTACTACCTAAGTGAAAGAACCTTAGCCCCGCCTTTACACCGGTGTGTAATATGGGAATAGGGCTGTATTCCAGGCCTATAGCCCCGCCTTAGCGCATATAAATCTTAGGCTTGTTTTGACCGGCCTCGGGTTTCTTCCCGGGCGTCTGCTTGCTTTTAGGGCTTTCACCCTGGGGCGTGGGCCCTACGGGGGCCCTGCGACGGCCTTACGGGGCCCTATTTAGGTCCAAATAGGGGTGTCTGGCTATCAAGCGCAGACACCCGGGACCAGGCTTTTTTAGCTGAGTTGCTAACAATAACGGGGTTAAAAGCTTAATGTGTAGATCTTGCGCGGGAGGCTGCATTAGTGTGGACGGGGGACTGTCGGAGGGGTACTGTCCGAAGATAAGTTGTTACAACCCCGCCACCAGATGCAACACCCTGGAAGAAACGAAAAATTCAATTATAGATTATGAAATATCATTTCTAAATCTTTAAGAATTCTTAAGATAATAAAATACGCTTTCTATAATCTAAACTCTCTAAATTTATTATTCTATTACATAGTTTTACTACTTTAACTTCGATTATAAAAAAAATTATAATTTTAGAAATTATAATTTATAATTTATAATTTATGTTTTTATATTTTATTTTTTAAATTACTGTTGTGAAGCGACGAGTTATAAAGATTTAAATTTAGAGTATTACATGTATAAGAGTTTTACATCCGAAGGTGATACTAAGTAGCCTCTACGAGTTTATCTTAGTCCTGGAAGTAGTATATTATGGTGTAAAATATATCCAAATATAGTCTTCAGCGCTAATCGTACGAATAAAGCATTGAGCTGGTCACATTCAATGCATGTGAGAATCCGCGATCGACGCAGATGTACGCTGTGCCTTGTCTTTTAGCTCTTCTTTATTTCGTATTCGATATGCAGGAGTGGTTCCATGCTTCCGTGGGGTTTGGACTTCACCAAGTCGATCCTCCTCAGCGCTTCACGTGAAGAGGGGGCAATGCATAGACATGGTGTGCAGCATTCATATGAATTTTTTCTCACCGGGCGGTTAAACGCTTCGAGGTCTCTATCAGCCGTTGCGTGTACTCAAATATATCAGTATCTGCTCTCAATTTGACACAAGATACCGGTCTTCTAGCTCAAAGACCTGCACTGACCTAACATCTAAAACTCTTGTCCTCACGCTACACAAATTAGCCCACTGTCGCCCTTACCTTCCGATGTCTCAACCAACGGAATCGTTGGAGCCTGAACCCTCATTACTCGACTACGCTCGAGGGAGACGCTTGAAAAAGGGCGGACAAGGAACTGTCTACCAGTATATCAACCGTCAAACGGGGCCCCTCTATGCTGTCAAAGTCATAGAGTACAACTATGAAGAACATCACTCACAAGAAAGACCACAGAGTGAGATCAACATGCTAAGGGAGACATATGTGTCACAGCGTTTAGCACACGTAGGCTTCCTTGTCACCCTGTACCATTGCAGAGGGCTAAGTTGAATCATAGGCTCACCTACTTCGCGCGGATGCAGTCTTCGAGTAAGAAGACGGCTTTGCAATCATCATGCCTTACTTTCAGCAGGGTAATCTGCGACAAAATCCTCCTCGCCTGACCGAATTGAGAGAGGCTGTACGTCAGGTTCTAGAAGCTTTGCGTCACTTACATGAGAGAGGTCACATTCACCGAGACATTAAACCGGACAACATCCTCGTGTGAAATGAGAAAGACCAGCCCCTCGATCTCGTCGTCGCCGATTATGGCTTGGTATCCTTGGACAATCCGGTCTCCTTCTGCGGATCACCGGGGTATGCGGCGCCAGAGGTAGTCCGAAATGGCGCTGTCCCGAAGAACCAACGCCGTCCCTATACTCAAAACGTGGACATCTATGCTTTAGGCATGCTACTCCTGGACATTCTTGGCGTCAATCCGCCGAAGATGTGGATACAGAATCGCAAACAGTTCAACAAGTACATCAGTGTACCAATAGCTGAACAGCTAGATGCGAGCGAACCAGATCAGATCGAACGTTGCGGCGCTCTATCGACAGTAGGCAGCATGCTACATTTTGACCCCAGCGATAGACCTTCCGTAGACAAATGCCTGCGCCTCCCATGGCTTAGCGAAACAATAACGACACCGCTAGCAGCACAGCTGCCTGGGACACCCTCAAAGCCTTCCGTCGTTATTCCTCTAGCGAGTCTTCCAATAGTCAATGACGAGACATGGTGGCACAGCAACCCCCGGGCAGTCACTCCTACACAGCAGGTCACACAGGATAAAAAGCTTGGCCGTCACTATGATCTTCGAAAGAAAAGGCAGGCAGAGCGACACAATCCAATCTCGGTCCCAAAAAAGAACAGAGTTCAGAAAAAGCATTACGAGTCACTACCAACCCCAAGACTGACGCCGGACAACAAGAGGAAAGGTCAGGAGGTCTACAACTCCCAGCCATTAGAGGACCCTCAAGGACAGACACTTCGGAAGGAGGCTCGCTAAATTTGCGTCGAATACCGATCAAGAGATCTCCCAGGAATCCAACAGCCTCCCCACTTGGGATAAGATGGAACTGTCTGATTGAGTACTCTCAAGACTAGCCCTAGCTTTACTCTGTACGACCTTCTCTTTTGGTTCTCATGTGTCTAACAACGCTCGCATGACCCAAGTTCTTGCTCATTATTGTCTCGCCATGCATCGATGTTTCCTACATGTTCATTTTGTGGAACGTGTACTAAGTACCCAGACCCCCAAGCCGGACCCCCCAAGGTCGCTACCGACGACACCCCCGTGAGCAATTTAAGAGAATCGTCTAATTCCGAGCTCGAAATCAGGCTGACGTTGATGAATGCCTCCCTAAAGACTTCCCGTCGTTGCCAACATGTATCCGATATCGAGTGCAGCTTCCGGGCTGCAAATTGCTGTAGATTACGCACTATACGCAACTTGCAACTTGAGATTTTCTCGCGGGTTCCTGGTTTGCCGATGTAGTTGTATTCTTTCAAAGACGCATTTATAGTTCAAACTACATAGATCTAATTCACGACTTTCTTCTACAAGTTAAAGATAACGATATTCACCAGCATATTGTAAGCACTGTTAGCCACCAGGCCCTAGGCCCAAAAACGCGAGGGTATCGCGCTTCATGCACGCATACACCCTATTAAGCCCTATAAGCTTAGGTATCAGTCAGAATCAGGCCTGACACATATCGCAATCACATCCATGCTTAGGTCACTACGCCCAAAACTTGGCCTCGACGCAAGTAGAGGGCCGAGACCCACAATAGAATATAGACAGACGGACCGTCTTCGACGAAAATGGCCGGCCACCTAACCCTTCGTGACTCTCTAAACCTCGTGCCCTACCCCCAATGCCCCAGTGAATCCATCCATCTCAGTCTCTTCGTCTCCAAGAACCATGAATCCCCTCCCTCCCGTGTCCTGCGGCGCCAATGGGCCGGTATGACTTCGTCTCCCGGAGGGTACGGCCGTCCTTCGATGCGATACTGAACCCGGGGATGATTTTTTGAAAATGTAGTTGGAGGCGAGGTATCTGAAGAAAGGTTTGAAAGCGATGGTGCAGCTGCATATGAGCCCGGTGTTGACCTCGAGGACCCTGTGAAATGTCAGTCGCTCAGGATTGCAAGATTGTGAAGAGATGGAATGCTGTGTCAAGACGCAGTGGCGTGGATGGTGAGTACATGGTAGAGAACGAATGACTCACATCCAGAGCAGGTTCTTTCCGTCATACCATATGATATCGGTCGCGGAGTATCTACGAAGTAGGAAGGCATAGCGAACGAGGGCAACGACAGAGGCACTGGTGGGTTTTAAGCTTCATGTCACGGAACAACTGCGTTGGCGGTGGACCCTTACATGGCTCCACCCATGAAAATGAGGATGACACCTAGCTTGTTTTCCCGAGATAGCTTCAATCGCCAGATCATTGGTAGAGGTAAGATGAAGATAAGGACATCTGTGATGAAGTTCATCGAACCATATAAAAGGTCTGCCTTGGTCGAGGGGATGCAGTGACCGGGAGTCATTGACTTCCAGTATTTGTCGATCGGTGTGCAGCCGAATATCAGAGTCAAAAGATTGCTAGATAGGTAACCAAAAACGAGGAACATGACTGTCCAGGTAACGTATCTAAACGGCTTATGCACATCGAAGAGACGGAGATAGAGAAGGAGAATAGTAAATTTGTACAACCATAAGGTGGAAAGATAGACGGCAGAGATGATAAAGAGCCACTGGTATGAAACTGTTGTCAGCAATATCAGAGCAAATGCCGAGAGTCTTATACCTTGTAATAGAAAACAAAACGATCAGGTGGAACGTCGGCAGTGTGCCAACCAAAGCCATAATTCGTTCCTAGAGCTTGGTGAGCAGGAAGGTTTACACTTAAGGGGCAACAGGTATACCTAAACCAACAAGAACACTGAAGGCTATGCAAAATGGCTGTTCGGATCTCATTAGTAAGGCTACAATGAGTAAAGGCTAGCGTAAGCATCACCAAAGTAACCAAAGAAGCATCTGTATTGTGTGAGAGTGAGGCCTTGAAAAGAGAAAGGTGGGGTAGCTTACAGTCATCCCGGCCAATGGAGTGAGTAATGAAGATTCTGGTCCAAATACGAATCGCTGCAAACAGACTGGAGAAAATAGGAGCAACGATGCAAACAACTACAATGGTATGTTGCTGGGTCGAAGGATTAGTATTGATAACCATGGCTGGTGAAAAATTATCATAGAGGTAAAGAAACAATGAGAGAGCATTGTCCGGGTCACAAAACATTTATGGCTGAGGAGACACAGAGGCAAGGACAGATCGTCACGAGCGTTCTCCGACTGGATCCGACTGATCGGTACAAGGCTCTGTACAGGAAAAAGGAGGCGAAAGCCGAGGCATTTGACATATGAGTCTGTCAATAATGGATGCATACGAAATCGACATGTATTTCTGCCATCGATGCATGTAGAACCTTTCTCGGACCATAGATACGGTGCAACAATTGCCGTTTTGCTGCCCATGTCCGTATTTATTTGCTTAAATTGAAATCCCCACAGGTAGGTGAATGTTTTCGACAAGTTCAAAGGAGCTGAGTACCCTTGTGCTTAGACATTCGACAGGCTCGAGGGAGAATGTGCATGCTTGTTGTAAATTCCTCGGTGCTGATCTAAGTAGCAATCGCACCACCCCCTCCCACATTCTCATGTTGTATATGATCGACTTTGCAGGGAAGCTGCATGTATATCGATGAAACCTTCCGAAATGAGAGAAATCGACAGCTTTAAGCGGCGAAGGATCTTGAGACAACTTATTCGCGCATTGCTCTTTACATGTATGAGACTTCGAGGGGCACTGGCCATGTAGCCAAGGACTCAGCTACTGCAAAGAATGACCTGCATAGACATGACGTTTTCACTTGTTACTTCCGTGTCTTGGCTTACTGGGGAAACTTCTTCATCTGGCCGAGCCAAAGCAGCCATAAATAGATTCGGGCTGCGGAAATATCGGTGTGGATGAGAGTGACGGCGGTGGTGTCCCCATACGAAGTTATTTTCGTTGGAAGATGTCATGATACCTTAGTACGGCCTCAACCCCGCGATTTTTTGATTTTCTCTCTTCTTTAAGGGGTGCTTTTTGGGGCGGCAACTCTTGGCGGTCACTATTGTACTCTTCTTTGCATGGTCCTCGAGAAGAGTGCCCCAGAAGAGCGCGCCTTAAAGGGATCAGATCATTCAGAAATCAAGAACCAAAAATCGCCGATTGGGATACCGTGCATGAGTGGTCGCCCACCATGGGCCAATCATAGTAAGCGGGATTGGGAAAGTTCGGGCCTCTTTGTGGTGCGCTTATGTGCCCGCAGGAACAGGCACAGTGAAGCATGTGATGTCGATCAATAGCGCAGGATGCAAAAAAGGAGGCCTGAATGAATGGTTGGGGTTGCCTAAATCCTAATGAAAGTACCGTATAAACTGGCATACAAAACACTACATCGTTATAAGACATCTTTGCATACAAAATACTGTTCCAAATGACCATTTTCAGACGTAGGCCATGATCAGACAGTAAGAAAGCAGTCCCACAGCCTGCTTAGTAATGATACTTAATCTTTATATGAAGCTAGGTTGCTCCGGGCCGAAGCGACTTGGTGAGGTAGCTAATCAATCCTCCGGAATCGCTGATCCTATAAGTGCTATCATCGCACCAATACTCAGGTTCAAGCCTACTTGGCTTCAGATTCAACGTCAGCTGGGAAATGGAATGCAACTCAGCGATACTACAGCTGGTCGAAGGATTGCTCAAGACTTGTCCGGGGAAATTCGGAAATAGCAGGAGAGCTTCGACTCGACATTAGCCGAAATCCAGCAGTCACACGAACACAAAATACGGGCCGCTTTATTACAAGAACAAGCTAACAAGTTCAAACAAGATTTTGCTGAAGCCAAGCATGATAGGGAGATGTTGAAGGCAGACTTTGAGAAGAGAGTCAAGGCGGACAATGAGCGGCGTAGGAAGCTAGCGGAAGAACAGCGTTCACAGGAAGATTGGCAGTCAGGGCTCAAGAACGCTGCAGTCGCTATGGGGATGATCAGCTTAGCCGGCTTCGCCGCCTATAAGTACCTCAATGGAACAACCATGAAATATTTGGTTTCAGGTTGAGGTAAGAATGTCTGCGCTTTTCAAAAGTCACAAGGTAACAAATATCAGGGATGCAGAATATATAGGCGTTTCGAAGTTGCTCAGGAGTGTTCGTATTAAAGTGGCGAGTTTGCTGTGAGATATAGAAAGCGTGTAGAAGTCATGAGGATCGCTAGAGAAAGCTAAAGCTCGGCGGTCAATCAGCATGCAACGAAACCTAACACTACCCGATAAATTACAAGCTTTCAATCACATAGGCTGCAATTGTTGGAGCGGTTCAACAGCCGATACCCATGATGGGACCCAGTGGACTCTAATTCTGCTCGGACTTGTGGCCCCTTCGTTTTTGCATGCCTGCCTAGCGAAGACTTGACGATCTTCCAAACTTGCTGTGCATAACGGAGTTTCTCAAAAGACAACCAACTCGGCGCCCATTGCACCAAATACCGCTTGGCACACTCGGCACGCAATCTTCGACCTCGGTCGGGGCGCCTTTGTAGTATTTTCTGAACTTCCCACAACCTGTCCGGGGATTCTATCGCATGTATCTTTGAGGCAAATGCGTCCTCAGGCAAGGTCCGCGTAAGTATCGGTGTAAATGTGTCATCGGTAAGCTGAGAGGCGGATTCTCCTGCCCGCGAGGCGGAAAGAGTGACAAAAATGTTGTTATCGCTGCTAGGAAATGTTGTAGTCATGAGGCAAGGCGATTCGACCCTTGGGGTAGAGTCAGTGAGTTGCTAAAGACGGCATTCATGACAGCTCACCATATTGTTCCAGCTCGTCACATCCGGATGTCACATCCTTCGTCTCGTTGAGTGCCGCTTCTCCTCTCACGAATTCAGGCCATCATTTGGGCATCCTAAAGACCGGGGACTGTGATATGCTGGGATGCATATCGCAGAAAGGAGCCATTTTACTGGAGATCTGTGTTAATAGATAAAATCAAACCAATTTTGTTGAACGTGCCTTTTGACCGCCATAGTCGCAGTAAAGGGTTCGCTTGAATGTGACAAAAGGTGCGTCCTCCGTTGGCGAATGAGAGTAGAAACTCAGGGCGTAGGCAGGCATTCATAAGATCCTCAAATTTACACAGGTACGCTCACATCGGTCGATCTACCCTCGATCAAGCCATCAGCTAAGGGAACGAGTAATCGATTATGCTCGTGAGTTGCACAACTGGAAGGCTGAGAATCCGTCTTGGAAGCTCGATCTTCGCGGTCGAGGCTCATTGCTTGGAGCAGACAGGCCCATGGATAGCGGCAAAGTGCAGCAGCCACGTCACTCCCTCGTTTCAACCAGCACCGATCACGAGAGTAGCTGCGTGCACGCACTGCACGAATATTAGTAGATCACAGCAGACTGCTGCTCGCATATAGGTCTGAAGACCTCTGGCGGTTGCTTAGATCCAGATCTGATTCGCCGATGGAGCTCACCCCCTCTCGCTCCAGGATGCAGCCTCTACTCCCTTCACCTTCAATATAGTCCTTACTCCCAAACTCTGAAACATCAGAAAAACGAGTCCGTGCCCTTGCCCAGAGTCTATTTTTCAATGACGATAGGATCGCGGAGCTCGAGTGGCTAGTTTCGAAAAGGTGGGAGTGAAATCCTGGTTCAGGCCTTGTTGGCGAGGAAAATCCATGTCTATCGCAATCAAAGCATACAATGTCGACGCCGCATATATTAGCTACGGTTGATATCGCCGCAAGCATGACCGTTGTCAGACAAATGCCCGTGCCGTGTTTGAACCACATCAGCGTCTGACCGTCGCTCAATTCTAGCCCATATCGTAAATGTTTGCGGAGCCAATCAGGCAGCTGGCGGTGTTGTTGATGGGGAACGAAAAACTTAGACGCAGCAGCCACAGTAGATCTCGATCGTGAAGTAGACAAGTCGGCTGATGGAGGCGCAGTGCAACAGATCGGTGCCGCCACCTGCCTAGACTGCGCCTTTGGTTGGAACGGCGCTGAGCAAGTCGGTCAACGAAGCCATAATTGGACACTTCATCCGAACCCTGTCAGTGGGCGGGGGGGCAGTGCATTCTCAGTGACGGTCGTTCTGGGCAGGTCTTCTGGCGGAGGCGCAGTGCAGCAGCTCGACAATAGCATTGGCGGCGTGAATCGTTGGGGACTGGAAATTTCGATCCTTGACCCAACTCTCGATCGATGGACGCGGCGTGCGGGAGACAAGGCAGACATGACGTGGGGTCCAGAAAGACGGTCTGATCATTCGGCAATGGTGCGCAAGGACGAACGTGATGGGCAAACAGCGAGGGATGTCGAGGGGTTTATATAGTCGTTCTGATATTCCGTGCAATAGCGCTATATCCGATCGGGGGTTAGCGTGGCCGCCCTCCCGCCTTGCCGGGTTCGTAGGATGGAAGGCGACAACCAGAAAATCAGGAGGCAGCTGCAGCCAATCAAATCGTTGCCTGACTTAATTATGTCTTGGCGTGTCTCTTGAATTACTCGTGGTGCTTGAGCTCTTTCGTATTCAGAGGGATGTTTTTTACAACGATTTGACTATTGATCTCGTGGATATTATGCATTTCATCTCACAAAGCTCTTTCTGAATATCGCAACATGTTGGACATTTGGTTCCTTTGTGGGCTCCCTTAGAAAGTGAACACAGAATACTCTAAGAACGCGATCACGCCCAAGCCATCAAGCTTGCAGCAGGTGGCAACCAAGCAGACCTCGGCCCCCCCAATTGCTCCTTGGAATCAGTTGCAGCGTCAATTCTTCTGTGTTTCGAACCACCTTCACAACGACGTTTCGCTAGACGCAAAATGAGGTCAGCGAGAGCTTCGGACGTCAAGAGAAAAAGGCTTACCCCTTGGTTCCTTTGAACGATCTCCGCGACCTTACTCAGCTTCTCGTGATTCAACCAATTGACGTCTCCGAACCTCCGTACCCGGTCACCAGCTTTCAATCCCGCATCATCTGCCGGACTCCCAGGCACAACGCTATTGACCTTCGCAAAAGGTGTATCAATCAAGCCTTGATCCGTAGCAGCGCTTCCACTTCTCATAGGCTCTTGGCTGGAGCCTGAGGCAAGTGAAGAATTCGAGGCTTGATACGAAGCATGGTGTTCATGTAGACCCAGTTCGATTTTTGACATCAGAGTCTTGTAGTCGTTCCGTAAATATACTATGCGTGCTCTTGTTGTTCGTACTATACCCTGTTGGCAAACCAGACTCCAAATTTGTTGGAGGGAGGCTACGCACTCTGGGCGATGTCGAGGTCATCTCGTGGGTAGCCGTCAAAGGTTGTTAGGGGGGTGTTCATGTTGACGCCATGCTGTGGAAGAAAAAGATCAGCCAGCTGCTGGTCTCATGGGTAGAGATCTTTATAAATCGTAACACACGCTGTCTAGAACGCTCCCCAAAGCAGTAAGTTCCTCCTCAACTCTCGTTTTCTCAGCAATCAGATCCATTAACGAGAGCTTGTCCTTGCCCACGCCATCTGCGGCTCTCTGCCCTGTGGTAGGTCCAGAGGGAACCGTGGGTGTATGTATGTCATCCATATACAATCCCATGCTGTCTGTCAAAAGACGAATATCTCTCAAGAGAAAGTGTAAATAGCTGGTGCAGCGGAAAGCTCCAGATTAGCGCGCTTTTCGCGGCTGTCGACGAACATCTCCCCGCTCAAGCTTCGACCAAATCCTGTTCTGTACGAAACTACTGTACAATCCCACGATTCTGCCTACATCCATCATGCTCCGCCAATCCATCATCCAAACCCTTAGACCAGGTTTCTGCAGCGCTGTATACCCAACCAGCCGAACCCTCGCCACCACCGCCAGCAGAATGGGCGAAGGAGACACTGGGGCAACTAGGTCTGGGGGTTCTGCTCAAGGGTAAGTTCTTAGCTCCGGAAGCGTTTTCGAGAATCACCCTTCGATGTCTTGCGTTAATGCTAATTCGTTCCAATAATAAAGGGACGCCTTCAGCAAACGCGAGCAAGCCGACGAGAACCTCTACGTTCGTCGACAGGAGCAAGAGAAGCTTCAACAGTTGAAGAAGAAGATTGAGGACCACAAGAAGCATTTGGATGATCTGGATAAGCACGTGTATGTATCATATGTGAGGGGGATGAGGGATTCAGGAATACTAATCAGGTGCGCAGGACGGATCAGATGAATTCGGGTTCGGAGAAGAAATAGGAGGGAGGTCTGGAAAGAGGGTACTTGTGAGGTTGACAGAGGCAGAGGAGAAATGTGTGAAGACTGGTAGCTACGTGTACCCGATGCAGGAGGTTCCCATTTCTGTGTGCCGAGCTGTTTATAAGCAGTAGCAAGGTGCTAGTGCAATGTACACCTCTCTGAAAGTGATTGAAACTGTGTTTGGTATCAAGTTCTATCGACCGCTCGAAAACAGCATCACAAGATTAAACATCTCATCATAATCTTACACGGAGCCTCGACATAAGCAGATGCTAGACAATTGCGGGACATGCCTTAATTAAACCGTTTCCCGGTCCTTGATGCTTTTTGTTATCTGGACGATCAAATTTCAAATCCTTTCTTGCAAAACTCAATCATCTTCGCCCCATGTAGGATCGATAGAAGTCATCAGCGGCATCACTGGTTGGACCACTTAATGGGCCGAAGCTTCGGCCCATCCTCTGCGCTTCTTGCACCTTCAACTGAAGGGCAGCGGCACCTTGATCAATCTGCTGCAATTGGGTAAGATGGCTGTTGAGAACTCGGACGACTTGGGTGAGCTGCATTAAGACGCAAGGTTAGCTATCATTGATTGGAAGATGAAGGCAAAAAGAAACTTACAGGATCATCTGCTTTGCCTGTCTTGCTGAGAGTAGACGATGCATCGTTGATCTCTTCGATCATATCGGTCAAATCCTTGCCCATTTCGTCTAGTCGCTCGGATAGTTTAGAAGCGATTTGGTAGCTTCGGGACATTATCAGCACACCTTTTCCTACAAATTAAGGGTGTTGTACATACGTTCTCTCCCTCTCTTGATCGGGCGCTGAGATAGTTTCACCTTGGCCACCTTGCTGGCTCGCTATCATCGAGTCCACTTCCTTCTCGTAATGATCAAGCCACGATTCCAGTGTTTCTTGATCGCTCTCGACAGCACTCAACTGCCTCTCAACCTCGGTGGTTGCTCGCTCCGCTTCCAAAGTACTACCATACAACTTCTGAATTTTCTCACTGTTTTCCACGAGCATACGATCCCACGTTGCTACTTTGTCGGCTTGCTTCTGGAATTCTTTTTGGTACTTTGATAGGTCAGAGGCCCATCTCGTGATAATATCATCCATAGACTTGTTTTTAAGCCGTGATTGGGCAGGTGGTGGGGGACCGGCTACTGACGCCCCCAACTTCACATTCGCAGCTCCGGAACCTTCAGCTGTGGCAGTCGTAACGGGCTGCGTTGTTGCTTGCGAGATCTCAGATGGAGCGCCGGATTTCGCAAAATTATTGAATAAGCTTGAAGTAGGGGCGGACGCTGACGCTGATGCGGCTGATGTGCTTGTGGCTTGAGAAGCGGTAACAGGGGCTTTGTCTTGCGGTTTCCCTATGTTGGGAAACAGACTACTAGAGGGAGCATTAGTAGAGAGTGCAGATGTGCCCGAGCTTTTTTGTGGACTGCTGAAGAACCCAAAGGCATTCGGTGCTGTTGGTGGTGATGATACAGGATTTGTTGCGGATGGTTGAGGTTGGTTAGCTCGGAGAAAGCTGAATTCGGGCTGGGAAGCACTCGTTGTTTGTGCAGAGGACGCGGTGGCGGAAGACTGTCCACCAAGGTTAGGGAACAGACTCGAAGCCTTTGGTACTTCGGATTGGGAATGCTGCGACGTAGCGGGCTTAGTCGCTCCTGTGTCCTGGCTTTTGTTCATGTTGAAGAGATTTCCTCCATCGGGTTGAGCCGATCTCTTATTGCCGAAGAGATTGGAAACACCAGCGCTTGTTGTAGATCCAAAGATACTGGGAGACTGCGCAGTAGATGTCGTCGCAGGAGCTTCTTTAGGCTTACTGGCTCCAAAATCGAACCCACTAAAGCCGCTGGACGGTGCTGCTGTCGAGCTAATGCCTGGGGCGGACGATTGACTGCCTAGGGTTGCAAAAGGATTGCTTGCATTCTGTGGAGGTTTACTGCCAAATAACGCGGATGCGCCGCCAGCACTGGTGCTTGGGGGTGGTCCGGCAGGAGTCGTAGAATTCCCAAAAAGATTTGTGGTGGGTTTGCTGGTTGGTGTGGTGGTATTTGTCTGATCTGCGGAAGATGTGTTCGAGCCTAGATTGCCAAAGGAGAATGCCCCGGTGCTGCCCGCGCCGCTAAACACACCAGGCGTTTGACTCGGTGCAGTCGCTGCTGTTTCTGAAGGTTTGCTCGGCGTAGAGAAGCCCGTGAATCCAGAAGAAAGCGCGGCGCTGCTTGAGGGTGCATTGTTCCGTTGTCCTGCCTGCCCAGTGCCAAAAAGTCCACCAGAAGTATTGTTGCCTTGCGCCTGGCTAAAGCTCCAACCAGATCCACCCGCAGGCTTGTTTGACTCTCCACCGAATAGGTTGCTGCCACCTCCTCCGCCACCAAAAAGAGAACTCCCTCCGGCCGTGGTTGTGTTGCCGAATGGATTTGCAGCCGACGATGCAGGAGGATTGACACTCGATCCGAACAGTCCACCGACTGGAGTCGAGGCAGTGGTATTTGCCTGGCCGAAGGAACTACCAGAGCTTCCACTCGTTGCAGGTTGACCGAAAGAGAACGATGTGGTAGATTTCGCTGGATCAGACATGGTGTTTGATAGTGGAGGTGTCGCTCTGGGACTCAGCAATCTGTTAGCCGTGAATCTTCGAAGAGGCATCTTGGGTTTTTGGAGAGACGTCTGAGGTTGCAGGCGATTGTACTTACCGGGAGGAGAAAGAGGGATGCCGTGACAATTATGGTAGATTCTGGATGTTACGAGTGAACACTTCAAAGCGGGACGCGATATATTGAACGCGAATTGTGCCAAGCTATACGAAATGTACCACGATCTCACCCCTATCGAGTCTAGGGTGACCGCCGCCTTATCAAGGATTGCGGTGCGAAAAGACCTCACTACACTAGTTAAATGAAATGGCGATTCCTAAAACTCTCACATCCTATTTTCACGGTTGCAAAGCCAGACGTAGGGCACATTTGTGGCGGTAATATCACCATAGCAAGAGGTCAGGTGGTCTGAAAGTTTCGCATCACACTCATAGCAAGAACAGATTCGGCAGATTTTATGTATAGAGGTGCCATCAAAGCCCATATACAGAAGTTTAATGGGAAAGGCTGAGCCCCTTCAATGAAGCCTTTCATGCATGCCTTGACCAGGGACAATCTCCTTTCATTTCAGTCATACCTGGTAAAGACTTCCGCAAAGCCACCACCAATAACTCAACAGATGAAGCCTCCACCGCCGCCAACACTTCCCATCGTACAGCACCTCGACACATCGGACTGCACACCTTCAGGGCACATTTTGCTCCGTTCTCAGAGTCGGTTGGAGGTAATCCTCATACCACTCCCCCCAGCAAGAATTGAGTGCCCCATTAGGCTGGATTAGGCACGCTCCGCCAAGTTTGCATGAACGACAACCATCGGGCAGCGCGGTTATCTATTGTGCAGAAGCCTTTCAACTGTGTACTTTCCCTTTCCCACGCCCGCAAGAGGAAACCCAGGTATCTTACGCAATCGCCGGCGAAGATGCTTGTCATTTGTTCCAAATAGATAAAGTATATACGATGCTGAAGAACCCTTGAGATGATGCAATTATCTGCATATGTCCCAGAATGTCCACGTTGCAATCTTTGCCATCTTGGATCTTTTGCCACACGGAGGGCCAGCCTGCAGTTGCCGCCCAGGTTTTCAAGCTCCCCAGTTATACAATCAGTAACCACAGGGACAAGTTTAGCAAAGAGCAGATCCATTAACCCTTCGAGTATGTCGACCTTGGCGCGGACAGAGGACCAAGTGCTTTATTTCCAGTGAAGAAGAGGTTTGACGGAATGTGGGGAATGTGTTGAATTTCACGGCTCTCATGCGCCTTCTGTGCCTTTGGCTTGAGGTGGCTGTCGCAGTGGCCCAAAATTGGGTCTACGTAACGTTGAAATTGTCAGCCTACCGGTTCAATTGTCATATAAGATACTATCATACAGACGAAACGTCCGCAAATTCTCTTTTGGAACCGTATCTTATAAGCGAAGGGGCCTTATGACACTGTGGTATCGTATGACCTAAAGTGATGCCACAAGGTCCACAAGGTTCTCAAAAAGGGCCTTATGTTGAACCAACATCGCCATACTGCCAAATATACGATCTTTAGCGCTCCTTCCAGGCTGTCTCCCCACCCAGCGTGGTGGTGTCTGTTGTATTCTATCAACCCCACGGGACTACGATCTTACAGTCTAAGAGTACATAGCCTACGTCTGGAAATAATCATTTTAGACAGTATTTGATATGACAATTGAACCGGTATTATTAATCTCTGCCCTGCCAGGCCAGCTGCCGACCTGTGCGAACTTCCGCGTTCTTTTTGCTATGCCTATTCCGTTTATTATCTAACAGCTGTCCAACGTAGGTACCTCAGAAACACTCGAACGTGGCGAAGCCAATGCACCTAAAGACTAGCGTGATTTCACATAAATTTAACGGGGTTTCTCATCTCATTCTCTTGCCAAGAATTGCGGAAGGTTAGCGTCTCACCACAACAGTCACTTGTTGTTTTCTACTCTCATTCTAAGAGCTGGTAGTGAATTCTTCTAGACACTCAATCCTAGCCAACTATCTTCTTCGAAATGGCAGATCTCTCTCATCCTCCCAAGAGCCCTACTCTGGTGCCTCCTCGCAAAAGTGTTGAGCTTGAAGATCCTGGGGCGCATGATCTGGGTGCGTAATTGCGCTTTTCAAGCTTCCATACGGAAGATGTCACTGGGCAGCTGCTTACCGTGGTCTAAGAGACGTCAGAGGCTGAGGAAGATGTGTTTTCGGATGCACAAGAGGCTCGGAATTCTCACTCAGGACCAAGCTCTCCTGTACCTACGACGAGGGTGGAAAAGGTCAACCACTCCTTCTATGTTTCTGGACGTAAAGCTCATTACTGCTAGGTCGATGATAGAGATAGCTACGGACAAGTACCCGGCACAGCCGCCTACAAGACTAGAGAACAAGACGCCGTGCCAGATGAGCTTGAGATCATACCAGATGGCCGCGAAAGTAGGCCTCATTCAAGCACGGGCCAGCAGGATCATTTGGCTAGCCCAAGAGACATTCCCATACCGAAGATGGTCGTTGAGAAGGTTGATCTAAATTCTCCAAGTCATGGAGATGTTCCAGGCACTGCCGCACATTCAAAAAGGCAAGCAGACGCTGTGCCAGATGTCATCTTGCAAGTACCTGAGCGCGATGAAGCCTCTGTTAGTGAGGATCGAGGTGACGGCATCTCTCCCGAGATCCCAATTCCCACGACCGTGATTACGAAAGTGGATTCTGAGCCAAGCCATGGAGAAGTGCCGGGCACTGATGCTTTTGACATGCGGAAAGGAGATGCAAAGCCTGACGTTGTTGAGAAGAAAGGCGATGTATCAGGTGAGCGAAGAGACTCTTTGCTGGGTGCTGTCCAGCGAGCCAATGACTGAGTCAGATAGATCCAAACTTTCCAAGCCCAAGCGAACAAAACCTCCAATAGAAGGCGCGTCGCCAATTGCGGCAGATGGTGGCTTCGGTCCTATGGAGTATGAAGATTCTGAAAACGAAAGCGTTGAATCGAAGCTTGACGAGGCTGGTAATGACACGGAGGCGGACGATGGTGAAGGCTTCGGGGATGATTTCGACGACTTTGAAGCAGGTGCAGAGAACGAAGATTTTGGCGACTTTGATGAGGGTTTGAAGCAATCTCCAATATCAGACGAAGAGCCGGCAGAGGCGGGCCTACCTTCACACTCTGTCCAGTCTCTGCCGCCTTCGATATCTCCTTTTGTAAGTAAGATTCCTTGAATCTTCAACCCCACGGTAGCACCTCGTCCCTTGGGTTGCTCCATATACTATCGAAGCTGATTTACGTGTCAAAGTCACTCCTTGATTTTAGCGAGCTGGATACTCTTGACGACATTATTGACGCGACCAATCCGTATCTCGACGAACTATTCCCCTCGACGCAGGAATCCTATCCTCCTGCCCCACCAACAATATCGGACCAGAATTCTATATTTCTTACAGACCGAAGCCTCTCTTTGTGGTCTCAACTTGTTGCTCCGCCACCTTTGCAACCTCCCAATTGGGTGCGGTCCCGTATTCGTCGCCTCTTTCTTGTGTCTCTAGGGGTGCCGGTAGACCTTGACGCGATATTGCCCGCATCAAAGCAAAAGAAGCTGATCCTACCCTCCATACACCTACGCAATCGCTCTCAATCACCACCAGACGGTCGTCGAACAGGGTCTCGAGTACGACTCAAGCAAGACAACGCAAGCTCTGCCTCTGTGGACCAGCCATCAAGCAATAAAACCAGCCGACGGAGAAAGGGGCCACCCTCCCCTCCGGAACTCAATCTCCAGACCACAAAGATGCTATGCGCGACGACACATGCTGCGCTATCCAACATGACGGATCATGAGCTGCAAGCGCATGTGAGGAAGCTTGAGGAGCTGACTGCTAAAGCCAGCGAGGTGTTGGAGTATTGGTTGAAGAGAAAGGACAGTGCTGTGGGGGATAAAGAGGCGTTTGAGGGTGTAATTGAGAACCTGGTCAAGCACGCGAGGAGAGTTCGAAAATAGTAGTACTGTAATCCTAGGTTCCTCCAGGAGCGACCCCTTTCCCCTTTTTGATATGGTCAATTCCACGTGACGTGAAGCTAAATAATGTACCTCTGAGCCTCTGGCTTTCGAAAGTCAAAAAGTCAAATATGACGCCGGTGGCGGAAGTTGGAGGACTAATCGCGGTTCGGTAAAGCTATCAACCTAATACTCCTGTCCTCCATAAGGTACCGTAGATAATGTTTCATCGTCCGATGTCCTGTCCTCAGCTTCGATCCTTCCAATGACCAACCTCCTTGATACTCTACATCATTTATAACTTCAGCATGTAGACCATCATCGTAGGGAATACGCTTCTGGTGCGTTCTAATCAGACTAGACCGGGCATCGGGATAAAGTCAGGTATGAGGAGTTGAACAAAGCAGAAAAGTATTGCCGTAGCCCCTATCTTACTAGCGTTGCATTTTAATGCGTGGCTGTCAAAGACAGGGGGCCTTTGGACCCCACGTACTGTAGTTAGGGATGAACTTCCACACACGAACTTCGACCAACAATTTTTCCAGTCGTTTCGCTGACAGCGACAACGATCAATATTATGATCTGAACACTCTACTCTTCCATCCTCTCCTTAATTCCACAGTTCGCCTTGAGCCATCAAAGCTCTCACTAGCCGATCCCCATCTACGTTCCTTTGTACACCATCGCACGGCCCTTACCCCAAATCACGAAGCCTCCAGCCTCCAGCATCACATCCCACCTTTCCCATTCTCGATAATTTGAATAGGTACAGCCGTCCAATATGCAAACAAGCAGCGGTCGCTTGTGATCTCCGGTAGATCCAATACGAAAGCCTTCCTAATATTGCCCGAGTCCGGCCCCGCGTTATGCACCTGCGACATCGAGCTGCAGCCTCTTAATACAAATTGGTATACACTTCCGCTTCTTCCTGCTACGGACGGCGCCGACCTCATGATGTCTTCTGTCGAAGAAACGCTCTCTGCGGCAGCCAGCATTGTGCGTGGTTTGGCTAGGAATGGTGCTCCCTCCTACAACCCACCAGAATTCAATATTCCTCAGAAGAACGGTGCCACAAACAGAAAGATCTTGCTGCCTGGCATAAGTATCGCGTCGAAAGAATCGCTCGAAAGCGAGCTATCAGCCCTTGCAACTCGGATACAATATCTAGAAAACAAGGCCAGCACGGTCAACCATCAAATCCTTCCCGATACCCCTAATGAGTCTGGCGGACCGACATCGCCATTTGCGAATGGCACAACGGGTACAGTCCGGAATGGTGTCTCTTTCCCAGTCCGCCAGCTTTCAGGCTCCTCCCGACAAGCTCGCGTGACGAATCTCCTCGCTGGTAATAATCTTACTTTCACTGAAGACGAGCTGGGGCATCTTCGTGATCATGTCGAGCAGCAAGCGGAGCACATCAAGACCCAAAATCAGACAATCATAGAGGTGAAGGAGCAGCTTCTTGAGCAAAAGGAGCACACAGCACGCAGTTTCGACGCTGTCAAGGACGAGAATCTCGAAGATGTTCGGCGTGAGCTTTGGAAGCATCAGCAGGCAAATGATGCTTTCAGGAAGGCCCTCAGAGAAATTGGAACTATCATCACGAACGTGGCCAACGGCGACCTGAGTCAAAAAATTCAGGTGCATGCAAAGGAGATGGACTCTGAGATTGATAGCTTCAAACGTACAATCAACACTATGGTGGATCAATTGCAGGTCTTTGGAAACGAGGTCTCTAGGGTCGCCCTTGAAGTTGGTACGGAAGGCAAGCTTGGTGGACAGGCTCAGATCTCTGGAGTCAGCGGAGTGTGGAAGGACCTCACCCAAAATGGTGAGTAGTACCGTCTGACCAAAGTTGCCTACAGTACAGTTTACTGACACTACGTAGTCAATCAAATGGCATCCAACCTGACTTCGCAGGTTCGAGAGATCGCCGAAGTAACTACAGCCGTGGCGGAAGGTAACCTCGACAAGAAGATTCAGCGACCGGCTCAAGGAGAGATCGCGCAGTTACAGCAAACTATCAATGGTATGGTGGACCAGCTACGAACTTTCGCTGCAGAAGTTACTAGAGTTGCTGGAGATGTTGGCACCGAAGGCGTCTTAGGTGGACAAGCTCGGATCGAAGGTGTCAAGGGCGAGTGGAAGACCCTTACTGTCAACGTCAATGTAATGGCCGATAGGTTGACGAGTCAGGTCCGGGACATTGCTGCCGTGACAAAGGCTGTGGCTCGAGGTGACTTGACCAAGAAGATATCAGCCAATTGCAAGGGAGAGATCTTGGAGCTCAAAACCACCATAAACTCTATGGTTGACCAACTGAGACAGTTTTCTTCCGAAGTCACCAGAATTGCCAAAGCCGTTGGCACGGATGGTGTTCTTGGGGGACAAGCTACTGTGGACGATGTCGAAGGCACTTGGAAAGACTTGACCGAGACTGTCAACCTCATGGCGAACAATCTTACGACCCAGGTTCGTGAGATTGCTTCTGTCACTCAAGCTGTCGCAAAGGGAGACTTGAGCCGGAAGGTGACCGCCGAAGTCAGTGGTGAAATTTTGGACTTAAAGGTTACCATCAACACCATGGTGGACAAACTCAACAACTTTGCTTTTGAGGTCAGCAAAGTTGCTCGCGAAGTGGGAACAGACGGTACGCTTGGCGGGCAGGCCAATGTACACGAGGTGGAAGGGAAATGGGCAGAACTTACGACAAACGTCAATACGATGGCGAACAATCTGACGCAGCAAGTACGAGGTATCTCCGATGTCACACAAGCGATTGCTCGCGGAGATCTGAGTCAAAAGATCGAGGTGCCCGCCCAGGGCGAGGTGCTCACACTGAAAGTTACCATCAACGATATGGTTACCCAATTGGATACCTTCGCCCGCGAGCTGAAGAGAGTAGCCCGCGATGTCGGTGTTGACGGTAAGATGGGTGGCCAGGCTAACGTGAATAACGCCAAAGGCCGATGGAAAGAAATCACCGAGGATGTCAATACCATGGCTGAAAATTTGACATCCCAAGTGAGGGCTTTTGGGCAAATTACTGACGCAGCTACCGACGGAGACTTCACCAAGCTAATATCCGTCGAAGCTTCCGGGGAGATGGATGATCTGAAGCAGAAGATCAACAAGATGATTTCAAATCTTAGAGACAGTATTCAGAGAAATACAGCGGCAAGGGAGACTGCAGAATTCGCAAATAGGACAAAGTCTGAGTTCCTCGCGAACATGAGCCATGAGATCCGGACGCCAATGAACGGAATAATTGGAATGTCACAATTAACTTTGGACACCGATCTTACACAGTACCAGCGGGAAATGTTGAACATCGTTCACAACCTCGCCAACAGCTTGCTCACGATCATCGATGATATTCTGGACATCTCCAAAATAGAGGCTAACCGTATGGTAATGGAGAAAATCAGCTTCTCCATGCGGGGCAGCGTCTTTAGCGCACTGAAGACGCTGGCGGTGAAGGCGAACGACAGGTTCCTGAACCTTGCCTACCAGGTCGACAGTTCGGTCCCCGATTACGTCATTGGCGACCCCTACCGCCTTCGTCAAATTATTCTGAATCTCGTTGGAAATGCTATCAAATTCACCGAGCATGGAGAAGTGAAGCTCACTATACGTAAGGCTTCGAATATGATCCCGGCCAATGATGAGTACGCTTTTGAGTTCCAAGTATCGGATAGTGGAATTGGCATTCAGGCCGATAAGAAGGACTTGATCTTTGATACCTTCCAACAAGCTGACGGCTCCACGACTCGAAAGTTTGGGGGTACTGGCTTAGGTCTTTCAATCTCAAGGAAACTTGTTGAGTTGATGGGCGGTATACTATGGGTCGATTCGGTCTATGGCAAAGGCAGCACTTTCTCTTTCACGTGCGTTACAAAGCGGGCTTCACAAGATCTACGCGGCGTCATGTCTTCGTTGAATGCCTACAGAAATCATACGGTTTTGTTTGTCGACAAGGGCAAAACGAATTGCTCTCAAGAAATTACCAGCATGCTCAAGCAACTCGAGCTGAAGCCCGTAGTCGTCGATAACGAAGCGCAGGTCCCTCGTCCAGCTCCTCCGGGCTCACCAACAAAGGAAGAGCACGGCGGTCTTCCCTACGATGTCATCCTTGTTGACGGTATGGACACGGCAGTCCATCTTCGTAGTCACGATGCGCTCCGCTACGTGCCCATCGTCCTTCTCGCCCCCGTCGTCTCAGTAAGTATGAAATCCTCCCTCGACCTCGGCGTGGCCTCCTACATGACCACACCATGTACCGTCGTCGACCTTGGCAATGGCATGCTTCCTGCCTTGGAAGGTCGTCAGACAACGTCCATCTCGGACGCCAGCAAGTCTTTCGACATACTCCTTGCAGAAGACAACGAAGTCAATCAGCGTCTGGCTGTCAAGATCCTTGAGAAGTATCACCATGGCGTCACAGTGGCCAACAACGGTCAAGAAGCCTTGGATGCAGTCAAAAAGAGGCGCTATGATGTTATTCTCATGGATGTGCAGATGCCTGTAATGGGCGGATTCGAAGCCACGAAGGAAATTCGCGCGTGGGAGCGAGCCGAAGGCCTGTCACGAACACCAATCATTGCCCTTACAGCACACGCCATGATGGGTGACCGGGAGAAATGTCTACAAGCGCAGATGGATGAATATCTCACAAAGCCACTAAAGCAAAATCAGATGATGCAAACAATACTCAAATGCGCCACCCTTGGCGGCAAGCTTCTTGAGCGAGGAAAAGACATAAGGTTAAGTGCGAAGGATGAAGCACCCGAGCCAAACAAAAATTCTGGCACTCATTCTGGAGGTGTGGGCATTGCGAAAGCGGCAAGAAGACCACCTCTGGAGAATCGGGCTATCACGAGTGCAGTACCACTCAATGCGGCTGGAGGAGGAGATAGTCCGGCGCTACTCAGTGCAGAAATGCAAGATCCAATGTCCATGGAAAGGGTACGTTGTTGCGCCTTCATAGCTTCAAATGTTGCATGCTAATAAGTCTAGATCTTGCTACGCTCGCACAGTAGTTGATCTGTTGTCGTGCTCTAATCTCGACAAGCGTACTGATGAACGAGCGTCTATCTTACTGGAAGCGTGGCGTATGGGCGAACCCGATTCAGGGACATCTGTCTCGCAGAGCACTAGTACAAGGTGTGTGAAATGCTACGAAACGTGTGGCGTTTGGTGAAGAGCATTTGTGCTCGTGTATTTTTAGAAGCTATTCTTGGCTTTCACTTGAGGGGATGTGCCTTGAGAATGCTGGTTGATGGGTACTGGAGCGATGATATCCCAAGTGCGAACAGTAGTTCTTGAGACGATGGGCCAGAATGAATAGTATAGTTCCTACCAGGTTGGGCACGACTGAATGGCTTTATACTGTGCTCTAACTCAAACATATACCATTGGTATTCAACCCAGATTTCCAGTATTGTGAGCTTCGCATGTGACACGTGCTTCTTCGTCTCGCACCTTCGGTGGACCTGGCCCAGAGAGTACATTGACCTTCACCTGGTCCTCTATCTTCCCACATTCACCTCGCATCTGCTGCGCCGTCCTCCGTACAATCCTGGCCAAAGCAAAATCCGCCTAGTAGCCCACACGCGTCTCCCGTCTCAGACTTGATATGCCCAAACCGGAGACCCGAGTTGGAGTTGGCCTTCTCTGAAAACTTTAAAGACGTGCGATAATTGTACAGGATATCTGAGAATTTGTACAGCGCGGAAGTGCCGGGAGAGGAGCATCTAGTACCCCTCTTGTGCAATCATGTCTTCGGCCTTCTCTGAAAACTTTAAAGACGTGCGATAATTGTACAGGATATCTGAGAATTTGTACAGCGCGGAAGTGCCGGGAGAGGAGCATCTAGTACCCCTCTTGTGCAATCATGTCTTCGAACAAGTCAGCCTGCTAAGTCTATATCGCTTCGCACTTCAACAAAGACATAGCTTACCAGCAATGTTCAGATAGAATGCAATGGCATTGAAGCTGGAACCGAGTCAGTCACCACATTCCGGCAAGGTGATCAACTAGTGACTCACTTCCTCTTGTTCCCCGTCATCTCCCAAACGAGCCACCTCAACCGATTCGTCCAATTAATCAAGTCCAAGTGACTCACATCAACCAGCGTCCCCTTATAGGTTCCCCAACGAGAGCTTGCTACACTGACTAGACCATCGTTGGGTCCTTCCTCTGTTTCCACAATCCGATGCGGCTGTCTAAAGGCAGACCAAAGGGGCGGCGTCGCCATAGCGCCGTAGGAGAAATATCTCACCCCCTCTCGATCCGGCGTCTTCGGATTGAAATCTTTCATCATATACCGCCTTGTCAGCTGACTGAACGCCCCAGTCTCTATCCTCATCAATTGCAGCGCCCGATACATTCTGGGTAGATTTTCGGGCCCAATCTGATCGAACACATAGTCTGCGAACGCAGAACCGCGGTGCGGGCTCGCAACCGTAGTCAAGCTAAGCACCTTTACATTTGGCGGTTTGAGCCGACTGATCATGTATCGTGCGTCCAATCCTCCCATGCTGTGTGCAACGATATTGACGCTCTTTCCATGAGCCTTTCTCTCGATATCATGGCTCAGTTTGGCCGCACGCTCTTCTATTGACGCGGACGGGGGGACCGAGGTGAGGATCACTTCGATGTTATTGGCTTTGAGGGCTTCGGTGATGCCACGCCAGTAGTGGACCCCTGGAAGGAGCTTGCCGACTAGGTGAAGCTCGTCGAAGCCGAGAAGGCCATGAGCGAGGACGATGGGATTCTGGGGGGATTCTGTAGAGGCTTAGACAGGGTTTGGCAGGAAATGCGCTGGGGACACACGGTATTTGGCGCGGATGCTGGCATAATCGTCCTTTATTGTGGGGCCAAGGTCTGAGACTCGAGGGTCTTGGGAATCATGGCGCAGAGCCGACACGGTGAAATGTCGAGTGGTGACTGCAGAGAACAGACGGCTTGAACAGCATCTTCTTGTGGTCAAGGAGATTGAATGTGCCATCGGACGGTGGAAGACAGAGGTCAATGCTGCGGCCTACACACCCTAATGTCTTGCTCCATTGTCGGCCCTCAGGAGTCGGCCTCTCCGCCGCGATGTGGAAGTCTAGCGGTTGATCGAAGTGAAGGAGGTATGATCCGGAGCCTGCTCCGGATGGGACGAAAATATTTACCGACTATCAGCCGAAAATCTTCTATAAAATTACCGAAACTCCTTGCATGACCTTTTCAACTTTGTAATCGTCAGGGCTGGATGCGACATGCCGCTCCAAGAAGGCAAGTCATGGGTAATCATGTAGCAAGTCCTAAGAGAAGGCAGGGGCTGCACCCTTCCGCAAGCGTACATTCCACAAACAATGCTGACACTAGTTTAAACGGTTGCAACTCACTCAATCTGCGATGCTCCTCTTCCTGATTCAGATAGCTGTTCTCCTTGTCATGTCTTTACTTCATGGCTGCTTATGTCCAGGACCGCGTCTCCAAATTCGAGTTCCTCGTTCTTCTTTCCTAGATTCCATAGATCCTTCGCTTCACTACTTTGGCCATGGCGTTCCCAGCAGCAGAGGGTCCAGATACAGAGGCTGTCGTTGAGAAGACCTCGCGACAACCACCTTCTGCTCCAACATGGCATTCGATCAAGCCAGATGGCGTCTCGTCCGAGTTCGTCGACGCCCCTGAGAGACCTCTGAGCGAGACAGAAAACATGACGCCCGGATCAGAGAAAGCAGATTCTCGCAAATCGAAGAAGTTAAACGAATCGAATGTTTCATTTACTTCTACGATCGAATACGATCAGACGCCTTTCGATCAATACATTCATCAAGTCAAGGAGCTGTGTCACCTCTTATGGCCGCCCTTGCCCAAAATTTCACAAGATGTCAAAACTTCCCGCGTCGAGCGTCTACTAGCTAACAATCGTGTGGCTGGGGTTTTACTGCCAAAAAGGAGTCGCTCCGCACGAGCTCCTGCTCCGCCCAAAGAGTTCCTGATTGAGCGACTACGCGGCGGAGGCTTCAATCGAGTCATCGGTATAACCGTCAAGCATTCGCCTGATGAAGAACCTGTGCGCCTCATATTAAGAGTGCCTCGATTTGATGACACTCGGCCCGATCGGGAAGTCGCTGTACTACATTTCATTCGTCATTATACACAAATACCAGTACCGGAGGTCAAATACGTCGATTTGACCAGCGACAACCCATTGAAGCAGTGTTACGTCATCCATAATCGCATCCCCGGATGTGACCTTCAGAACAATACCGGTCCTACATTCTATCTCAGTCTGAACCATGAGCAAAAGTGCACGTTTGCGAAAGAGTTCGCTCTGCTATTGCTCGAGTTACATGATATCGCGCACCCGTTTCCTGGCCTCATAGAAGTTTCGGCGGACAGTGATAACGATCGGAGCTTTACTGTTCGTCCCTTCGAACTCGAGACGGTTTCTGGCTACGAGCGAGAGCTGGACTTGACCACTAAGCTTCCTTTCTTCCAAGTTCGTCCATTCGTGAAGGATTGGAAGCGGTCTGAGAATCCGCCTCGCGAACAGTGCACATACTATTTCATGATTGCACAATTTGGTCGGTGGAAAGCTCTGGAGTTGCGTTCCGACCCAGCGACCATCAGCTGGTCGAAGAGTTATGACCGCCTTGTCACGATGGCACTTCAGATGGACACTTTTGGCTTCTTGGGTAAAGATGAGAATTGTATATGTCACCTCGATCTCTTAGGGGCACCGCGCAACATCATGGTAGACATCAAATCGGACGGCTCTATGAGCATTACCGGCATTCTCGATTGGGACAGCGCGGTTTTTGCGCCCAGGTTCGCCGGCTGTGCGCCACCTATGTGGCTATGGGCCTGGGATGATATCAAAGAGGACGAAAAACACGCTAATGATACTCCATCGAATCCTGAAGATCGAGAGATCAAGAGAATCTTCGAGGAGACAGTCGGAGACTGGTTTCTGTCGTACGCGTACAAGCCGGAATACCGTCTGGCTAGAGAATTGTTTCGATTCGCAAAATCTGGCATAACATCGAGCACAGAAACGCAAGAGGTTGAGGAGCTTTTGAAGGAGTGGGCCGCGATATACGAATCTAGGGTAGCAGATGCAGAGGAGGAAGCCACAAACACGGAGGATGCGGCTTCAGAAAAAGCCGCAGAGGGCGAGGTCGACGGTTTAACAGAAAAAGGGCTTCTTAGCGATGAGAGGACTTCTTTTGTGTGAGCGTCGGAGAGATCTACGTGCTTAGCTTGCTCATCTAAATTGTCTCCTTTTCCCAAACATTCTGCAGACGGCTCATTGAAGATCAGAGGCACGTCAATAAAGCTGGCGTACGTACTCGTTTCCTTTGATATGCTGTTCCGCACAGCGTCTGATCCTTGCCAATGAACCATTTGCTCGTGAAGCTTCCCGCAAACGGCTATATCCATGCAAACAGTGCTGCACTTTGATTGTTCTTCGCTCTTTATTGGGTCTTCTTTGACGTGGGAAACGATGTAGTATTTTGAGGCCTCCTTTCCTTCGTGCCCAGACGTTCGACTCCTGCATAGTCTATACTCGCCTCTATTCCTCACGATCTGCCCCTAACACGCTGTCCATTGAAGGACATTGATCATCGTCCTCGTTCCACTGTTCGTCCCCAACTGCTACCCTCTCTTTCCATCCAGTACACCCCAATTGGAGTTCCAAGCTCTTCCACTCATACACTATGCCGAGCCTAGCCAAGACCACAACCAAGCATCATTGCCCCAAAAAAGGCAGAGGCCAAGGCAACTGCCGGCCAGGCAAGGGATACTGTCTGGAACACCAAATGAAATGCCCACTCGGGCACAAAAAGGCGTACCTCAAAACAGAGCCATGTCCGCAATGCGACGGTGATACTACCGTAAGTTCTACGGCGGCTCGACATGGTTGGAAATATCCGCTGATCGATTTTCTCTAGCACGATGATAGAAGAGAAGCCCAGACGTATTCTCAGCGGAGAGTCGCCGAAGTCGCGAACACCTCTCGCATGACAGACAAGGCGAAAGGCAAACGAGGTAAATACGTATGAGTCTCTGGGAGCGTTTGGCCGAGGGAGCCATCGAAGCACGGCCTCTCAACCTCCGACTGAATGGTCTGTAAGACAAAAAGTCGTCAGACCACGAGTACCTGCACAGGCTGCACATGTTTCGCGTCGGAGTTTTGTCTGTATGGCTTTTTTGCGTTGTTGGATACGGAGTTTACGGCATTTTGGAACGGATTTGTTGCTTTATTGCCTTTGAATGTTGGAGTATTTTTGGTCTATACTGTTCGCAGGATGTCATCGTCTGTCAGTAATGCCCGTCACGAGTTTTGGAACAATCTTTCTTGCTTTTTGAGCTCGTTCTGTCAACTATTCCTTTGAACTTGATGGCGTCGTGGATGTGCCTGTCAAGATTATACGATCTTTTTAGCAAGTGTGCTCTCGAAGCTATGCTTGACGACGAGTGAATATTTTTTGTGGAGGAAAAAGTGGACCGAGTGAGAAATACTGACGATGGCCGCTGTTAAATCGGAAACAAGTAAAACTGCTGCCACAAAAGGTTGAGGTGCGCTTCGGATCTGGCTAGTAATGGATGATGCTATGGGGGGAGCTGCGCGAATCGCGTAAGTGCTTATCGATTGACAGTATTAAGGTGATGGGAATCCATGGCTTGGTATGATCGAGGGTGATGCTGAGGTAGTGTTTAAACCTCGATATACTTGCTTGAGCTGGGCTATTCTCAGTCTTCTCGGCGCGAGATGCTTGAACAGAGATATCGGGATCTTCTTCTGCTAGATCTGCATGCTTAAATATCAGAACCATAGCAAACAGACGATTAAAATACATTTTTCAAGTCATTAATCCCCTTACTAATGACACCACCCACACCACCATCACCTCCTCCTCCTCCTCCTTTAATGGGACCACCCAACCCATTCAGCGCGTCCTGCGCCGCAAAAACATTTCCCCTATCAAAGTTATCCACCAATACTCCCACCGGCGCCCGTCCATACAACCCTTCACAAATCCCCACCTGCGCCCCAATACTTCCCACTCCCGTGGCCGCATTAGTCGTATCATCCGCGCTATCATCCGGTATATCAACGCTCCCAATGCTTAAGTCCAGGAAATGATTCACGATATACATTCGCCCGTCAGCGGTAGCACCCTTCGGGCGGTCAAGAGTGCATTCGGCAAACTTCGGGTCTGTGACGTCGAAGGGAGTCTCGAAGAAGTAGGTGAACTCGTCGAGGATGTAGTATACCGAGGGCGCGGCGCCGGTGTCGAGGAAGGCAATGAGGCGGGTGTTGTTACCGATCAGTTCGTTGAGGGTTGGCCAGGCGGAGAGGTCGAGAGGGGAAGTGGGCGGCGTGTAAGTGTATCTCTTGAGGTTGCTGATTGTGAATGCTGTATCGAATAGACTTATGTTGACGTTGTCCCCGTTCGTGAGGAGGAGTGTGACGACCTCGTTTGGGTTAGCGTCGAGCCATATTTTGAGGTCCGTGAGATAGTCGGAGAGGGGGCCGGCATCCTTTTCCATGCAGGTGGTGTGGCAGAGATTCAGACTCCCAGAGCCATCTAGGTGGGACTGGGCTTGGAGAAAGCGAATACCGGCGTCGAGTTGCGCTGTAATGTTCACATCTTGGTTGTCTGTGGGCATGGTGCCGACGAAGGCTGAATCATGGGTGCCGATCTGGGTTATGTTTGAGTATTGGCGAGAGCACAGCTCCGCATGGCCGTTGCACAGCGCCTGCGCGTATGCAGAGAGAGGGAACAGGCTGAAGATAAAGCTAATGGGACTAAGAGGATAGCGCATTTTGAAGAAGAAGAGAAGGGAGAATGGAAAATGATGGGGGTTTTCTGAACAGAACGCAAATATAAAGAGAGAGATTGTCTCTTACCACAAGCTTTACATCGCAACAATAACACGTGCGCCACCCGTCTTTGTAGTGGGCGCATCGCAGACGAATAGCGAAAGATATGACCAATAGCTTTCCAATTGACGAACGATACCCGTCGTTGTTCCCCAGTATAGCATCACCGTATCTGGAGTCTCTCTGTTTATAGGTGTCTATTGGATGACATCCATTGAATATATTCGGGACAAGGGGTTGGCATGTCTTAAAAGGAAGACTTGAGAGGCGAGGCAGTCATACTGGTGGTCTTTTGATTCGGGTTGGCGTCAAGTGAAACACTAAGGGCAACGATGCAGGTTGGATGCTCGGATGATGCAGCACTGCAGATCAGCGCGCTTATTCTATTGGGTCCTGACCAGTGACCTGAACGGCGAACGCAGCTAAACTCGCTTAGCCGCCCATGCAATTTCACTTGTCGCTACATTCGAGGCCGTATATTGCGATGTACGAGATCGCCATAAGAACTAGCTGTCAACAGTACAACCCCACGGCCGCTCGGCCGAGAGCTTGGACGTCAAGTGGCATGTCAGTAGTATTGGTCCTATAAGAGTCGCCTTCCTCTCAGAATATTCAATAATAGACTCCGCAAATTGCAGCCATGTCTGACTTCGCCCTCTCTCCTGCTACCCTTCCTGATCTACCTGGCATCGCCAAGGTCTCCACAGCCGCCATGATCGAAAGCCGGCACACAATGTCCTACTGGATGTTTCCGCCGGACAACGAGAACGCGATCTACGAATGGCGGCTAAACGGTATAACAAATACGTTCAACAATATTTCATACTGTATCTACACCAAACTCGTCGATACTAAGGTGGGCAAAATCGTAGCATTCGCGCTGTGGGAGGCGCCTCACCCACCCGAGACGGAGGAGGAGAAAGCCAAGAAAGAGCAAGAGAAGAAAGAGAACGGTGACAAAGATGACAAGCTGCCGAAAGGTACCAAAGCTCAACTTTTGCACGACTTCGATGCCGAGACCCGTACGTTTTACTTTCCAAGGCAATTTTTCCCCATTCATGCTGTTCTATGAGTCGTCGGACATGTCTCAAGGGTTCTCTGCTCCTAAGACATGTCTTGCGAGCCAAACTTGCTCCTGAAAGTAATGCTGACTCCAAAATCTCCAAGAGAGGATGAGGGCGAAATATGTCGACAGGGAGAAAGACTACAGTGAGTGGCATTTTCTAAGTCTCTGGAATCAGACAAGATGACTGTATATGCTCAAGTCTTGAGAGCTATTGCTACTCTCCCAGAATACCAAGGCAAAGGCTGCGCATCAAAATTGCTTCAATCCGGGCTAAAGAAGATCGACGCCGAAGGCGCCAAGACTTGGCTTGAGGCAACCCCACAAGGGCAATCCTTGTACGCAAAATTTGGCTGGAAAGTTGTCGATGAGATCATTTTTGATCTCGAGAAATATGGCTGTGGTGAATGGGTGCAAAGAACCACGGTCATGAACAGGAAAGCGCAAATGTAGTGGGTCAAAGCCACGAAATGATTCTTCTCACGTTCTTATTTTCGTCTTGTTGTACAGCGCAAGCTCTGTCAATCCATGAGAAAGGCTGAGATTCAAGCTTTGAGCTTTCACAGTTCAGATAGATCGGTGTGCAGCCGTGACCGTTATGAGAGTCAAGAGTCATTTTATTGGGTGAAATCATGGCTCAATTCAGGCGAGCAAATGGCTTGAGTAAGCCTTGCCAATCGGTCTCCTGGCGCGCGATCACATGGGACATGGGATCGTCGTACATCCCCGATTTTATGAAAAACTTTTTTGAGCAATTTTGAGTACTTCGTCCGAGCACGCAAGGTAGAAGCCAAGGCTTCCGATTAACAAACAGGTATTGCGGCTTTCTCTGTTCCCGCCTGTTTCATTTGTTCCCCAACATATTTGATTCTTGGACTTCTCCCTTTCTGTCTGTCGCTTCAGGAAGTATAAAGGTAAGGGCTCTAGCTATCTGATTTGAAGCCGGCTACAGTGAAGTGAAAGGGTATGATAGTTACTTGTTATCGTGACGAAGATTCTAGGGATGGAGGTTCAGAAGATTAGCTGTCATCCGAATACGGTGTCTCGAGTCTCGAAGCACAAATGAGAAGATGGAAAAAGCAGATGTGGCCACCGTCTGATTCCAAGCTCTCATGGAGGAAGCAAGCTTGGAAACATCAGTAATGGCACCTTGATCTTGGCTGGCAAAGATGGCCAGCTGTCGGGAACTCGAGACAGCTGGGGGTTCTTCCTATCAAATAAGAATGCAGCCGACTAAAAATAGCACGATTGCGCTGATCAAGTACCGCGCAAACCATTTGGGCTGGAGATCGGGACGGACGTACCTAGATTTTATGTGACAAAACCGGCCAAGTCGTCATATCCGAGGGCAGGCTGGTAGTAAGCATTCATAAAGATGGGGATCTAGAGGGCAGCGTTCCGATGACACGAGGCAACCGGTATAACCCCATCCCAACCAGACTTTCTGTTCGGCAGTTAGCTGAGTTGATATTAACCAGAACAAGGCAAAGAAATATGCGGAACCAGCCATCAATTCTGAATCATCCAAGGTCTCTATAAGGGGATTCAGAGAAACACCAACCTATGTGCTGCTTGATAGAGCACAGAAATGTCATCAGGATCGCGCAACAAACAGAACGTTCGAAGGTGCAAAGCCTACCAGAGTGTGTGTCCCAAGCCCCCCATCAACGATGGCTGACCTTGCATGACAGGGCACCGTGTGATCCAACCACTCTCAGAGGACATTGCGGCAGTCTAGCGGAATAAGTTGTTCAATTCTTCATGCTAGTATTCAGTATTCGAAGCGGGTGGCTGTCGAGGGTTTCTGGGAAGGTCACAGAGGGTTGTCAGCCAGTGCAATACACAATGGTGTATCTGATAGCTGAGGAGATAGAGGGCGGCATGATCGTCAGATACACAGCCGAATGGCCAATGGCCGAGAGCAAAGAGGGAAGGTGAATGTCAAGCCCGACACCTTGCAGGTCCCTAATTTTGCAAGTTACCAAAGCGGTAGGGATGCTGCGACTGGTGGGCATCAGGGCTTGCTTGATATTGGGCCCGGTGGGCACGAATGAATATATGAGGAAGATGGCTGTTGTCGTGAGACGTTGAGGAGCAGAAGCCGTGCCTGCAATACTTCTCTGTGTGAAGCATCGGGAGGAAGACAGAGTCGCGAAAGAGAGGACTGTGATGACAAACAAGGACAGAGGGCAAGGGAGGCCGACGTGCCTGATTCCTGCGCAAGCTTTGGTATACTAAACGCTTCCGCCAGTCATTCATGTTGTGGTCTCCTGATACCTCCTCGCAATTGCTGCGAGGGCATTGAGGAATGCCTGTCTGGTGTATGCTGAGTCCTGGACGCGAGGCATTTTTCGAGCATTGGCTGGTGCTCGCAGAGGGCTCTTGAAGGAGGCAGCAGACTTGCTAAGGAGAAGAGAGGAAGACACAAGAGCTGCTGCAGTCGAGAAAGGAGAAGACAACGGACTTGGTCACTAGACGCGTGGAGGTGTAGAGGGTCAGAGGGCTGCTGTTTGTTGTGTGTGAAGGAATTTGAAAAGGGATCAAAGGTAAGCAAGCTGTTATGGGAGGCACGAGCTACGTTCTATGCTAATTTTCCATTCCCCTTGGCATTGTTGAGAGCCAGACCTAAGACGGCAGTCGCGACCTGATCCTGGTATGTGGATTTCTATGCTGATGCCTTTTGTCTACATGAAATGCTACTTTGTAGAATGATCGCTACGAACTGTACTACTGTCACCTGCCAATTTGGAACGAGGAAACTTTTGAAGATAAAAGGGAACACTCTCTACGAGGAAGCAGGAGCTCTTACCCCTTTTCCCGGCCACTACTTGGCGAAAAGCATATCATATCTGATGCAGAACCTAGAACATCCGCCTGCAAGTTTAAGGCAGACTTGAAGCTCCTAGAAAGTGCCTCCAGCCATCGCCTCTATTCACCTCTTTCAAGGTGCGAGATATAGACCAGCTTTGGGTCGAGTAGCTGTGTGGCTACGTGGTTGGACTCGAAATCAATGAGAATTCTTATTGACTCATTGGCCTCGAAGATGCTAATTTCGGGTTCTTAGAACCATCAAAATCGTCGGTAGAGATAAGTGTGCTCATATGACTCCCCGGAATGAACAAATGCGGAACTGCAGCATTTGGTTTTTGTATAAAAGTGTGCCTTGCCCGTTTCAGGTCTTGACATTAGCAGCTTAAGGCATTCACAAAGTCCATACTTCTCCCCTCAGGTCCTCATCAAGGACAGGCATTGAAGGGCGTCTCCACGGCTCTGACTCCACTACAGAAGACTACGGAACTTACGTCGTCTGAACCTTGTATCACCAGAGAAATCGAATTTACAAATAGACCAAATACAGGAGGTTTCAACATGCATGTTGCGGGTCAATTTCCAACTCGAGCCCTAGTCTATGAAAACGCATGGACGCCCTTCTCCCAATTAAAATCGGTCTGGTTTCAGCTTGCTCCATTCACATGCATCTACGAATTTGCATCTGTCTCGCACCTCAAATTGATGTCTAGCAGCCTCGGATTCGCTCAGATTTGGAAGGCCATGCTCTGAAACCCTCGAGCACCAAGGATTTGCAACCCCCATTTCCCAGCCGTCGGGCTTTTTTCGGAGCGGTATATCTGAATCACAAAATCCACGAGGTCGACTCCAATGCTAATTCGCACTGAAGAAGGTCTGTGAGGTATTGTGTTATCCTTGGGTCGCCGGTTCGGTCCCGGCTCGAAGGAATTAATTTCCTAAATCCCATTGTTGATTTGTCGTCTGATGACTGCGTGAAAGAGGTCTAACTCATCGTTATCACAAACTTGCCCGTTTGGCTTCGTTGGATTTACAAAGAAGAACAGTAGTACCGCATAGGCTTATAGTTGGATTGAAGCTGCAACTGGATCTTAAGCCAATCCATTTATGCTTTCAAGTGAAGGGAAGCATGCCTTGGTGGTTTCCACATACAATATTCAGGAGTCAGGGAGTGGAAGGAGATGATAATGAGTAGAATACTAGAAATAACGAGGATATGGCGATACGTGGGTCACCTATAGCCCTAACCCTGGGTCTAATCCAAACATACATACCTTAGGCGCCTTCTCCGTCAGAGCCTCCACGCCTACTTTTGCTTGCTCAATGGCCTGATGCTCTATGACTATCGGCAACCCCCGATTTAAGCGTAGATCCAATTGGCTCTTGGACAGATACAGATACTCTTCCCCCTCCGTCGAGATACAGATGTTGCGAGGCAAGATCTATAACATGTGTGTTCTGAAGTTTGGAGACCCTACGATACTCTGTACTATGGGACAAGCTGTGTTTGTCTGCCTGTGCCAAGTGCTTCTTGTCATCACTACTTAGTCTGATGGGCCAGATCCGCTCAGAGACCATCAACCCCACCTGAGATGTTCTGCATGCATACACGCGCTGCCGTTGCCTTGCGATAGACATCATATTCAGCCGCACCATACGATTCGCACACTGAATGCTGCGTAGATCTGGCTACCAGCTTCGCTTGAGTCTTTTACTTACCCTTCCCATCGCATCTCTGACCTCGGGATCCGCCCTGATGGTGTTGTTCACTAGCCACTCCTTCACTCTTCCCCTCAACTCCTTTGTGCCCTGCTCGTCGCCCGCAAAAGGCGCCATATCCATCGCCAGCAATCTACTGGATTCGATCTCACTGGCCTTAGCGGTTCCCTCGAGTCTCACTAATTGCTGCAGGTCGAGTTGAGAGGTAGTCGCCGCAGGGGTGGGTTTTCCCTGTGGAAAGAGGTTTCCCAGCTGCGAGAAGGCGATGAAGAGGGTGAATGTTGTCTTGCGGGCTAGCGCGAGGAGCTGAAAGGGTAGCAGTGGTGGGTGAAGTTTCAGTTTGCTGAGTATAGGGTTGAAAACTTTGGTGAGTAACGGCGAGGGGTAGGGGCGTGTGATGGTGTGATACTCGAGTAGAAAAAGACCTGCGAAGGTCAAGTATCGCCAGAAGCGTCCCCATTGGAGATAGTTTGTGAGGCTCAAGAGGGCCATCATGAGGGTTGAGCCGGCGTAGAGGGGTAGGGAGGATGTCTGTATGCCGGTGGCCAAGTAATCGCGTATTGTTTTGCAATGCTGCCATTTCAGCATATCGGGACCGAAGCGCTCATAGGCAAAGCGTTTGATGGGGTCAGATAGGGTGTCTTGAGCGGTTTTGAGATTGACGAAATTGGATTCGGCAGCTGCATGTCGGATTAGGTCGTCCGTGGGGACTTTGTCCGGATGCTGGAGAGCAGCTAGTCTCCTAAATCTCGACTTTATCTGTTTTTCTTCGACTCCTGGAGCAAGCCCAAGATCCTGGTAGAAATCCCCACTCTGTTGTATTATATAGTCCGCTTCATAAAGGGTGTATAGCAGGTAAACGATAATGACTGTCATGTGTATGCGCCGTCTGTGTTTCACGTATCTAGGACTCCCTGGTTGCGGCTTAGGATCACCGGCGCGGATTGTGATGCCATAGTAAATCGATTGGAGCCACCCTGTCACGAGCTGTAGATTTCCGTGTTAGTAGAGCACAACCTTGAGACATGCATATATATGCAGGCACGCTTGAAACCAGCTTGCTAAGGTGAAAGGTACATACATTGGGCAAAAATGCCCATCCAGCGTAGGAGAGAACTGCTGTTGACGACATGCTAAACGAATTCTTTCTGTACAGAACATGTTCGAAAGACCACAAGGTAAGGAAAATGTTGGTGAAGACAGGTGTTGAAACACTTGCGCCTATTTATGCGGCTCGGCAGATCGCCCGGGATGTCGCGTGGACTTTTAGCCGATGGAGCTAGCCGAAAGTCTAAATTTCGAGCTTTTCCGGGAAAAAGTACGTGGGGACTTGACGATATCATCCACGCCAATTGACAATCGAGGAAGTATGTCATTGGAGATCGACAGCTCGCGGCTTGAGCGCAAGAAGCAGGGAAAGTCGAAGGATAAGGATGTCGAGAAGACAGAGAAAAAGCGCAAGCGGGATGCTGTAGACGAGGTCGATTTTGGGATGGCCTCGCCCACAAAGAAGCACAGGTCAAATCAACAGCCCAAATCACATATAGCGCAGTCCAAACCCGACATTTCCTCTCAGACAGAGCCAATATCTCCGTTCTACCAGCAAGTATCCTCTCTGTACCTACCACTACCACCAATCTCTCAAAAGCATGCTTTACAAGGCATTTGTGCCGAGCATATCTCTCCACTCATCCTCACATACTACCCGCCTTTGCATGGGGTCATCGTATCTTATTCGAATGCGCGACTCTCCACCGATCCTCAGAGCGAAGCGTCCAATCCAGCTTATGCACGAGCGATCGACGAGTACGCGTCCAGCTTCGTATGGCTTACTGCGGACTTCCTCATTTTCAAGCCTCGGAAGAGTAGCGTGATAGAGGGCTATGTCAACCTCCAGAGTGAGAGCACTATTGGGCTTCTTTGTTTAAACTTCTTCAATGCAAGCATTGAGAGAAGGAGATTGCCAAGAGAGTGGAAATGGATACCCGGTGGGATGAAGGCCCCAAGAAAGAGAAAGTTGAAGCAAGCTACGAAGGACACCATGTCGGACTCGGACGGATCAGAGGCGGACGAGGACGATGCGGCTGGGCAGACTTTGGAAGACGCGGAAGGCTATTTTCAAGATCAGGCAGGTAAAAAGATTGAGGGACTGCTACAATTCCGGGTCAAGGACTTGGACACGTCGAAGAGCATGGATCGCGAGACTGGTTTCGTGAGCATTGAGGGCACCATGCTGAGTAAGGACGAGGAAAGGCAGTTGCAGGAACAGGAGAGAATGAGGATACCAAATGTGAAAAGGAAACAATTGGGCTGGCAAAATGAGCCGTCGAACGCTATGACAGGTGCAATTGTGAATGGCTCTGATGGTGCAATGGATGTAGATGATTCGCCGAATGCGAAACATAGAGCCAGATATTAAGAATGCTTTTTTGCTTCTAGAGCTATCTATAAATTAAGATTCGCCATAGTCTCTATAACATAAATCCAAGGTTTCATGCCTTCCCTTGGTCAATCATACCGCGCAGGGAATGATTTGCTCACTGCTCTGGTCAATGGCTCGCTAAGCGAGAGTATGATATAAATTGCGGCCCCCGCGTCTCAAGTCAACGCGCTTTCCCCCTCACTTCCACCCACACCCCACATCTAAAACATTGAATCCTGGGACCTGTAGCCATGAGACTTCAGCTAACGGTTCAAAGGCACGGCTTGCCACCAGTACAAGTGTTGTGGACCTTGGCATCAGCAGTCCGACCTCCCCTTCTTGCAGCGGGTAACAGTATCACGATCTCGCAGTTTCTGGAACAGGTCAACGAAGTCATACCTCTTGAGTCCGAGGATTGGGGCCTTGAGGATTACTCGGTAGAAGTGCGCGGCTTCGAATGTCTGCACTTTTCCGAAATCAACCAAGTTCTGAAGGAGGACGATGAGGTCTGGTGGGTAACTCAGCTTAGGCTTCTTTTTCATGAATTCGTTCAGGTGATGCTGACTTCTTCACAGCATACGGCCTCTACAGACTCAAGATCTACGCTTTCGGAAAATATCTGGACGACACCAGATCGCCGCAGATGGCAAGCACTTGGTCGACGGTGTGGCATTTGGTCGCCCTTTTCTACGACGAGCAGACAGACCGGGCATAAAAATACCTCCGAGGAAGAGAAGACGGATTACATATGATGAGGAAGAAGGTTTCGACACGGATGAGCCGAATAACGATCGGCGAGTCATCGTCAGGGCTGGCTTTGACGATGCCGAGGAAGCTACGGGGGGAGACGAGAGTGACGATGAAAAGGACTTTGCGCCCGACGATGAGGAAGAGGAGGATCTGGGTGCCGAGCTAGAAGATTTACAAAAGGACCTTAGTGCTGGTACGGATGCAGAACAGGGACTAAGTGTGGACAATGTTCAGCCAGAACGGACTACTAGGTCTCGAAGATCGCCCAAAGGTTTAGGCATGCTACAGTTGTTGGATGACAACGGACGACCGTATGCTGGACAATACAGTAATCCTCTACTGGATTTTTACGGACAGTATGGGGCTCCAAGCAGCCAATCTGAAATCAGAGTCAGGAAGCGCGGTACCGCAGACTCGACTCAGAGCTCTTCCGAGAACATTAAAAGCATCCTTCGGGATTCATCAGCAAGCCCCCAACGTGTGAGCAGGCGGGACTCGGCCGGCAGTAATAGAAGTGTGCGTTTCGAAAACGCCGAGTCTGCAACGCCCGCAACCATTCAAGAATCGCAAGATTCAGAGGACCCGGACGATGGCGATTTTGAGCTTGGCGAGGTGGACGAATCTGATAAAGAGAATGCTGAGCCACAGGTTGAAGAGACTGAATCCAGCGATGTATGTGGCGTCCTTGTAAAAGCTGTAATACTTGCAAGACATGTTCATTTCACGGTTTACTGTTTGCGCTGAAGGAATTTTCGCTAACTAGTCGCTAGAGTTTCTTTGAAGGATCACAATCGAGCTCCTCGACGTCTTCGGATGATCAAATATCTGACGACGATACTTCCTCGTCTGGATCATCCTCTAGTGGCTCGAGCTCGGATTCAGAACCAGAGCAGCAGCCAAGCAAAGATATATCTCACAAGTCCGAAACTTCTGAAACATCGTCTTCAGGATCATCATCCTCCAGCAGCAGCGACTCCGAGCCTGAACCGCCAAAGGCTGGCCAGAAGCGGAAGTGGGCAGTCCGCAATGTCCAATTGAAAACGCCTGCAGGTGAGGCGCCGCCTGTGCTCACAAACTCGGCTCCATCCACGATACCACCTGGCAATGGGAGTAGTTTGACTCGAAGCCGTAATAAGCGGAGAAAGGAGAGTAAGAGGCTGACTTTCATCAAGAGCAAGGGCATGCTCCCAGCTACCGCCACTAAAGCTGATCTATACAAATTCGAGGAGGAGACTACCCATCCAGAAATGCAGGAAATGATAGCTGTTGGAGGAGTTCGCGCTGCTCTTGAGGCTAAAAGACAGGACTTAATGACTTCGATCGCTGCTGGTGGCATCGATGTCAGTCTTGATCCGAGCTTGCAGGAAAAGGATGTTGGTATGGTTGAGGATCAACTGCCTGTAGATGACCCACTCTCGAAGACTGCAGCCATTCAGGACACCATCATGACTGATCAGCCAGCAAGTGAGGAGGGTTCAGAGAAAGTTGAGCTTGAAAACCCTTCAGCGAATGACCCTACCAGCACTTCAACAATTGCAGAAGTCCAAGACTCAGCGAATTGTTCGCCAATGAAGGCCAAAGAAAGTCGGCTGACCGAACCTATAAGTACTAGCGTAACTGCGATAGTGCCAGACTCGATCACTGCGCCTCCCGTAAAGGCTATACAGGTTCTAGCGAATGACTCCCAAAGCACTCCACCTGCTATGGAAGGCTCAAAATCACAAACGACACCAGCGCCTGAATCACAACATCGTCGATCCAAGCTTGACATGTCTGGCGCAAAGCGTATGCTCTTTGGCTCTTTGGGTCTTAAAACACCAAAGACCAAGGACGATGAATTGAAGACGCGGGAGAAGCTGATGAAAGATGTGAGGCCTATCAAAGATTCTCAGGTCGACGAAAATTTCGAGACAGTCGAAGACATTGCGGCTGCAGCAGAGGATGAGAGCTGGAAAGACAAGATCGATTTGCGAGCCGTAGAATGCTGTTATGAGGGGATTGAGCTGAGCACGCCGCCATTTCCTTTCGTTCAGAGATGGGACCCTCAACAGCAGAGAGGATATAACACGGGCAATGCGAAAAAGCGGAAGGGAAAGAAACGAAAGCGTAACAACGATGACTACTACGAAAACAGCTCTTTCCATCCACAAGACAAGGTTGCACATCGCAACAACCAAAACAGTTACGAAGACATTTCCTATAATCTACAAAACGCATCCGTGCGTCTCAACAAGGACGACTGGCCTAGACAGGAGGCAGAACGAGAACCATCGACAGAGAAAGCCCAGGCGGAGAGCAAAAGCCAGGAGCGCTCGCATGATGAGAGTCTTGAAGATTCCATCAGAGCTAATGAACAGTTACGCCACGAGACCGAAGACGCCTCTGCAGATATGCTTGTCGAAATGGAAAGGCTATACGACCTGACACATGACTTTCCCGCTCTGCCCGAAGACCTCTCTACATGTTCATCCTTGACTCCAGACACAGCCGCGAAAGGAAACATTGTTGCCTTCAAACAGCTTGAAATGTCGGCAGAGACCAACTGGCAGCCCAAAATATCGGAATACCGAACGGCCATTGTCGACGAAATCTTGGACGACGGTACGCTATTAATGACGCTTGCAAAGCGTGATCAACCTTCGAAGGATATACAGTACGACGAACAAACTGGCGAACGCCTCTACACCAAGTTCGAGATGCCGGGCTATCATGACGAACATGGCGGAGACGATAATGGAAAGATTGAGATTTCGTTCGACGAGTTGATTAGCCCAATTCTGGTTGAGGCTGCAGGCGAAAATGGCAACCAGGATAATGTGCGGCAGGCTCAAGACCTTATCGTAGCCCATTCCGACTCAAATGATAGGGCCGTTACTGGAGAAGCTCTCGATACAGACGGGGGTCCGCAAGGCGTTGGTCTAGATGGCCCAATTCAAGAAACCTCCCACAAGGAAGCTGCTGAGCCGAGCGAAGAAACTCGACATGAAATCTCCGAGCTGATCAAGGATGCTGGATGGCGGTCGAGCGTAGCAAGTCATGAATTGATTGACGGGCAAGATGAGAACCCTCTTAGCCAAAGAAACGACCCCAATGAGGATGCTGTTGTGGGCCCACCATCGCCGAAATTTCACGGTTTCAGCTCCAGCCCACTTACCAATGGATTCCAGGTGGCATCATCGCCACCGCCAGCAGCGCTTCAGACGTCAAGGCATGTACATGCTTTAGATATTGAAATAGCTGAAAGCGTCCCTCTTCAAGGTCCCGACGAGTCACCCGCTCGCTCAATCATCTCAAACCCTAGATCCGCGATTGACTACCCCAATTTACCAAAGATGAATGACGACACCGAAGTGTTCCAGCAAGAAGCCCAGGATCGCTCGGGCCTTCTAGAAGCAGACCACCAGATCGCGTCTCAAGATCTCACCGCGCCGAGTAGCATCCGTGGAACCCCATCTCAAAGCATCGCATCTCCTACTCTAATGTCGCTCGAAAGAAGCTCTCCGAAACTGGTCAATGTATTTGACGGGGCTGACTCTGACGAATCATTACCAGAGTTGTTTTCGCAAGCTTTCGAGAAACGACTGTCACAGGGAAGGGAAATGAAACCACAGCTCCCAAAGGAAGATCCTATTTCACCCCCGAGTCGTCGCAAATTCAAGCGCAATAGCAGGATCAATCTATCCCAGAGAGAATCTAATCGTGATTGGGAGCCTGATCACTCCGAGGGTGAGCATGAGGATGATGGTGTGAGCACGCCGCGCCTATCGCAACCGGATTTTTCTTCTCAAATTGTCGACTTGACCATCTCGAGCGATACCGTGGATCCTCCAGACGACTCATACAATGATGACGATGACTTTATTTTACCAACGGGGCCAGGATGGGTGCAAAAATCTAGGATAAGCGAACCTCGTGATAGCCCCACGAAGAAAACCACCACAAGAAGTTCGATGAGTCGTAGGTGATGATGTGTGCATGGGTGAGAAGGACAACATGCTGTGGCTCGGAAGAAGTGAAGGCATTCTATCTACATCGATAACATGGTACTGTTGCTCACCATGTAGGTTTGTTTTCAAACGTAGAGTATCGCTAGGTAGTCGGTAGCTTCATGGCAAACCATGTAATAAGGCATCAAGACCAACCTATGTTGCCAACGTAAAATTAGACGTAGTTGCCAAAAAGATGTTTGAGCGGACCATCGGGATGTCGTTGCACCGTACGTTATTCCTTTGTCGAAACTTTCCAGCACAGCCCGCCTCGTCCGCACTTCTTTCTTCCTATAAGGCAGTTTCGGCAGTAATCATGCTCGCTCCTGCAAGTGCCAAGTCGCAGGCACACGATGCGCTGTCTCTTCTTGTATCATTATACTCCCTAAATCCATCAAGTGAAAGGCAGACCTTAGTCGAAATCGCTGATCAGTATGTCCGTTCGGATACAGCTCGACAAGCCTCAGGGCGCCTTTACAAATCTCGACCAGATTAGCGGAGTGGTCATCCTGAGCATACTTGGTCCCGAGACTGTTTCTGCAATAACCGTGAAACTCGAGGGGGAGAGTAGATCTCATCTAGCGGGGAATATCAATCCGCGACGCAACTATGACGGCTTCGAGAAGGAAGGTTCACGACAAGAGGTCCACAAGGTAAGTGAGTGCTCTTGGACTGCGTCTGACAAACGACCATTTTTCTGATCGGCTTCATAGCTTCTCTACAAGGTCCTTACTGTCTTTCCTACACCGGATCTCCTAAGGGCAACAGGCCCGGATCAAGCCTATACCCTACCATCGGGTCCTCATGCCTACCCTTTCCGGTTCAAGGTATGCTCCAAGTTGTAAAACGCTCACCGCTTTCTAATACGAGGGTCAGGTCCCTTTCAACAATGACTGCTCCAACAACAACTCCTTGCTTACAAGCCTCAATGCCTTGCGTTTTGAAATGGCAAGAGATACGAACAAACATGTGAAGAAAACCCTTCCACCTTCTCTCAATGGACTTCCAGGAGAAGCAGAAATACATTACTACGTGAAAGCTACGGTGCAGCGACCGGCGTTCTATAAGGAGAATTTCAGAGCAGTATGTTGAGCCGTTTATTTGAACAAGCCAACGAGCCAGGAAGGATTTCACGACCTCTTACTGACTCCGTCGATAGACCTACCCATTCATATTTCTTCCTATCGAACCACCTCGACCCTCTCCCAACAAACGAGAATCGTATGCTAGAAGATCCCACCAGTTCGGTCCAAGTATTGATGTGCCTGAAAAGCCTGGCCTCTTCCGGAAGGCGTCTGTGGCAACCACCGATCCATCAGTCCCGGAAGTGCCACCTCCGAGCATCAGTATTGACGGTCGCTTGCCTGATCCAGCCATCATCACCTGCAACGAAGCGCTACCCCTACGGATACTAATTACCAAGAAGAATGAGACTCCAGCAACTATATACTTAAGAACGCTGAGTATCATACTTGTAGGCTTCACTGTGATTCGAGCCCACGAACTACGAAGGCAAGAGGCTCAAAGCTGGGTGATTATGAGCCAAGCCCACATAGACAAGGCTCTAAACAGCACCGTTGGCGGTAATGGCAACAATATTTTAGAGGTCGACTCAAACCTGTGGAAGCAGCGCCCTTTGCCAAACACGGTCTCACCGTCATTTGCCACATGTAACATATCACGCCGCTACGAGTTGGAAGTCAAGGCTGGATTGTCCTGGGGCTCTGCTCAGAACATAAACGTAGGTCTGAATCCATTTGCGTCGCAGGATCTGCTGATAGCCCGAAGCCTGAACTTACAGTACAATCCGTTCGAATGCCTGTAGAAGTCTATTCTGGGATCGCTCCTCCCCAAGCCCTGCTCGACCAAATGGCGGATCGACCCACTGCGCAGCCTACTTCAAATTACAACCTTCGCCCACCTGGTTCTGCCAATGGGCCTTCCACTGGGCACTCTCCCGGACCTTCTCGGCCTCATGCTCAAGCGCACAGCGATCATATTGAGCCTTCTCCGTCAGATATTCCTGAAGAAGCACCTCCAAGCTATGAGGATGCAATGGCGGATGATCTAGCACCGATCGATGGACCAAGGCGAGACTATCACCAGCAGACAACCTCGACGCCAACTGGCAGCAACGGCACCAGCGGTAAAGGGTCTGCGAGTGAAGACAGGTTGTTTCCTGAGAGCAGGCGATGATGGACAAACAGTTATGAAAATATTGATTAGCGATTCAGCGTGTCTTGTAAGGGTCGAGAGATGAGAATGGCAGTATGAACCTTAGTGAGACATGAAAATATGAAAGCTTTATAAGTCAATCCAGAGACGAGCAGTCTTATCATTACAACGTCTATGATTGGCTGCAATACTAGCGCCCGCATTATCGATTAGGGCTAGCAGCTGGAGGTGCGGTGATGATGACGTTCATGAGCTTCTTACCTCATGGAGATGTTTCCGCAACTACTATCCACAAATCCACACTCTTTACATGCCACCCTTTCTTCGTTACACACCTCGAGTCGTCTTTCGTCGTCCTCCACGGCTCACCAAGTTCCTAGTATCAACAATCACCACTTCAGCTAGAACTATGGCACAAGAATACCAGATCAAGGGGCTCTCCAAGCTCGACCTCAAGAGCGGAGAGAAGCGCGAAGTGGAGGTTGAAGGAATTGAAAATGGCAAGGTCTTGCTGGCCAATCTGAACGGCAAGACTCATGCTATGAGTGCCAAATGCACCCATTACGGAGCACCATTGAAGTTGGGAGTCCTGAGCCCCGACGGAAGACTAACCTGCGCGTGGCACGGAGGTGAGTCCCCTCAATTGTGGTACCCACTCAGTAAAGGATTACTAACCATATATTCTAGCTTGCTTCAATGTCTCTTCGGGTGACGTTGAGGATGCCCCAGCTCTGGACCCCTTGGCCAAATTCGAGATTGTGGAGAAAGACGGAGGGGTATACATCAAGGGAGAGGAGAGCACGATCAAGGCGAACAGAAGGGCCGTCAATACCAAATGCAAGGCTCAGGGTCAAGAGAAGGTCGTGGTTGTGGGCGGAGGAAGTGGAGCAATGGGCGCCGTACAGGCCCTCCGTGAACAGGAATTCAAAGGCGCCATCACCATGATCTCAATTGAGCCCAGCCCTCCCATCGACCGCACCAAGCTCTCTAAAGCCCTCATGACAGACAAATCCAAGCTGGAGTTGCGTCCTCAGGCATGGTTCGAAGAATCTTCCATCGAAACCGTCTCGGACGAAGTTACCAGCGTCGACTTTGATAAGAAATCAGTCTCCACCAAATCCGGCTCTTCCTACCCTTATACCAAGCTCATCCTCGCCACTGGCGGTGTACCCAAATTACTACCGCTGCCCGGATTCAAAGAACTATCCAATGTGTTCCTCCTCCGTTCGCTTCCGAGTGCGCAAGCTATCGTCTCGGCTGTTGGCGAGAAGAAAGGCAAGAAGGTTGTCATCGTAGGCTCTTCCTTCATAGGAATGGAAGTCGGAAACTGTCTAGCCTCGGGAAACGATGTCACAATCGTAGGCATGGAATCTCGGCCCTTGGAGCGCATCATGGGCGCCGAGGCCGGCGAGATTTTCCAAAATCTCGTCTCGAAGAATGGTGTCAAATTTCACATGAACGCTGGTGTCGAGGCTGCCGGACCCTCCAAGGAAGATTCCAAAAAGGTCGGCTCGGTCACTTTGAAGGATGGTACAATTCTGCCTGCCGATCTTGTCATCCTTGGCACCGGCGTCAGTCCAGCTACTGGTTTCCTGCAAGACAACAAGGCAGTGTCATTAGAAAAGGACGGCTCTCTTCAGGTCGATGAAGGATTTCTTGTCAAAGGTCTAAAAGATGTCTATGCGATTGGCGATATAGCAACATTCCCCTATCATGGCCCCGGGAGCAACGGCAGCTTGACCCGCATCGAGCATTGGAATGTCGCCCAAAATGCAGGCCGCGCTGCCGCAAAGTCTATCGTCTCACCTTCCTCCAAACCAAAGGTCTTCATACCGGTATTCTGGTCAGCACTGGGCAGTCAGCTGAGATACTGTGGCAATACTCCGAACGGATGGGATGAATTGGTCATGCAAGGGGAGCCGAAAGAAGGGAAATTCGCTGCTTTCTACGGGAAAGGTGATACCGTGGTGGCCGTGGCGAGTATGATGATGGATCCAATCATGAGCCAGAGTGCGGAACTGATGAAGCAAGGCAAAATGCCTGGGTTAGCGGAGTTGCGGAAGGGCGTGGATGTCAGAGACATCAAATTGCCCGGAGAGATCAAGATGTGAGTGGAGATGTACGTCCGAAGAGGATATGAAAAGCATGAGACGAAAAGGGAGTATTGTAGTTAGAGAAGAGAATATGATCATATGAGATATACGAGCTTTTGAAGAGCAGCCTCGCTCATCAAATATACACTAGTTTTGAAGCCGGTTAAGACTTGTGTAAAACTACAAATGCTCCACCAACCAAGCTCGAATCAAAGAATCCTACATTGACTCTTCATGTACGACAGGTAGCAGTCCAATCCTTCTCTGTGATCCCAAAACCAGCGAAGAAACTACAACAGAAGCGCATTCGCAAGGGACCGAGTATATGGAGAAGAGCATCCTCGAGGGACCCAGTATATAGAAAAGAGCACCGACTCGCACTCCTCGTCCTCCGCCAAAGCGAGCGGGCCCGAACGGCCCCATCTGCGGCAACCCCTCCGACAACCCGAACAAAATCAGATGGATACCCGCGAGTTCGATCTCCACGTCGACGAGACTGCGAAAAAACGTGGAATGAGGACCCGAGCCCCGGAGAGACTGTGAAAGGACGAGAGAAAAAGGGGGGGGGGGAGGGAGGGGGGAAAAAGGGACCCAAGCACGACGGCTACCCTTGAGCAACGATTACGGCTCCTGCGCCCCAGCAGCCAGGATCGAGACGGTATGCCGTGCAGCTAGGATAGTCCTCCGCTGTTGGGGACCGTCGGACGACAGACTTCCGGAGCGATGGAAGGTGGGTGATGGCCGGATGATGCGGAAGCGGGCGCGGAGGCTTGATTGCAGGACGAGTCCGTTCGCTCGTTGGAGTGTTTTCCGTCGATGATGAAGTGCACCTGCTATTTGATCAGGGTTGATCGGATAGGCCGTGAGGTACCTTAGGCTCGGTCACGGTGTTGGCACGAGGGCTTGTTCCTCGCTGAGGACGACCCGACTTTTCTGCCTGTCATAGCTTCCGTGGTCCGCTTATTCCGATCGATACCTACAAAAACGGTGCGCAGATGAGGAGTAAGAGAGCTTTTATCCTGTGGAATGCTCATGATAAGAGATCCGACTCTGTCAGACGTTCTCACAACTACGAGGCTCGTCTGTCTGTCACACACACGCATTGGTCTCGTTCAGCGACCATCACCAGAACGTAACGCTTCCGCTCCCCACGGGTCCCGCAGTATCATCCAAAATGGTAATAGAGGTCTCAAACCACCCCCGCAGTCCATCGAAAAACAATCTCGACCCTTCCAACGTGTCCGCCAGTATCAACCAGGTCAAGTCTTCCTGAGCGAGTGGGCGACTGATTCTGACATACAGCTTCGCCTCAGACCATTCGAAATTGGGCTGCGGCACAGGCCCATCTCCATGGGCCGCGACCACCGCCCGACATATTTGGTACTGCGCTCTAGCGATGAGATTGAGGAACGTCTCTAAGTGTATTGGGGGTCCGTATTTACTGAAGATTAGGGACGTGGTGGTGCCAGGGACTCGCATCTGGTACGGGTCAATTGGGTAGTCATTGGGGCTGTGTAAAGTTGAAAGGCTAGAGTTTAACGACCTGGCTTGTGTGGGCTATTTCTGTGGCTGTGGACTTACCTTATTGCCGGTCCTGACACATTGATTTTAACTGGAAATTGTAAGGCTGACGTCGTATTGACAAGGGAATCGCTTTCGGGGCTTAAAGAGACGGAAGGAGATGGAGTTGCGGTCTCAGTGAATTTGATTAATTCAAAAACAAAAGCGAGCGAGACTATGATCAACACCTGCATTCTGTGAATGCTTCCTTTTGGTATTGATCCTCGTTGAAGTTCAAGACTAAGAGTTGCAGAAGAGGGTTTGTCAAAGTCCATGCTGTCTATGGGTTGACTGGTGCGCTCCACTTATACAGCCGAAGTCGCGATATGCAAGTGATTGCATAGAATAGAGACAGATTCGAAAAGTACGGTCCGAGCGCATCGCGCCTGGATATCACAAGTCCATAGGATGAGCAACCCGACAACTTCGAAACCGCGGGATTAGTTGCAAAAGAGCTATAGCTGATGTGGGTCCAAAGCCGAGGGTACGGAGACAAATGGTCGATTCGAATCGCTTCTGGCAATCCCGTCAATTAACGCGGGTATTAACCTTTTGCTGCATTTTCAGAGGCGTCGCGGACCACGTGCATGTCGAGGTTGATTCAATCAACATAAGACATTATGGTATATTAAGCCCGGCGGTTTTTGCGATTGACGGCGTATACTTGGTCTTAAACCAACGGAGTGGGTCCCGACGTGAATACGTGGAATGAGTCGTACGAGCTTGCACTATGGCGGTGGGGGTCTCTACAGCCGTGTTGACATGGAATAAGTGGGAAAGCAGCTTTCTGATGTCTTCCTTCCAGAGAAAGTCTGGCCAAAAATCCAAAGATTATAAGCTCGATGCAGTTCACTTTGTTCCTTCTGCAGAGGATATCAAAAAACCTGAGTCGCAGTTGATGGAGATGGTTGGATTCGGAGCTTGAGGATGAGATGTTGAGAGTGGAGAGGTCTTAGACGCCCCCACCAGCCCGGCTCCCCCACGTAAATTTAGTTCCGTGGTCCGTGCCGTCGTTCCAGTTTCAGATCTTCCCACCAATCCTTTAAGCGACGTATACGGAGTAAAAGTATCGACAGCGAGATACCGTACCCACAGGATTGGGATTGGATTTACTAAGAAGTGCAAAAAAGATGATGCGATTAAGCGTTTCAGCTGGGCAAAGTGTTGCTTCGGAAGGTGGCACCGGTGGTAGGTGTGAGGCATTTTCCAAGCGGCAGCTGACGGCTCGGAGCCTGAAAGTAGCCATCGAATCGGTTGGAAAAATTACCGGTCAATACGTTGATCTTACTGTTAGACACTTTCCACGTTTCAGGCGCAAAAAAATGCTCAAGATTCGGAGCCCATTCATCATAAGAAACCTAGCTGTTCGTTAGCAGTAAACGTTACTTTCCTGCAATGTTGTAGACGGAGTCCTGTGTGAAATTGCATCGATTGCAAGCAAAGCTAGATGGGTATCAAACGTCAAATCACGCTCAAGTCGAAGAGGCCGTCACCCTTCCAGAGACTCCTGAAGCAGCGTCTTATCGATACTCACTGCTTCCACATGAGTCGAAAGCCGCTTCTCTGCCTTCCTACCACGAACCGAGTCGCCTTTCTTCTTGTCTATGCATCTCTCGTCGACAGCAGCGCTCAAAGCATCTATGGCTCGAAGGTTACCACTCGATTTGGTGGGAGCATCGCCCCACTTGCCAAACATCCACCCGCCGACACGTTTACCCAAAGTGGACTTCTCAGCTGTCGCGGTAGACGCTGGCGTGGCCGGGCTCGTTGAAGCATGACTAAGAAGCAGGCGATTGTAGTTGCTGCTGTCATAGCCCCGATCGCGTTTGGATGCCTGGGCGACGGCAGCGGTGGAGCTTGTCACAGGGCCGATAGAGGCGACAGATGGGCCAAGTGACGATCGAGGATTGAAGCCTTGCGAGTCCTTGCTTCGTAGTTTGGGCATGTCGAACCCCGGGCTTGGTAGTATGCTTTCGTGTGACGAGGCTCGATGCAATCGAGGGCACTTTTGTTCCAATTGAGAGTGCGTCTGCCAGGCATGTCTGTTGGGGTCAAAGTGATTATCCAAGAAAGAAATCGTGGTGTCATCTTCTGGCTCTTCTAGAATGGTGCTGCGGTCTGATGGAGGAAATTTGACAGTCGCCGTAGACTCGTCCATGCCATATCGGTTCGCGGCCTGCAGTACCCCTGATATGCTTTGAGGTACGCTAGACGATGTTTGTGCAGATAGACTCCTCGTCGAGACGTCTGAATTACGGTTGGAATATCGGGGGTAGATAGTGGGCGATCCAAGAGCGGTAGACCCGGGTGTAGTTGGTCTTGATGAGTACATGTTATCATCCATGGTGTCAAACACCGAAGAATTCCTGAACGCGGATTGAGGAGAGCTTGGCAATGACGAAGGAGCGTGCGAGGACTGCGATGACCATCGATGCGACTGAATGGGAGGAATAGTGACAGATGTTTGTGATAGGATAATTGCAGCAGAGGAGCCTGCTGTAACTTGCATAGAGTGAGCGCTGGGTTTTCGCGGTGTGTGAGGCGTCTGAGTACCAGAAGACGGTGTTCGAGATCCAGGCGAGGTAATGTTCCGCCGCTTCTTGGTCCTTGCAAGTCCAACAGGCCTTTCTCTGGCAGTCTTGACTTTCGGTGCGGCGTGATAATGATGGTGAACATGGAAGTCAGGTGAAAGTACAGCTTCGTTGACAAGCGTCTTCGCAAGCTCGTTATTCAGGTCTTCTCCGGATCCAGGTAGTTCGGGATGCGGCTGAACAGGCTGATGAAGCATCATTTGCTCTCGAAGGTTCTCTACCTCCTCATTCGAACCCATTAGCATCTCCCGCAGCTCCACAATTCCCAATTGCAAGTTAGCATTGTCCTGGAGGATATCCTTGACAAAATGTGAGACAACGCTGCTGCTTCGGTCAGCGCCAAGCGTAGTTGCGGCCGCCGCTCCTTTCAGGTGTCCAACCGCGTTCTCGAGTTCCCCTTCGACAGCCCTCCGCCTTTCAAATCTCCTTACAACTTCAGCGTGCCTCAAGCGTTCTTCTCGTGCCTCCTTGTCTATTCGATCCACCTGCTCCTGTAAGGTACTGATAGTCCGCTCAGCGCCTTTCCATCGTTGTACCGCTGTTTTCTCCTTCTCTTCCCTAGACTTTAATTGGTGATGAAGGTCAGCTGCTTCCGACTCCAGACTTGCCAACTGTGCTTCGAAGTGTGACGTTTGCGCAGCAAGCACCGTGAGTCGCTCGAGTTCTTTGCGTGTAGACTGAAGCGTTGCGTTGAGAGATAGGATTTGCGCGTCGGAGTTGGAGACCGTATCGTTCATCTCTTCCAGCTGGTCCAGTAGGTAACGGTTCTCCTCTATTATCCGGGCATTCGAGACCTCCGACTCTTTCTTGTCTGTTTCAAGCTTCTCGACACTCCCAACCATCCTGCGCCGCTCCCCCGCCGCTTCAGCGATGTATGCCTCATGGCGCGCGAGCAGTGCCTGTAGCGCGAAGGTCAGCGACATGCCTATCAACGAGCCTAGGAGCGGTTTGCTCCTTCAAGCGTGCAAGTTTGGTACTATATAGCTGACATACGAATCACTAGATGTTCAGATGCGCTAAGTCGCACGGGTCCTGAAAGGATTGTTTGATTCGAAGGATCAAACACGATTCCCAAAAAGCATGCACCTACTTGGCCAATGCGCGCAGCATTTTCGAGCTGATTCTCCAGTCCTTCTAGGGCTGCATTATTGTGTCTGAGATAGGCGCAGTGCAGATTACCGCAACAGCAGCTTGTTGGGCGCTCCCTGTTTCCTCGCACTCCGCAGGATGATTGCGATAACAAGGCGTCAAGAGAGGAAGCAGCTGGTGAAGAAGCCGAGGAACGCTCCATATTATTCACGATCGGTCACAATGGTAGGCTGAGCAGGCTTCTCTGTGCGCATAGCTATTGTTAAAATCTTGAGAGGTCTTCATCGATAGGATAGGTGAGGGGTAAATGGGAGGTGAGGTGTGCGCATGTTTGAAGTTGAAGCGAAAGCCCGGCGTAACACCCCATGATTGGTCCAGCCACTGGTTATCTACTCGAAACGTCAAGTCACATGATGACGAATGAGAAGAGTGGGAGGGATCGGCGACGAAAGATTGTCGATAAAGATCAGATCTATAGATCTTAAAGTTTTGCTTTCTATCAATAGTACAGTATCATTACAATCTCGACCAATGCTTGAGATAGTAGTCACAGTTTCCCACTTTCCCATTTTCCCAGGTTCCAAAATCTCTCCAGGCTTCAAGGATCTTTCCCCGCCACTTGCGAAGCACTCCTTTGATACTTCTCAGCATGCACGCCGTATTCCCCTACCTCATCCATACGGAACCGTAGGGAACAAACAGCCCCGAGCTAATGTCCTCGAATGAGCATATGTTGAGTGACTTCGATGACAGGATGCGCCACTTTTCGCCTTTTCTTCCCTCCCGGGACAAGTGCGCCCTCCCGGTCTGGCAAACAAAGGATATCGCTGTTTTTCCAGTATATTTCTTGCGCCGTTGGCTTGGACATATCTTCTGATTGCGGAAAACGTGGCCTCGGTCCTCGATCCAATCTTTCATCCCTCCCAATGCAGTATCAGCCCTTGCCCCTAGCTTTCTCCGGCCCTCCTTCACCATCATGCACCTGCTGCACCTTTCTATACTCTTCCTCCAGCGCCTTTTGCATCTCGAAATCCGCCTGCCGTTCTTTCTTGACCCGTTGTTGTTCAATGTCTCGTACCACTCCAGCATGCATTGCCTGTAGAACGTAAGCGGTTGATCAAGACAATCGGGCTAGAGAGTCCATCGTGGCAGGGAGGCTCACAGCTTTCTCGGAATTCTGCTGGTAGTGAACAAGCGCAACGACCCCAAAGGCTCCTATGGATGTACCCGCCAGCGTGAGTTTCGCAGCTCTGGACATGCCTGTGAGATCGTAGCGGTCGAGTGGTGCAAAAGAGCGAAAAGGGTTTTGGCGGGATGCGATGGTGACGCTTGGCGGAGACAGGGATCTCGAAGCTCCGATTCCACCACCTTGATCGCCAACTTTCTTTTGATATCTACGCACTCGTGGGCAGACAGCCGCAAAGATGGTAAAGCCGTGTAAATCTACGAGCTAACGACCAATTGCTGACCGTGTTGCAGTCTGCACAAAATTCCAAGGGTATCCAAACCCTTCTCGACGTAAGGACAGCTATCTGCCTCCCCAATCTGCAGTTCTAAACCTCTAGTAAAGGCCGAGAGAGACGCCCAGAAGATAGTCCAACAAGGTATGCTATCCAGGGCCTGTCAATACTTTTGTTGCGAATCTAATGACTATCTACAGCTCGAGAATGTATGCCTACGATACCCTCACCCTCTGATCATCAGCCCACCTAACCCCGACTCCAGACCGATCGAAACGTGTGAAAGACGCCAAGAACGAAGCGCAGAAAGAAATAGAAGACTACCGGAAGCAAAAAGATGACGAATTCAAAGCATTCGAGAAGAAGGTGCTTTCCAATTCCATACACTCCCTCGGTCACCCATGCTCGTAGTAAGCACAGCAGCTGATCGACGGACGATGGATAGCACACAAGCGGCAACAAGAAAGCAGAAGAAGACGCCAGCAAAGATGCAGAAGAGCAGATGAAACGGATCAAGGAGGCAGGGAGCAAGACAGGGGATAAGGTCGTTCAGGATTTGCTGAACGTGGTCACGGAGGTAAAGCCGGAGGTTCCTGATAGAGTTGCTGCGCCGCCGGAGGCATGATTGGCACAGAGTGTACGATGGTGTATCAAGCGGAGAACTACCCCAATTGCTGGGGATATATGCTCTAGCTGTTATTGGGACATCATAGATCACAATGCGTTTTGTACGAGGTTACATGGGATCAAATATTATGGTATTGATCATGCCTTCAGCTATAAATCTGGGCCCGTAGCCCCTGAAAGTTAAGATGGGGTAACAATTTGGATCCTGCACCATGACAATTTTTGAGAAGGGAGTACTACTGGATACATCCTTCAAAAGTGTCAGTGGGGGCCATTAAGGCAACGTCCGCACTTGAAGTCCGAATCTGTCAAGGTAGTAAGTAGTGTTGTTGCTACAGGTGGAGTTGATCATGGAATATGTCGGTTCCGCGAAGGAGTTGGTCGCAGTACCGGGTGAGCCGTTCGTGGCTAGGCCTGTATTCGTTGATGAAACTGCTAAACGACTGCTGTTACTGCCTCCAGGAGTTCAGGTATTGACTTTTCCGGCTCCAGTACTACCGGCGAATGCTCCAGTATAGGCGTTTCCAGGTCCAAGGTCAGCTGCAGTGTTAGTTGTGGGCGGATCAGCATGTTCAGATTGAACTTAACAACTGCTAGGAATTCCGGGATTCTCATCGTCAATTCCATGAATGCCGTACTTGAGGCAACAATCGTTGCCTGCCGATTGCGAACTTGCGGCGACAGAGGATGCACCACTTGCACCGTACAGACCCGCCTCGGAAGTGTAATCGGAGCAAGCCAAGAGACAATCCGCCAGATTGTCGGTCTGCAGACCAGAAAAATCGCTACCGTAGAAATCGAAGCCGCAGTGGATTTCGTAGGCGTACCCACCGGCCATATAATAGGTGTTGTTATCCTGAGCACAGGCGGGACTTGTTTCTGTCTGCAGAGTAGGAGTGGTGGTGGCAATAGCTATGCTGACATAGGTACTCGTAGCCACTACAGTAAATCCTAGTGAGTTTGTTGTCGTAATGTCGGATTTAGCAGTTAAAGCGGTGGTGAAAGTAGTGATAGCACCGTTTGAGTTGGTGCTCGTTACGACCACTGTTGTAGTTCCGCAAGCTACATACGGAGGCCGGTATAATGGGATAGATCGGAGTCTCGATACCCGTGGTGACGGGTTGATTATGGACTTTTGTAGGCCAATGTTTCAGCGCCAAAGCGATTGTCGCTGCCCTCAAAGCCTGAGCCACTTGCACCTCCAGTATGAGGTACAATCACCGGTCCCCACTTATACAGTCTCGACTATCTGACCTAGGAAAGCCGTGGGAGCAAAAAGTCCAAGGCCCAAGAGAGAAACCCTCACAGTGACGGTGGCTGCGGAATAGGAAGGTAAGCCTTTCTGGAATCATGCGAAGACCAAATCAGAGTAGTGGACGTGCAACGCGTAAATTCAAGAATACTTAGAGCTTCTGAGATCGCGTGGATTGGCGAGATCAGATTAGTACAGGGACTCATAGAATGCAGATACATCGGCGGGGTCTCATTCTGGAGCCGAGAGGCTTCCGACCCAGCGGCCAGGAGCACGATGTCCTTATCATGAGACTACTAGACCTCGGTCATTGTGACCAATTTTGGAAGGCGTACCCTGGGTGATGGACGTCTCACACCGATTGTTGTCAGAGATGACAGGGTCTTGACGTACTTGAAAAAAGCGAGGAGCCTATCGATGACTTGAATTCGCTGCATTGCGTTCGAGAAATATTTGTAGACAGCAGAGGTGATGTTCTGCGAACAGTGCACGATTGTACGAATACGAGTACAGTCAACCGTCGATACACGCTAATACGCGCGCTTGGCAAGGCTGCCGCTTCTGGGGCGACAGTACTTTATGTGATTAACTAATCCCTAGCTCCTCAGTTCTCCAATGTCCAAATTATGCTAGGGAAAAGTCGACAGTTCTCTCCTCATAATACTCGAGCGCTCTCGAGTCCTTTGCATCAAACAAAGGGGCTGCTTGCTTCAGAACCCAGTCCTTGTCGAACAGTGATTTGATATTGAAGGGTTCGACAGTGAAGGCATGGACCCTATCTTCGTGACCTCTTCGTCAAGGCTCGATACAGGCTTGCTCATTTCTTAGACTTGAAGCATGATCCGGCCATCTTCCCTCGCGATTGCATATCGCTTTTCATACCTCACGCCATTTTGTGTGGCTGTACGGAGGTCCGTCCCAGCCATCTGACTTTGAACAACATACTGGTCCACGAATTGTCACAGCTGAACTCGAACGTTCCATGTCAGCGACTGAAAACGAGGTATGCTGGCGAACGTAGCGCAGGGTAGCGACGTCACAACCGGGTCGGGACATTCACGCTATGCGTGGTACTCTCCAATTGAGCTGCTCAGGACGGTCAGCATTAGGATCAATGACTGTAATGCCGATGAACCGATTGAAAGTGCCGCCATTGATTCGCTCAACAATAAGAACCGTGGTAAGGTGCTTGAAGGTCTCATCGGACGTACCAGGGGATGAAAATTTTAGTCGACTGAGCTGTCTGGATTTTAGGAGGCCCGAAAATTGATGACCAGAGGCCCCAAGAGAATGCTCTGATAGGGGTCCTCTGGACGCAGGAGGCCATACGATGTAATTACCCTCTTCGTATCATCCAAGGGAAGCGGACACGAGTAGATTCCAACCCAGCGTGCTTCTGTAGACGAAGCCACTTCTTAAGAGTAGTACTTCGGGAATAGGAGACCCAAGAAAATTAAAGAACGTGAAAAGAGATAAGTCGACAACAAAGAGAATTCGCGTATTGGCAAGCGCGACTGGTAAGGCTGATGATCAGACTTTCTGATTGGCTAAGATCCGCCAACGTCAAGGCTCTGCCGACAATCCTTCTACAATTGAGTCATTTTATTACGACCCGAGCACAAGAATAGCAATTGACGCCTGTGTTGGTATGAATGCGTGATTAAGAAGGACTCAGTCCTACATTGCTTCCGAGGCTCTGCCTCACATTGCCTTCTAATTCTAAGTCCTAACGTCCCACACGCTAGTGTTGCTGCCTGCAGCTCTGTCGCCTTGCGGCTTCAACAGTGTAAATGGTATCAAGGCGAAAAATGACTCAATTGATAACAGTAAACGCTCATGTGACTGCTGATGCCCAATGAAAAAAGCCTCATTTTCAATTCTTCAGTCATACCTGCATTGACCGGTCGATACATTCATCCAATGCACTGCCCCATGGTCACGTTAGTCCCTTAAATAGTTCCAGACCAAATCATTCCTCCCCAGTGGTACCCTTGGCATGATCATATGACGCAGTCGATGATGCCGCCGCTCGATGTTGAGATGAGAGTGAAATTCGTGTTGTCTTAGAAGAAGGCCGTCAAGCACAGCTGTGCGGTCGTTCTTGTCGTGAATCCGTAGGAAAAATGAAGCGCAAGGGAACTCATTCGGATGGAGTCGTCAATATTGAATGGATAGTCTCACAGTTCTAAGGCAGGGGGCTCGCGCCCCCAAGAACGCTTGTCGATACCCTCTGCCATCTTCTCTCCTCGTTGCCCGTCTGATTGGCAATGCTGAATTGCGTGGTCCTCCAGAACTTCCATGCTGTCCAGAATGTTGAGCTTTCGTCACCGACGAAAACTTCCGTCGGCGTTGCGTCCGCCGGTACTGCCGCTGGCATAACCAGAGTCAGGGTAGTTGTATTGTTGAGAGGATGCGGAGCGGGAGCCGTTGACCGTGTGTCTCGAACACGTGTAGCCGACTAAGACCTCCTGTGTCTTGATGCTGTGGCCACGACGGCCATAGGCGGGGCAGGCATCAACAGCATGACTGTAGTAGATGCAACGACAGACTGCGTAGCGTTCGACTATCTTGATACACATGATGGCGGCGGCAACGGTAGTGGCTTGTTGTGTTAGAGTTGACTGAAATAGTGATCGATGATTGTGAGGGCACTCGTTGTCTTCTTAAATTTGGATTATGCTTATGGTATAAATGGTACTGATGTGGCAAAATGAGAAATAAAGACAAATTTATGAAATCAATGAGAGTGAAGACGGAAGGCGATGACATAAACAGATGACACAGAGGAAGTAGTATCATGGGACAGTCGGATCTATATAAAGTCCTTGCTATTCAGAGGGAGTTAAAAATGTGCCACCATAGAACTTGGGCACACCAGGCACCGAAGATACTAGGCATCTGCAAAATCCATCGCAGTTCCCGAGAGGAGGACGGGCACAGTCCGAATATCAATGCTTAGATACGAAATCTAGAAGTGACATATAAGGTCAAACACGTACAGCCCCGAGGCTCTAAGGGAATAAGTAGTCCAGGGTTCTTAGCATGATTCCAACATCCTGTGGAGCCAACCATTTCAGCTCGCCTGGGTCAAGGAATTCTCCTAGCCATAGGCAAGCCAAAGCCGTGACTTTGGTGCCATCCAGTGAGAATAATTGCGCAATTGACTTACCTCCATTCATCGTTTGGTGCCGGAAGGATGCAGATACACGACAATCCTTCGCGCTTGAGCCATACCTCGTTCAGCCCGGTAGTCGGAGACCATGCCCCTAATGCGATGTGCTAGGGTTTCCGAAGTCTGACAGTGCGAACTTTTGTGACCCATAACTAGGGCACTCTTCGGTATTAGAATAGCAACATCGTAGCCTGCAGGAGGAGTAGCGGTCGTTGGACGAGGCTGCACCGCCATGCGCTAGAACCAGCAGGGTAAAGCGGTGTCAGATTACTCATCACTCCTGAAGATTATGGATTGATCCGTCCAGAGGCACCATATGATCCTTAGGCATTGTTGATGATATCAGGATGACATGGCTTGGCTCTCATGGATATCGCTCATTTTTGTCGAGATCAGGATGCGGATTCACCATCCTTCTGCTGCTACTTCCTTGGGCATCCGGGGGCTGCGTGCATCGCCGGAGGGCACGGAAAAGACGAACGTCTCAAAGTTTAGCTGACTGGACCTATCTGCGGAGTAGCAACTGTCATCTATAGCAAGGACTTTCAACAACTGTTTGAAATGTACTGTCATCGTAATGGTTGTTGCCGTTGTTCGTAGGATTGTGGGCGACATCTGCGAGCAGCCTTATCAACCGGGATTTGCCTTGCCCTTGCGCAGCTGTCTGCTCTTTTGGTGGCTCCTTCAGCCGCAGTGGAACTATTGCACCAATCATTTCCATGAAACGCTCAGTTGACGGCATACAGGAACCGCGCGATACTTTTTTAGACTTGCGCTTGATGCATCAACCGATGGTCAGCTGACATTATTGGTGTAGGGAAGACGATCTTAAACGCAGGTGCCGCTTAGCTCCATAGAATTCACCGGTTCAGCATAGGTAGCCTTTCCCTGCGTCGACAGTGAGATGTATCGGCGCCGCCGACGGATCTTCATCTGTCCAAACATCATCGTGCTCTCGAATACCTGTGGTTCCACGAAGTGCCTGGGAACGTATTCGTGTACAGAATTTGACCATTAAATGCCTAACTATTATCTCGGATATGCCGCAATTTGCCAGCCTGGTCGCTCATCTAAGCGAAAACCCCCAAAAGGCAGAGAACAACGTCGTGCGGAACATGTTCTTCGGAAGCTGCATCGCGGGCTTTGGAGATGATCGTCGGTGTTAGCCTGACAGAAAGCAGAGAAAGTCTTGGAGAGGTAGAATCCCCCAGAACGAGAAACATACGTCTATTGTGCTCTTTTTCACGAAGTGGACAAAAGATGCGATGTCGAATGATCCAGTAGAGCCATCGCTAAAGGTTTCGGCAAGTAAAGAATAAATGAATGTTATTGATACTTCTTGTAGGTACGTTTTCTCGTCTGGACTCACTGCTTGACTTCAATCCGAGATGTGCTGTCGTCATCACGTCCGCTACAAATGCAATCACGACACCCTTCTCGAGGATGGCTTATCAAACCGCAAAGGTTTGGCTAGAATCTAACCTGGATAGGTACGGCGTTAACGAAATCTTTGTGCTATGCGACAACGTTTGCCCAGATTGCATGGCAAGAGGTGTATCTTAGATACAGCCGTCGTGGAATTGATAGGAGAGGAACAGAAATATTACCATGAATGGCTGAAGGGTGTGAATAGGACGAGCCTTAGGGTTGTTGATTGAAAGCGTTCGGGCGTAATGGAGATCGCAGCAAAACAGCAGAGGGGCGTGGCAAGAGGTGAAGAGAAAGGAGAACAGATACAGCGGTCTTTGATGTATATTCGGGATTGCTCATGTCCAGACTTTGCAAATTCGAGAAGAAGTGAGAACATGTTTGAGTAGAGGTCTAAAGAAGCTTAAACCTCTTGCTCGTTCCTTCCTTCAAATACCATATTCCTTGGGGCCATTTTTCTAAATTACAGCAACTACCCGACAATCCCACGGCTGAGAAGATCGTGCACACTCTACTCTAGGAAGCCTGTTGCATGCGTCGATAGAGAGCCATAAGTCGGACGATGAATGAGAACCATTTATCTGCGTCTCTGTCCAAGGATTTATGCATTTCTTTTCTAAAATCTGCAACAATTCGAGGGACCTGGTCTCATGACATCGACACAAGCTTGCATTGGTGCAATTGAGGCAGGTCGGTCTTAATCCGAACAACAGCCTTTTAAGACTTCAACATCATGATCATCAGTCGCACCGATATCAAGCATTTCATAATGATTTACGATTTGGTGGCTAATCAAGAGAAACCCATTACCAAGTTCTCTAGCTCTTCTGGACTCAAAGTACTTCTTCTTCTGCTGCCCTTTAGTTTCTTCGTGACAGTACTTTTCGAAATGCTCTTCCGCGGTCGATTCTCCTCTCGTCTCTTTGCCTCGTCGGCCTCCGCTTCTACACGTTCTAATTTCTGCTGGATTGTGGGAGCGGGCAATAAAGCGGTTGGCTGTATCTGTTTCATCGGAAATGTTAGAAGCTGTGATCTTGTTTGGGAAACGAAACGTGTTACCTGAAGGGCGATGCGTGACTTAGGCTTTGACGGACTGGCAGGTTTGTATGTCGAGAAGTCCAGTAAGACGGCATCTTCGTCATTTGCGAGAGACGTGGTGTTCTCTTCTGGTATTGTTTGGAAAGAAACCTTTGGTGGTGATATAGCGTTCGCATCTATGTCGCCCAAGACCCTGCCTCTCGCGTGTACATCGAATTCTACTTGGCTTGGTAGATTGGCCTCAAAATCGTCCATAGACGGCTCCTCGGAATCTTCGTGGAGGTCTTCGAGGATGCCCGAGCCGATTAGTTCTGCGTCTTCCTCGTCTTGTTTCAGAAGCGATGTTTCCTGAGCTTCCTGCACCGTCGGTATTCCAGAGCCAAGGTTCAACCCCATCCTCAAATCATCCAGGTTTATCGTATCACCAGTATCAACCATCCTCTTCTTCCAGCCATCCATCAGAGCCACCGCCTCTTTCCATCGTGCCGCCATTTTCTCCCAACCTTCTCTTAGCCTCTGGATCTCGTCTTCCCTGATCTCCACTTCTTCTAATGGAACGAATGAGGGATTTGTGAGCAGTCCTCGCAGGTGCTCCAGCACTTCGTCCGTGCTCGTCGCCAGAGTCTCATATGACGGAGGCCCACCCATGATGGTGTTCGCGGCATCCACGTCTTCTAAGCTTTCGTCGATCTCGGATCTTGGTCGTGTTTCCGACAACCCCTGGAGACTTCTCAAAGTCGCCAATGTGCCTCTCACCAGGCCAATCAGAGCATCGTTCTCATCGCTGAGTCCTTGGCTCAATTGCGTCAGAAAGTCCGTCGTCTCCTGTTTTAAAGAGTATGCTGGGCTTTCGAGATCCGCCTCTGTCTCGCCGTTTCGTCCTCCTTGCGGTCCCTTGCTCATACCCGGCGTGACAACTACTACGCCCACTTGCCCACCATTCCCATCTCTTCCCCTACGCCCTTCTAAATGACGCTTCAGCCTTTGGATCTCTCCATCTCGACGGCGGACGTCTGTTGCGCATTGTGCCCGTATCTGGGCAACAGTCCCTTTGAGCCGCACCATTTCCTCCCGGAGCGCCCTATTCCTCGTCTCCGCGCTCCGCAGCGTTGCGCGTGCGGAACGCTCTTGGGCGCCGGTCAACGCCAACTGCCTATCTAGGTCCGCGTTGCGGTTTTGCAGGCGTGTGACGATCTGTGTCTGCTGGGTTGAGGAGATGCGAAGCGTTTGAAGGTTCTGAGAGAGGCTCGCCAGTGTGTCGGATTCACGCTGTGGTAGATAATAAGTACACATATTGCACAGACTTCCTGGTTGAAGAATGGTTGACATACATCTCGCCTTAATATCAAATCATGTACTAAATTCATCACCTGCCCCATTGTCGCATCCAACCCACCCTCAGCATTCTCAGGAATCGCAAACTCGATGGGCACGCCATTTCTGAGAAGACCACGTGATAGTAGAAGATTATTGATATAAGTGGATGCTGTTCTGCGATTACGAGTATCCATTGTTGAATTCAACTTCTCTATCAAGCAAGATAGGACTGCGGAGAACACCCGGAAAGAGAAAAGTAAACAAACGCCCCGTCGGGAATACCTCGGTAATATATATTAGGCTAGGGATTTTGGCGCGTTCCCGACAACTTTTGTTTGCTTCAGAATTGACATATTCAACCAACACGGCACGACTCTCTCTTTGCCTCATAGGTGCTCGTTAGAAGCTCAGATTCTCAGCAACTCATGTTAGACACCTTGTGAGCCATGTCCTAGCCACGGAAGGGCGAGCGTCCAAATACCCTCCCTCCTCCCTCAATACCATCTGTAACCTCACCGCGATCATCATGTCTGGATGGACAGTGCCACTTTCGTCAAGCCCTTTGGCACCTTCTACACCGGGATCAGATAAACGACATACCAGCTACTTCTCAAATAGCTATGCCTCAAACCCCTCCACCACACCCGCTGGTCGCCCCCCATCTTCAATCGGCTCCTTTACACCTGCGGATCCTCCCCCTTCCTCAATCTTTGGTAGCTCTCAGCTAGGTTCTGGGAAAACACTGTTCAAGAAGAAGCCCTCCCCTGGCATGAATACGGGCTCGCGAAGAAGTGTAAATATTGTGTCGTCCAACTCAATCGATGAAAGCAAGTTGGCTCGGTACCTGGACAAAAGCGGCCGATTTGATCTCGGAAGCAGCAACAGTCCACCGTCAAGGAACACTTTTGGTGTGCCGAGCAGCAGCCCACCATCGAGGCTCGCACACGATAGTGATCAAGACGAGGAATATGAGACTGAGTCGTTCGACGAGGACGAAGATGCCGAAGGCTCAGAAGCAGGGGACAGAACTGTGGACGTGAGCATGGGTGCCGACGATCGACTTCCCAAACGTGGCTCAATCCCCAAACCTTTGGCGAATGGGTCATTCGCGAATGGAGATTCGCTAGACCTTGGCTCTTCCATATTGGACGGGACTCCCCGAGGAATGAAGAGATCCCGTGGTGGTGCTATGATACCTTATGCCCCACCTCGAAGCGCGAGGAAGCATCGAAAGCCAATGCAGGACTCAGCTGTTCCAGGAATTGCGAAAAACATGGCCACAAGAATGGGCCTCGCCAAACTCAGCGAGACAGATGACTTTATTAGTAAAACGGAAGAAATCCTTCAAGAGGAATTGTATGGGACGGAAACTTCAGGTACCACGCCCGAACAAGCTCTGAAAGCAGCACTACCCAACGCCTCTGAGACATTGAGCCAATTCTGGAGGTCATACCGTGATCACGATATAGCAAATGCGCCTCCCATGCAAGATGTCACTATAGGCATAGGGCCGGCCGAGAGTGAGCCTGCACTACACAAATCTATCTTTCTAGCCGCCCTACTTCTACAGCTCCGACACCCACCTACTGCCAAAGGGAAGCAAGCTTTGGCCGTCACTCGTCCCAATCGATCTTCCACTCTCTCAAAGTCTTCTAGAGATTCGCCAACGCCGGCAAACCCTACAGCCTTTCCGAAAATACTCATTGATTGGATGGAGAAGGAGCATAATGCATACCGATCTACCATCAACGAAGTCCAGTCGTTGCATCCAAACCCTACCGCTCATTCCAATTACTGGGACATCGTCCATGTTTGTATAATGCGCGGGAAGCTTGGTGAAGCTGTGCGGATACTGAGAAGATCGAACTTCCATCATGCTAGAACAGCTAGGGAAGACGGTCAGGGTGACGAAGGCTACAATGGCATGCAGGTCAAAAATATCGAGCGAGTTGTTAATAGAGCCATTCAAGTCCTGGAGCTGTGCCCAGCCGTGCAAGATGACGATTGGAATGTCACAGGGAACGAATGGATCATTTTCCGAAAGCGCGTTCAACAAGCAATGGAGGATCTTGCCACATTCGCCGAGACTCGGGACCGAGATTTGGATTCTTCACACTCTACCTTCGAACCCTCAAATTTTGGACTCCTGAGTACGACGATGAGTCTCACCCAATCTACGCGGAGAGCTGAAAGTAGAGTGCCCTGGACTGTCTACCAGGAGTTGAAGATCATGTACGGGATCTTGCTTGGGGAAGCCACAGAGATCCTCTCCTCTGCACAAGACTGGGTGGAGGCAACCGTAGGTTTGACGATCTGGTGGAACGGTGACGACGACGAAGATATAGCTGTCACTAGCCTAGCCCAGACTCGACGTTCACTCAGACCGTCTCAATCACGAGGGTCTCGCCTTGTAGACGTCAATGCGAATCCTGCATACCTGCGCCGATTAGCCTACGCTTTTGCATGGTCGACTGACGAAAGGGACGACGATTTGTTCCAGATCAACTCAATGAACCCTATTGAAGTTGGCTTGGCATCGCTCTTCGAAGGTAACGTCGCAGGTGTGATAGGTCTTCTACGAGGGTGGTCCCTTCCCGTCGTTTCCGCAGTCGCAGAGATCGCAAGCATAGGTGGCTGGTTTGAGACTTCAGTAGCGAACAACCTGATGGAGTTGGACCTCGATGAGGATGACCGTTCGTTGCTCAATGGACAGGGTATACAAGGGCCGCCGATGACTAGGGACACGATCTTGATGGAATATGCAAACGCTCTGTCTAAGAAGGCAGAGATTCAGCGAAATCATGGAAAGACCGCGTACGAAGGGTGGGAGCTCTCCATAACATTGCTTTCTCGCTTGGACGACGACAGCGTGGCCCGAAAGAGAGTTGGCGAGCTGTTAAATCGACTGGATCTTAACTCTGATTCGCGAATAAACAAGATCCTAGAGACTTGCCAAGACTTCAACATGGTCAAGGAAGCCCGAAGTATCACAGAGGTAAGCTCACACTCTTTCTCCCAATGAAAATATATTCTAATCATTGACAGAGGTACGCTGATAATATCGCCGAAAGTTCGGAGAATTATGGCACAGCTCTCATTTACTACGCACGGGCTCATCACCACAAAAAGGTCAAAGATGTCCTGGACTTGCTAATATCTCTGTCCTTGGTCCAGTCGATTGCTTTCCCTCCATTATCAGCGCTTGACGAAAACCTCCACGCGCTTCTATTTACACCGGAACAAAGTGTTGGGCAGCTCGCCCTCATGGATCCAAAAGCCGCAGAGATGCTCCATACTTACCTCACAGGCTATGCGACTCTGCGCAAGTTCTATGATCTGCGAGATGAGGAAATCAATCTAGAAGAGGGTCAGAAACCGACGGCGAGACCCAACGCACGGAAGAGAGCAGCTGCCACAGCACTGCTTGCCGTGATCAACAGTGCTGCAGATAATATCCAGGGCGGACTATTCGATGAGCATCGGGGCTCAGTTGTGCAAGTCGATGGACTGCTATCACTGCTGGGCGAAGCCTTGGTCTTTGTCAATCGTATGTGCTACAGAGAGCCGTTGAAAGTCTCCAAGGCTATCGCTGACTTCTTCCCGCAGAGGCTAAAAGTGTACTCTCTCTTTCCCAATGCTTTGCCCTTCTGAAAGCAATCGAAGACCTCCAGACCATCACTCCCCGCGTCTACGCGCAATGCGAAGAATGCTTCCGCTCTACTCTTGACGCATACCAAGGACGCCGTGCACCAGCATCATCACGGGAACTTCTCAAGAAGACCATGAGCAGTATGAGCAGTAGCTTCTCTTTAGTGGGAAGTTCGATGCTAGACTTCGAATCGAGCAATGGCATCGGCAGCGGTAGAGCGCTCGTCAAGCCCCAGGAGGACAGAAAGAGAGGCTGGGATTGGAGGAAGGGTTTGGCCGAGGATGCAAAGGGCGAGGACGTGCTGAGGATCCTCCGTTTGGGCCTGGCGAAAGATATCGCTCGGCATTGGATCAGCGAGGGAAGTTGAGTGAAGTCTCAAATAGATCCCCGGTGTCGGATGCGTGTATTGCAGGGCGCAGGAAAAAGCATAGCTAAGGATATCCCGGTGCCAGATAAGCACAATCGCGATTGCTGTTTGATAACGAGTACCCTGCCTGTCCAGCGACCGTGCTAGGCCCAAACAAACAGTTTTGAAACTGACACCACTATACATCCGTGAGGCTGGCCCTATGACATTGACCTCCCGATCATTCACCAACCTCCTCCTCGATCACCCTGAACACGTGATGCCGATCGACCTCCCAAAGCAGCCTGCCACGAACCCAATGCGGCGCGTAGAGGAAAACGAGAACCGCGGGATATATGCTAACCGAATAGAGTCTCTCCCGACCGTGTGCACCAATGGTACACCGTTATAGTAGTACATGTATGTGACTCGCACATGGCGAGGGGAATGTACCTCGAACGCCAAACCTCTCACGTCGTCTCGGACGCACGCACGCACGGACATGGATCGTATCGGCTTGCTACGGGTAGCGAAGTTGACGCCATCGACGGTGGACATGTCGCTCGCTCGCTCTGATGACACCCCTCGCCGGTGGGATGTGGGGACCGGGTTTCCGGAGGGGAAAACCACGGCGGTCGTTTGGATTGTTGGGGGTTGGACGTCGCTGGTGTTTTCTTTTGGTTTTTTGGAAAGTGCCTTCTTCAAAGAGCCTTTCGAGGTGGGACTCTGTCCAAGGCGTATCAGTGCCCTTTTACGAGCTGGCATGCACGTCGTCCCCCGTCGGTGTGGGTGCTGGTTGAGACTGTACTCGATTGGCTGGACGGCTAGCTAGCTAGCTATTTAGGAAGTCATCCGCTGGGGTCTTGTATACTTACATGGGAATCGGGGTGATTCCGTTGATTCTCCGTCACGGTCTGCCGTTCGGCGCTTTGTTCTCTGGTGTTCGATTGAGACGGCTCGACACGACATCGTGGAAGGATGTTTGGGTTCGGCTTCTGCACATCATCATCCTCTTCAACGACGGCTTAGCTTGCTGATCGATACGTTTGATGTGCATCGCGCAGGCAGTCGTTGGAGGATCTTCAACTGCAATTTTGCTGATCGGAAGCCTGGCGGACTGGTAGCCCCATAGACAATTGCATCAGCGTGTGTTACAAGTAGAGAATTGAAGTGGATGCGGTAGATGTCTCGACCGCCCACGCACGGGGTTGCAAGTCGTCACTCGCCAAGGATCGCCAAGGACTCCGACAGGTCTAGGCCGAGAGTCGGAGAACGTAGGTAGTAAACAAGCGCTCCAAGTAACGGCGCCGCCAGGCAGCCATTGCGGAAACGCCTCACGCCGACTGGAGCACTCTGTGTGGAGGGAGTTGAAAGTACCGTAAGCCAGTCAATCTAGTCTGGAGGGAGCGCACGGACGGGCGTCGTCCACACCAGCAGTTGAATCATCTTCAACCATACAGTTGAGTGACTTGTGATAAGGACGTCATCATGCGTCGGTCTGATCAGTCGCCGGTATGGGGTTGGATGCTTGCATGCTCTCTAGAGCCTCAGAGTGCTTGCGAATGCTACGATGGACGGCACGGCTTTCTTGGAAGAAGAAGAAAAGAACGTCGTCCCTAGCCAATCATAGCTTCTTTGGCGATGAGTACTCCGCCATTTGTGTCGGAGTTGTTGAGCGCTCCCGGCAAAGTTGCGACTTGTCGTCACTTGGTCTCGAACTTGTTCAATAGGCATGCAACGGCTCTTCTCTTTGGGGCCGGTCGCTTTCCTTTTTCCTTCCAAAGTCAGTAAGCACGTCGGCGCACACCGCTTTCGACATGCTGGCTGATAATAGCTGAAGAATCAGGAAGTATCGATGAAGTCTCTTTTTTCTAACCTCTTTCTAAGCATGCCAAGAGGGCTCGAGCCGAGGCGATGTTTTGGGGGTAAACGTAAAGCTGAAGTAGTAGTGTGGACCTAGAGTTGGGGTACAAGGTTACTTTGGAGTGGGGTGAAGAAAACGGTCTGTACGAGGTGACGATTTAGGCGAAATTGTGTGGCGGCTCAGTCTTGTTTGGATGATGATGATGATGATGAGCTTACGTTGGAGGGACAGGTAGGCCAAACTAATACTCTAGCTGATCGCAACTCGCAACACGAGGGAGCATCACCAAGTTACCAACATCTAATCTCTGTGCAGTATTCGTACTACCTAAAGTAGGTACTATGAAGTGTTGGTATGCATCCACCAGCATCCAAATCGCATGGCTCGTGTGGATGTGTTCAGGGTCCTTCCGGAAGGACTTGACTGTCTGGAAGAGAGTTGCGAGCAAGTGTAAAAGATGGCGTGGTGGTGAAGCCAATAGAAATAAATGCCTCACTGCATGGCGTGCACCTCTGGCTGACACATTATTGCAGCCGCCATTGCATGGCTCAAGAGTCAAGGGTTAATAAGTAGTACGAGAAATGGCACTCCAACATTCTGGGTTCTTATAGGGTCTCTAGGCTCACTAGCACTCTTTCACCGCCGGAACTTAAGGTACTTAGGTTGTACAGTACCTTCCATCTCCAGGTTCTCAGCCCTGCTAACAAGCATGTTACCGAACTCCGCCTCGTGAGTCGCACATGAAAAGTGAGAAATGTCGATCCACCAATCATACCTTTGGAATTAAGCCAAATGAAGCTAAGCTTTGCTGACCACATGCCTTCCCGCGTGAAACGAATGGCTTTGATGATGTTAGTGCTCGCATGCCTTCCCTAATCCTAATCTCGATGCCACCCACCACCCCCCCCCCCCCCCCCGGTCCCTGCTCAGTGGTCTCCGACCATTGACATTTGTTCCATCTGCGGCCTCGATCAATACCCGTATGAATCAGGCGCAGTCATTCCCTTGCTATCAGTAGTAAGCCATCCCTCCCATCCTTCTATTCCTTTTCCTTCTCCCCATTTTCATCCACCCTTTTCTTCTTCCCTCAAGGAAAATCCCCATCTCCACTCCAACATGAAAGCGTAAACATACCTTTCAGCCTGATTGGAAACCAAAATACATTCAACATCAAATAGAGGCTCAGCGGTCCAAAGCTGAAAGATGCAGCACTTTACAGAGTCCTCTACTCAAGATGAAAAAAAGCCGACAGAGCTTCCCGACAGGACCTCAACTTACAGCCCTGTACCGCAGAAAGATGCTGCGGCCTTCTCTCCAACCGCCGCCGTGGTGTCTCCCATGACATCCGATCACGGCATACCCGATGTCGCCTCCCTCGGTCCCGCTTCGCCCGGGCTGCATTCGCTCAGGACGCCGGATCCAACGGAAAAGGAATACACACCTCACTCGACAGAGAAGGAATTCTGGGACCAACCGGCGTTGGAAGTATCCGAGAGGAGAAACGATGCGCCTCGCAAGCATGGGCGGAAACCGTTGCTCTTTTGGATCGTAGGTCTGGTCGCTTGTCTGGTGATAGGACTTGCTATTGGACTCGGTGTGGGCTTGACTCGAAAGTAGGGGATATACCAGCTTCTAACGCCATGAGTCCATTTGGCTGATGCACGTCCTGTACAGGTCGAGCAATGGGTCATCGGCCCCTGCTAACCCACCACCGCCTGCACCAACCTCTATTCCTCAAGATTTCTTATCGACTGTCGGAGCATTCAATGGCTCCGGGATAGCCTTGGCTTCCGAGTCCTTCGCCTCCGGCGGCCACGGAGCAATTGTCATGTACTTCCAACATCACTCTGGCCAATTACGTTCCGCGCAGCTAGCAAGCGATGGGACCTGGCAAGGGGGAGACATCACCGACATTGTCGCCAGCAACGCCAAGAATGGAACCCCCATAGCCGCTGTAGCCTACGCTAGAAACCAAACCGCTGCTGTAGGTATACAACCAAGCCTGGAAACACGTCTCGGTCTAACGGTAGAATAGTGGCATATATTCTATATCAACGTCAACAATACCGTCACCGAGATCATCAACGATAACGCCACTAACGTCTGGAGGCCTGGACCTATCAACGACCTCAATCTGCAAGCCATGAATGATCCCAACGTCGGCCTCGAGGCTTGCTGGTACGGTAGTTTCTACAGCGACACCGCCTACAACCATTCCCCAGTCCCTGGCCAGACCACGGGTACAGGGAACAGCTCCGACCAAACCGTCGGCATACATCTCTGGTACGCCAGCAACGCCACCACTTTCGACTCCGTGGGCTGGACCTACGGCGACGACACATGGACCGAGCAGCAAACCTTCAGCGGGTACAACGGCCACGGGGGCGTGGGCTGCTACTCCTGGGGTCCCGGCAGCGACACGTATGTGTTCTTGGTCAACCTGAAGAACGAAGTCAACATACTGTGGAAAGACTTGAACACGACGCTCGTGGGCAACAGCACCCATCCGGTCAACACATGGACAAAGAGTAAGTGACGAACTCCCCGTGAACCCTTCCGATGAACGTAATCCCTCAAGGCAAAAAAAACTCACGCTGAACGTTATTTCCGCAGGCGACATCAGCATCCCCGTCGTCCAAAACAGTTCCATGGGTTACACCAACTACCTCTACGTCCAAAAACCCGACCTCACCATCGGCGGCTTCAACGTCACCTTCGCCGCCGAAAACACCACCATCCCCACCGACCCGGCCGACACCTTCGTCATCAACGGCGCCCAAGGCCTCCCCGGCACCCATCTGTCGGTCACCGCCCTCCCCGACAATTCCGGGGGCAATTCCTTGCTGGCGTTCTATCAGACGAACGGGACGGACATCACCGAGTTCGTGCGGGATCTGGACGCGGGCCAGTGGACGAGTTCGAGCGTGCCGATCCCGAATTCGTGACGCTCGTCGGGGTTGGGGGCGGAGTTTCGGGGACCGTTCACGAAGGGTGATGCATTACGACGTTACGATCAACCTTTTTTTTAATTCTTCGCTTGACTATATCCATTGTCGTCTTCACTCTTATCCTCTTTTCTTTTTAATATAGTAGTAATATCATGTACTAGTACGATAAGGAGGATTTCAGCGCGCTTCTGGACAGCGTCGCCGAGCACCGTGGATGGATTCGTTCCCTCGGCCGGTCCTGTGAGAGATCTTCTTGAAATAGAATAGGAAGTTCAACGTCGCTAGCTAAAAAAATCGATGACAAGCTCACCCTGATTGAGGAGTGAAGATGTCGATGTAGCCGACCGGTGTCGTCTCCTTGTTTGAAACGGTAAAAACTATAAGCTGTAGAAAAAGTGCAGCAGTCAAGCGGGCCAGTTGGGGAAAACACAAGGGGGGGAAGAGGGGGGGAGGAAATGCATCTAGGGCAATATACTCGAACCGACCACGTCTACTCCCCGTATTTTATCACCGGATGGTGTCAAACAAACCGCAGGTTCTCCATTCGCGTACTCGAACCCTCGATCAGTTCGAAAATCGCCATGCGAGGACAGACGCCTCTCGAACCCATTCTTCGCTCCTCGAAAAAACGAATGTTCGAGCAGGAGCCGGCGGTGTCGAGCCATCCCTCCGGGACGGGCGAGCATTACAACTCGAAGAGGTAACGCACCATACAACAGCGCGTGTCGACTCGACGACGACCCTACGGAATCGCCCGCGTCGTCCGTCGGCATCTCGAGGCCGGGTGCGGAGCCCATCGTACATCTCTAGTATCCGCCGCACGGTCATCGTCCGCGATGGGTGCGGCTCTGGATCGGGAGAGGCCGCGCCGGCCCTGTCGGAGCGATCTTCGGGGTCCACGGCTTTCTCGTCGATGCGGCTCGGTTGTCCAGCGTCGGCTCTGGTCTTCGCCACGTCAATTGGATTACTACCAGGTTTTTCGGATATGTTCTCATGGCACGCATTTAGAATCTGGTAGTGGTGAAGGAGATCGATGTCGAGCTCAGTGGAAGGGTCTGCAAACGCCGCAGACGGTGTCATTGACGGACTGTATTCACGTTTCAGCTGACGCACATACGGATCGGTTAAAATGGCCGTGGAAGCCTGTGGTTGCTCAAGAGTATCTGTTCTTCGCTGTTTCTGCCCAGGTGCCCTGAATCGTTGCCATTCCCGGAAAGCTCCTGCCGACGAACACCAGGTCACGATTTTTCAGAGACGAGCATATGCCGTACCCCCATACGATGCTTGACGATCGCTTTTTGGAACGCGACGCATGTGTGGGTAAAATTGGGACCACTCACCCTCTTCCACAGAAATCGGAATTCCAGTCGACTGGATGGCGTTCACAAATTGATTTACAATTGTTGCCGATGAATGTACTTGCAAAACGCTGCGACTGCGGCAGTAGACGAAGAGTGCGTGATGCATAGAATGAGGTTCGCCTCCAGAAATTAGCTTGACTGTCCAAGGCAAGGTCTGTGAGATCAACGCGACCAAGGCCAGAGGAGGGTCGGCCCTGTCTCTGTTTGCCGACAGCCCCAATTCTTGTGTTACGTGTGATCGCGTGACTGAAGAGGACGCAAAAGACCTGCTCGTCTCCTCTTGCAGACCGCATCTATCTGCCAGATGAGATATGAGAGTGAAGTCCTCTGCCAGTCGCTTCCCTATGGTACAATCGAGCGCATACCGAGGCCTCTGAAGCTCCGTTGGTTGAGAGCCCTTCTCAAAGAATTGACGCATCTGGGACGGGATATCAGACTGAAGGTGTTTTATACAAGCCGATAGGGAATCCGTATCGCAACAAATATGGCAAGACCAGCTTCCGCGTGCAGGTAGTACACACCGAGGATCAGAACACACGCTAAAAGCTGTACTCAATACCAGTACTGCATTTTCTGGGGTGAGACAAGCATTGAGGCCTGCTACCAAAGTATTCATGGTCCAGAGAAGCTCGTTCCCGTTGTTGACCAAATCAATGAGTGCACGAGCCTCAGGCGAAAATTTGTGGGGATCATCAGGAGTCGGACGCATTCCATGAATCCATCCGTTCATCTTTGTGCGAGAATAGACCTCCGGCTCCAAATTTAGGGGACCGAAAAGTCGGAATAACGGCTGATAGTAGAAAGCGTAGTACATCGGCAATGATATGCCGACTTCGGGACTAAGGTTTGTCTCGAGCTCGAACATGGTCTGGTCTTCGATCGCGGATTGATCAACATGCAGCCTAAGTAGGGTGCCGAAAGCGATTCTAGCTTCGTGGATCAATGTTATTAAGGTCTCCTGTCGTAGGTCAGCGTGATGTACGTTTAAAACCCCAAGAACGTGTTACAAGTACATGCAGTGACATTAGAACCACGGTGGCTGAATCACCCATTTCTCTGAGCAACTTGCGGTGCGGTCCTTCGCGTGTGGTGTTGATCTCGTTTACAATCACCTTAAACTCCTCTTCTTCTCTATGAATCTCTAGCTGAAGCTGACGGAGCCCTCGCTGCAGTCCATTGATCTCTTGCTTCATTGTTTCTTGGTTCCCCTCAAGTACTTATGTGATCTGAGCTCGAGTATTTTCATCTACCTCCTCAATCCGGGCGGAGATATTGTCGGCTCCCGTGGAAATAGCATTGTCATACCCGGAAGCTACATCAGCGACGGCATTAAGTACCTCCGCCCGGGTGCTCTGTTGTTCTTTGGCCGTAAGGGTGCGGGTTGCTTCGCTCTGTTTTTTGAATTTGCAGCCGCTGATTTGAACTCTTGAGAGAGTATCGTCTCAGTGTGTGTATGCAGTGCCCTCATCTGCTTGGTTTGTGAGCCTGTGGTAGCGACCAAATGGTCTCGGCTGTCACTCAACGCCTCTAAAATCTTTTGTGCGCCCTCCTTTGTAGCATCCTTAAGAGCTTGGAAAGACTCTGTTTGTTGAAAGTTCAGTACGTCAATCCGAGATCTAGAAGCGTATCATCAGCCTTGTATGCTGAAGCAGACCGCAAACAAGAGCAATGGTACCTCAGGTTCACAGTGATATGCAAAGTCATCTCCCGACGAAATCCAGCCAATCTTTGCTCAAGCATAGTCAGCTTTTCTTTGCCCCATAACGCCCTTAATGCTTTTCTGAAGCTCTGAGACCGTGTGTAATTTCCTTTTGACACCAAGATGTTCTAAAGCCCTCAGCAGCTCCTCTGCGACCTCGCTGCATCTTGAACATGGCTGCTCCAGCACCGAGTCCACTGACCCAGCTGAGGCCTGCACCCAACCGCCCAAACCCTTGAAATCAATCGTAAGGCGTTCTAGATCGTCATGCTCCTTCAACGTACCCGAAATGGAGGCATGGATCTGGCGGCTCTCGGAGATTGCGTCGCCTGTGAGACTGAGGGATTGGAGGACGTGGCCAGCTAAGCTGGCGGCGGCAAGGGCCACCATGTTTAGACATGATAGAAGTGAAGCGGGAGGAAGAATGCTCGATAGGAATCATAACTTTTGGAGAGGGCATTGTTGAGGGCGCATCCAGCGACTTACTTGAAGCTAGGCCGCTTTGAGAACGTTGCAGCGAAAAGATGCAGACGATCGGCCTTCTAAAGGGGAAATACTCTTCTCGGGAAGTAAACCCCCTCACTCCCCCAGACAGCAACACTCTGGATTCGACGAGGTGTATGTCCAATATCTGAACCTGACCGGTGGCAAATAGAGGAAGGAACCAGGTTAGCCATTGTATAAGATGCGCGGTTGGCGACGCAGAGTAGCAGAGAAGAGCTTAATGTTAATCTCAATCCAAAGCCAGCACATCTCCGTATTTTACGGCATCCGAATACACCGGAGTGCAAGTATACCAATCAAGTTTGCACGAGCGTTGGGAACAAAAATCGTTGATAGCACATCGTCTCATAGTAACTCGATCTCAACAGAAGTGCTCTTATCCAAAATATATATCATCCTTACCCGGTCTCCGTAGCAGCAGCATAAATACCTAAAAACAATCACATAAGACCAAACTCCATCGTCCCTACAAATTACATTTAAAACCGTTCAACAAACCAACATCTCACAACCGGCTCGCGCCAGCAGCCCATCCCGAACCGTCCTAGCTCGGTACTAGCACCATCAACCCATCCCCCAAAAGCTTCCCGGCACCGCCGCTCTCCCACAACCACCCTCCGCACACCACCCCCCCAACATCACCAAACATCCTCAACAACCCAGCCAGCGAACCCTCACCGGCAATATGGCACCCAAACGCGCCCCGACCGCCACCCCGACATCATCCACCTCTCGCTCCTCCGCCGCCGCCGCACGGTCCGGCGGACCTCCGGCTCGCCAGCCGGAGCCGGGCACGGTCGGCGGGGCGCTGCGGGACACGTATGACGCGTTGACGGCGCAGGAGAATCGGAGCGTGTTGAAGGCTGTGGGGTTTGCCGGGGTGAGTTGGGATTTTTTCTTGGTCGGTTGAGGGAGGGGAGGAAGGAGGGAGGGGAGGAAGGAGGAAGGAGGGAGGAGAGGATGTCTGAAAACTTCCCTTGGGAGTACTGACCTGAGGGAGCTACAAAAACTTGATGGGGTCAAAAGCCCCGACGGATGCGCAGTTGCATCATCGTTCCAATTCCAAAAAAAAAATTGCTTTGGAGCCGCGTTGACGATCCATTCGCGGCACATGCTAAGTATTGCCGTCCCACAGGTCGCCGTCGCCTTCTTCTCGAGCAGCTGGAGCGAATATCTACACCCGCCGTGAGTCTCCCTTCAATTCACGCCCTTTCGCCCTTCGCCGCGGTCACGCCGTACTTCTTCATGCCGCCTCCGCAGCTTTTTGGGGGTGGGGGGGGGGGAGGTTGTTTTTCTGTGCATTCGGAATACCTGCCCCATTGCAACGATTTGCAGAGAAGCTGATGAGGTATGCCCACAGTGCTTAGACCCATCCCGACCGCCATATCCATACCTCTCGTCGGTACCGAATCTCCACTTTCTACGTCTCTCGCATGGGGGGCGACCGGTTGAGGGAGCGTGTCGGCGCTGTTACGGAAAGGACCATGGCATGCTAGCGATGGAATGTATTTTCCCCGGGGGCTTCTATCCATGTACATGAAGCACGGTCTGATGGGAGGTTTCAGGGCAGGATATCCCAGGCCATTGAGATGGAATGACCGCCTTGGTGGCAAGATCAGCGGCTGTTGATCTGTGCTGCGCTGTCGCACCGCAAGCGGCGTGGTTACGATAGATAGTCATCAGCACATGTACTCTTACCGCAAACTCCCCCCCAAAAAATGTCAGCCCCATCGGGAGCGGTTCTGTGAAAACAATACGCGCCTGCTTCTTGCCTTACCCCTCACAAGCGGACAGCGTTGATAAAGCACATGTCACGGGTAGCACTACCGAAAGAAGGGAGTGAGAATCTCATTCTTTGTCTCACACGTCGGGTATCCGCATCCTGCATTGATCGCTCGCTATGCTAAGCTATCTATGCAACACAACAAAAACCCCGCCCCAATGCCGCTTCGCTCGCTTAACCGTAAACATGGGCATCAATGACAAGTAGTAGAGATGGTGCTCGGTGATGGTGGTGTAGAGAACGCTCGACGACAAGGTGTCCAGAAATGCCTTCACGTACGGGTATTGTTGGTGGTGCTCTGGGTTGGAACAATCTGGTGTGGAAGGTGGAGTTGGGCGATGGATTCGAGGTGTCCGAAATGCCCAAGTCGAGGGGTGATGGTGTTGGTTTTGGTGTTGGTGTTGGCACATCTCGGATGGGGTTTTTCTTGGTATGTGGCAAGAGATGGTGGGTGATGGTAGATGTTGAAGAAGCTGGACAGGCGAAAGGACTGGTGGTAGTGGTAGCAGTGGTAGTAGTAGTAGTAGTAGTAATAGTAGTAATAGTAGTAGTAGTAGTAGTAGTAGTAGTAGTAGTAGTAGTAGTAGTAGTAGTAGTAGTAGTAGTAGTAGTAGTAGTAGTAGTAGTAGTGGTAGTAGTAGTAGTAGTAGGTGATGTTTAGAATGAAATCGCTCATAATGCATCGCTCCGGCAAAAGACAGATGTATAGCCGCCGAGTCTGAGACGCCAGGCTATGCTGAGGATGCCACGCACATGTACTGTGTTCCATGCTGTGGCACCGTTTCCCACCGGGTATAAACGCCGCGCCACACAAGTCTAAGCACTGTTAAAAGTGCTGTGCGTACGAGGACGAAGGGTCGTCCGGCAAACTGAAAGGTGGCGCCGAGTAGGGCGTGTGAAGGTCGAATTCGCCGGCGAAATGATGACCTAAAGTTTCATCGAAGTAGTTGCCGGCTGACCCAGGGGTGGTCTGATTGCTGAAAGCAAAGGTGTGATCGCCAGGATCTGATGCCGCGTGGGATTGATTGTTGTGGGCTAAAGTTGCGGCATGCTGATGGGGTTGGGGGAACGCTTGCGGACGAGGCGTGGTTTCGAAGTGATGGCGCTGCTGCTGCTGCTGTTGGTGTTGTTGTGGGGAGTTGATGGGGTGGAAGCCTTGGTATGTTGACTGAATTGGCGAAAAGAGATCATCTTCAGGCTTAATGGCTGGTTGTGGCGTGACCGAGAAGTTGTGTTGACCTGGAAGGACAGTAGACAGAGAAAGAATAGGCGTGCCTCGATTGGCTTTGCGTTTTCGAGACTGTTTGGGTGTTGCACCGTCGGAGAAGCGACGGTCTGTCCACGGCCGCTGAGCGGACTTTCCAATAGATTTCTTCTCTGATTTTCCTTTCCCCTCGCGACCGGTACCTGATTTGCGTTGTGCCTTCTTTCTTGCAAGTTGTGACGCTTCTGTACGATACCCTGTGTCGCTACCTTCCCTCCTCATGCCTGGGGTGTCAGACCCACCGGCCATTTGGAAGCTGAGGGGCGAGAATGTTTCAGGCATAGAACCCTGTAGCCCAGGATCTTCCAGAAGCATCATGCCTTGCTGCCCCATCACAGTCTCGTTCGCAGGATCACCTGCTCGGAATTCTTTCATCAAAAGACCCAGTCGTTCAACTGCCGCGCCAGCTAGTCTATGAATGCCTAATTTGTTCATTTCGAGGAAGGTGCTGTACGTATGTTGAACTGCGCCCAAATCCTGAGTGTCACCTGTCTCAAGCATGGACAAGAGTAGGATCATGGCCGCGTTGAAGGCCATTTGGCCCATCGTCCAGCAGATCATGGCCGCACGGACTCGAGTTGAGAAGAATTGAAAAGCAACTAGAAGCGCTCGGCAGGACATGAGGACACGACCTCTGCCGCGGGGCACATTGTTTGCATCCACACTGGGATAGACAGGGGAGAAGTTGATATTGGGTCCGTCAGAGTTACGACGCACATTCTCAATTCGTTGTCGGTTCAACAGGATAAGAAAGTTGTGCGTCTTTGCGTGCAAGACCCCTGCTTGAGCGTCCAAAGGCCATCCTGGGAGTACCTTGTCCTTATCTAGCCAGCTCATATCAAGTGAAATCAGAGGAGGCAGAGTCTTTTGCAGGGCCAACAAATCGTCGGAGAATTTGTCAATTTGATCGTTGTTCAGGTAGCCAGCAGACAGGATCTGGCGTCCCAGGATGCTGAATTGAACGAGATAGTTGGAAAGGCTCTGGACGAGCGGATCTGGGACTATCGGCTCCGGTGGTCGGCAATCGCCCATGCTTGATATTGCCATAGGTCTCCCCAGCGCCATTGAGTACTGTTGATCCATGTGTATCATCCACCACCAAAGATTTCTTCGAATGTTCATCTCTTTGGGAGGTGCTGGAGGGTTCAATTGACTTGGATCCCGGTGCACTACATACGTAAGCACAAAGCTAAAGCTGTTCAGGCGATGATCGACTTACAGCCAATACTTTGAGCAAGCCTGACAGTGCCGCCGAAAAGAGCCGATGCATCAAGAAACTTGCCGCTGTTGGTAAGGTATGGTCCCATCATCACCAGTGCCTCAATGACAAGTAATGTTGGCCGGCTCATGAATGAAGCAAGCCTCAAACACTGATAAGCGGCAGCGACTGATTAATTTTTAGTAGGGAAAGCAGGGTTCTAGTCATTGATACTGACTGTAGACATCGCCCTTCTTTGACTCCTGTTCAACGCTACCGGCAACCCATTTCCCGCCAAATTTGTCGTACACACCATCCTGCAAGCCTTGCGCTAGGGTGGCGAAAAGCAAAGCCAGCATGTCGGGGTAGAGAGCTGCGTTGTGCTCAAGGTTCTCCAGGAATCGTGCGACCTCGTTGTTTGTACATTGATCGGGCACATGAGGGAAAGAGCAGAACTGTGCGCGACGTTGGAAAGCATCGAGATAAAAGAAGAGATCTTGCTCGGGTGGCAGCAGCTTGACCAGGCTCGATGTGTCATCTTTAGCAGACCAAAGGGTAGGAAATGGATGAGACGTTGCGAGTTGAAAGGCGAAGATATCAGTGGCACGAGGAAGGGCATGAGTGAGATTCGAAGGTCTACGGTCAAAAGCGAGATGCGCGAACTGGGGGCCACACCTTAGCGGGATGGCAAGACGATCCCGAGGAGTGAACGGGCGCTTACCTCTTCGACAACACTGGTCATGCCTGGGCTTCCAAAGTAGATGTTGTCATTTATGTCTCCACTGAATGCCTGCATTTGGAGTGGCGGTAGGGGTGAAGGCTTCTTGGTCACTTTGGGAGGCAATTTGATCTTTTGTCCGCTACGTGCAAAAATGTTGTCGTCGGTCGGCTCGGCTTTGATGGGTTCTCCACGTAGAATGGCCATTTCATTGCGAAGATTAGCTATCGTCTTGTCTCGTTCCTTCAGCGCCTCTGCTTGAAGTATGGGCTGCCGCTCAGCTTCGGAGAGGTCGAATTCACATAGCTCGGCGATCTGATGTAGAGAACACGCCGTACAGGGCTGGATGCGATCACACTGGCATCGTCTGCGTAAGAGGAATGTGGTAGATGGAGTTTGCATTCGACTTACCTTGACCTTGCGAGCCCTGCATGGGTTACATGATAATTGGGGACGTTTCGACTTTTCTCGAGGTCGAGTTGGCTGCACTGGTGGTCGAGGCTGGGGTGAGAGATCGTCCGGATCAAAGGTGGTGCTGATGCCGTCCATGACCTCCTACGACGAAATGAAGGAAAGTGGGCGAATCGAGTGGGACAGCGATCCATTAAACTGCTTGGCCTTGATGGAGCATGCTAGCATGTGATGATGGTGAGAATGGGTGTACTGGTACTGATATCGACGAGCACTATCAACGCCAATCTCAAATAGATTAGGGCTTTTCCGTTATGCGACACAGGGTAAGTGGCAGATCTAGGCCTGTGGTCGAATATGAGCCACTTATCCAGCTGCATGGTGTTGTCTTCGTGCATGCAAGTAGTCAAGGGCAAGGCAAGACAAGTGCATCTGAGAGTTTTCTACGCAGATTGCCGAGTCGCATTTTGCTTTCGATGTCGAATACCGAGTTTGCCTCACTCTCTTCCCCACAAACATCCGGCTCTAATAGGTCGGCATACGGGGCATAACAACTTAGCGGCAGGCCCAGGGCGTAAGCTTGAGTGTTGGAGTGCATAGCGTGGGTGATAGTATGGGAGGAATGCCTGGTCAGAGATCTTGGTGGCTTGCATTGGCTCGGATGGCTAATGACGACCCATGTCGATATCAGGGTCACGACTGGTACGGAGTCGAGCCGTTGAGCGTTGAGATTGAGCAAGACGATGAAGAGGGAAGGGGGTGGGGGGGGAGGGGGGGGAAGATGGTTAGCTTGAAGTTGTGAGCACTGGGCAGAGCGCTTGTTCAGCCATTTGCATTGTGACAGCGGGCTTTGTGGGAGTGAGGGCAGAGATTGGATGGAATGGTTCGTCATCGACTTTTTCATTCCATTGGACCCCCCTTTTTTTTTCATTGGATTTGTAAAGGCCGCGGGACACTGTTGCGCCCCGTCCTCTTTCCAACATGGCAAAGAAAGCCATCCATATCGGCAGTGGTGGTTTCTTTTTCTCTTTTCCTTTTTCCTTTTTCCTTTTTCCTTTTTCCTTTTTCCTTTTCGTATGGGCCCATCTCCGAAGAATGTGACTCTACCTTAGGGTCCTCTAGGGTCCTCTAGGGTCCTCTAGGGTCCTCTATTTTCAAGATTGGGGCACATGGATCAAGGGATGGAGAGATCGGATCCATGGAGCCAAACTTGATTGGAAGTTTGGTAACGAAACCCTTTCCCGCTAGTGGCCGTGCAGATCCCGTTATGGCCCGCCGGAGCCAGTCTCCGGGCTGGGTCACGCTCCAGTCAATCTTCTGGTGTCCTGTCTTACTCATCCACAGGTCATCCACCCCCCGATCTTCCCATCTTCCCAGCAGATAGATCTACTATCTGCTACTGAGATCAGCAGGCAATTCGAATCGCACTTTGATCTTCATCCTCTTCCAACTTCCAACGGAGCGGTTCTCCAACACGCGATGCCAAGTCTGGGATGGATTCAACAAGATTTTCTTTCTCCTGACAACGTCGCACTTTTGAAGCAGGGGAAGTATAGACAGCCAATAGAAAGTCCATGTTCCCAGTGAGAAAATAAGCGAGAAACCTCGGGCGCCTGCAGGTGGGTGGCCTAGACGCAAAAGTATTTGTCAACCTCGATCATAGCTCCATTACAGGTATTATTATCTTTCATCATCATCATCATCATCATCATCATCGATCATTGATCATTGATCATTGATCAATTATTTTAAACCTTGGGCGCTTCCACTCCTCTTGCATACAAATTTCAATCTTCCTCCTCTCACCAGTCACACTATCGTCTTCTATTCCACACACTTTTTTCTTCTTCTTTTTTTTTCTCTTTTCCTTTCGCGGCCCCAAAGGCTCTCTCAATCATTGCGGGTTGCGAAGTTGAAAGATGGGTCAGAAGACTGAGCTTCAGCTAGCCATGAGTAAACTTACGCGCCACGCCACACACGGTACACCTTTTCTCGGTCCGAGTCTCGGCCACGGTCCATTCTAAACCACTGACGTCTTCATCCCCCAAGAATAGCCCTGTCAAACACCCCCCCCTCCCCCCATCCGTGCTAATTATCATACTATGGCACGAGACTTGACTCCAAAAAAGCAATTGCATAAAGTAATCGATATCATTATCTCTTGCACCGTTCTTTTCTCATGAGATCAAACTGACCGAAAACATATCGCTCGTATTCTCGTCCGGGTGACACTTCCTGAGACTAAGGTTTTAATATGCTCTCTGCTCGGCATTGTTAGTTGCGTACCAACAAAAGTGCCGCCTCCAACGCACCCAATAGCTGTAGCGCGCTCGTCGACTAAGGTATCTTCTAGGGGCTTCATGACCGCGCGACGGCTAATACTCAAAGAGTCAAAGTTACCATTTGGCATGAGTGCAGAAATGCTTTTCCTTTTCTGGACGGGGAGGCGAGCAATGTTCGCTTCAATGTCGCCTCCCGCTGCACAGCCAGGTCTGCGAATATCAAAGATCTGGGAAACCGACCACGAGAACGCAGATCTGCAGCTCAGATCTCTGGGTCTCCGTGCGTCTGTGTGTAACCGGGTTCCCAAGGGGAGCTTATTTGTTTCCATCTGTGCTGCTCTGCGGCTGCAATGCAAGCAGTAACGCTCCTTCCCAGGCTAAGAATTGGAATAAGTAAAATTGGCAACCATCTTTGGAAATCGCTTCCGCAACCATCATTCTCTCCTCACGAGGAGCTGCGTAGTTCAGTCAGTCCGGCGGACAGCATAATACACCATAGTGACTGCAAAGCGCCATGGCTTGCCAATTTTGGCTTTCCGGATCTAGATCATGAGCGTAAGCCGTGTCGGATGTACGGAGTATGGAAGAAGGATTAATGATGGATGACTATGCAATTTCTGATCCTGATGACCGTACCCACCCACACTAACAGCCCTTGCGCCAATGGTCAAGGGTCAGGAGGATAACCTAAACATCTCGGAGCGTGCCGAGGCGAAAGAGAGCCTACAAACGCCCGGCATCTGAGAGTGGAGTCAAGTCCACGGAAATGAAATGCTTTCGCCGTTGAGATGATTGGGGCGATTGTTCTTTGCTTGAAGCCATGACTGAATCGTTGGGGTGCCTGGAGGAGTGGAGATCTCTAGCCCCGCGAGGTGTATGACATTGGTGGCTTTGGATTACCAGGTTTCGACACGGGAGGACGCAAGCTTCGTGCCTCTGGGACCGTCCCATCTTTCAACATGCTTCTTGGGCCGCAGACGCTGACATCCCCCAAGCGGCCGATGCATCAACACCCTATCCCATCGTGGACCCTGAGATCTCCTCCGGGCTACCAGCTAAATGATACTCGACTGCGTGGAGTACCCGCATCAACGCCTATACTAACGGGCATATCCATGGGAAACACACTAACGAGAGACGAGAATGATACTTCAGATGTTTATCAGTGGGCTGAAAGATGGACCGGCTTCATCCCGACGTATTAGATGTAGAACAAAAAGAGCTCGTCGACGCGAGAGCGTTCTGTCGATCATCTCTCTATGACCGCGCTTCAGACCAGGTGCCGATCAGCACGATGTTGCGGAATAGGTGAGCCGGCCGAAGTAGATCCTATCGGATTCTTACAAAGCTAGCGCCAACCGCACACAGTGGCCTTCTTGCATGACCAGATTTCGAGGCATGAACAGCCTTGGAATCTCCGCGGTGGCCTTCCAAAATTACTGCTTCCACCTCAATAGTCAAGCGACCTCTAGGCCAAGCAGCATGTAACAGAGACGCTGACAAGAATCATAAAATGAGACTGCCGAGGCTATCGAATGCCGAGACCTCCTTCGTATTGCAACGACGAATTTCGAGCTCCTTCGCCAAGACGGCTGCGCGCTGAAGGATTGTCTCGCAGTCATCGTCAATGAACACGTGAAGTAAAGGTGAGGTATGTATTGGCGAAGGCTGGGAAATGCCCAGGGCGGAGCGCGTTGGATTCGTGGACTGATCAGAGCCTTTGCCACAGCCAGCGCAATGACTCGTCTCGTTGCTCTCTGCTTTATTGCCTGCCTCATAAATCCATATTGGTCGACATGGAGCTGAAGACAGTACGTCTTGCAGCGATGAGATCAAGACGAGTCTGCTGATGATATCCTCTAGGTGATCTCAATGAAAATTCATCGTTACCCGTGGCCAAGTCCTCAATGCTGCTCTTGTTTTCGGCCAGGAGAGCTTACACTGACGAGGCCGACAGGACTGAATAGCTGGGACCACCTGTCATGTCTCCCTGGGTCTTTGATGAGCTCTCTCGAAGCGTGCGCTGTTTGCGGCGGTTTCTCCCTGGTAATATGGCTTTGAATGAAGGTGTTGAGCTGCACTCGCAAGATGCTGCTACAGAGACAGTAAACGCCTGTGGGGTAACTGTCCTTGCAGCTGCAGCCTGCTGTCACGCTGCTGGATTTCTCTTCCCAGATATGGACACCTCATCGCTCCGTGTCTCTCTCGTCGCTTTTGTCCTGGTTGATGGGCTCGTTGTGCTGCTGCCAAAGCCTTTGGCCTTGAAGGATCAGAACGCCATCTTGCTTCTATATATACGTCCTCATTTCTCACAGGTGTCGTTCAGGCCTCAAGAAAATGGTGTAGACAACATAGAAGTAAAAGCATGGCACAAGACTGCCGAGGCCCGTTTTGGTTTCGACCCAATTCTGCCAAGCATTCCGGTCTTGGCATAAACATTTTCCTGGCTGCAAGCGTCCGCAAACCTGGCAGGCGCGGCCTCAGGGCCTTCAATGACCGCCATCAGGCCTCCATCATGTCTACTCTCACCGTAATTTCCCACTGACTCCCTCCAAGATGTCCCATTGCCCAGGAACCGTGTAAAGCCCAATCCCGACCCGCGCATCGCCCAACATGCTCACCCGCCTCTGCCTCACCCTCATCAATCTCTTTTTCCCACCCCTCTCCGTCCTCCTCCTCACCGGCCCTTACACCGACACGCTCATCAACTGCCTCCTGTTCATCGCGGGCGTAATCCCATCCCACGTCCACGGCTTCTACATCTCGTGCACATACTACCACCGCAAGGGCAAAGTCCGGAAGGGGAAATATCCGGGGGGCCAGAAGGCGGGGATCTTCGACGAGAAGGTGTGGAGAGGGGGGGCGAGCAGGGCACGGGTGGAGGAGTTGAGGCGGGGGGAGGAGGAGAGGTTGGGGGAGGAGAGGGAGAGGAAGGGGGGGAAGAGGAAGGGGGGGCTTGTTAGCGGGAGGGGGAGGAGGAGGATGGATGGCTATGGGGGGAACGTGGGGGAGGGGAGAGATGGGAGGGATCTTGAGGGGTATGATGCACGCGGGAGGGATAGAGCGAGCTACCGAGGAGACAGAAGGAGCGAGATGAGTGAGGGGTTGGATAGGAGGAGAACGATTTTGGGGGAGGTGAGTGGGAGATATTAAAGTTGGGCAGGCTACGTCGATGAAAATGAATGTGCCTGTCGATATGAAACTCTGTATTGGATGCAGCTTGCTATAGATCTAGATCAATATAGCGCGCTGATGGAAGAAAGATAGTTATTAAAACACCAAGTCCAATCCGCCACAGCGACTACTGCCTTAATAAAGGCCTCCCTTCCCTCTTATGACGTCGCGGTGCCAGGATTGATTCCACACGCAGCCCCCAGAGCCTGCAACGCCGGCGTGAACGACCCATCTGAATTGGTCAAACTCGGGCTGCACGCCGCAGGGGCTTGGTTGATAGTCGTGCTGTCACTTTCCCCACTATTCCAGAAGATCTTCTCGACGTAACCGAGCTTCAGGATTTCGGGAATCAATGTACTGATGTAGGTGGCCATTGTAGTCGTATTTAAGTCGCAGCCGGCGGTAGCGGGCGAAAGTTCCGTGATCCAGATGGTCTTGTTCCACGTACCGTATAATTGTGTAATCTGGTCCAGGACGCCTTGAGGATCGGGGTTATATACGTGCAGGGCGATAGCGTGGAAGTCATCGATGCAGCCATTGCAGGCCTGAAAGAATTCGCCGAGCCAGGGACCATTGGCATCCATAAGGGCTGGCGAGATGAATTTCGTGTTTGGGTGTGGTGTGTCGAGGAGGGTTTTTAGGTCTGAAGCAGAGGGAGCAGGCTCTTCGGTGAGTGTCAGGTTTTCGAAAGAGAAGTCGGGCTCGTTGTAGAGTTCGAGATATAGTGGCGGGTTGTTTGCTAGCATTCCGACAGCGTCTTGTATGTAGGTGTGGTCCATGACAATGGGTATCTGAGCTTTATTGAAGGCACCGCTGAGCTGGGATGCTTGAGTGGCGGAAAGGTCGTAATCGGCTTGCTTGTCGAGAGTATCGAGGGAAAAGCCGACTAGATGGAAAGGTTTGTCAGTAAGCAGGAAGGTCTTTTGGAGCTGCAAGCGTTAACGCACTCCAGTTGTTTATTCCGTATTCTGTGAGAGTATTCGAAGTAGCGGTGGGGAAGCCAGAACTTTGGCCGGCATTGGTGTTGAACACGGTGTTGAGGAAACCCTGCGGACAGCTTCCACTCGCGGGAGTTAGGGAGGCAGAGGTGTCAGACGTGCCAGATGTGTCGGAGCTGCCGGAGCCACTAGAAGGACCAGACGAACCCGAAGCAGCAACACTCGGACCAGCATTGCTTGCGCTGGTGCTAGACGGCGCAGACGATTCCTGAGAATATGGCAAAGGCAGGTTCAGCCCGGCGTTGGCTTGAGTGCCAAGCTTCTGGTTCTGATTGACAGCTGCACTGCCATGACCATCACGATGGAGAGCAGCTTTTGCTACTGTTGTTGAAGACGAGGTCCAGTTTCCAGAGTGCAGTTTACATGGAGATGCAGTGCTGCCAGCAGCAAGGAGTATAGACGCATAAACGAGTGACAGCATCATCTTCAAGATGAGATAAAAGACAGTACTATTACGTCAAAATTCTTGACAAAAATGAATGGCAGCAAATCGAGGGGTAAGAGCTGAGATACATATAGTTGCAACGAAATGACCACGCAATCCCACCAGACGGCTTACAGCAGAGTGGACCCATCTCGCAAAAATCGTTTCAAAGATGCGGACAAGAACACATTAGACGTTCATGCATGCCTATGGAGCGGACATGGGGGTAGGAAACCGGAGATTTACAGAAGAAATCCTTTGGCCGTTACTTAGCTCTTGTAGATGAAGCATGGAGGAAGGAGGTCGCATCTCCCGCAGCGATTTTATACGCGCCGGCAGGGGGAGTGAAACACAATAGCAGGTTTGGCCTCTTTTGCGCACCAGTGATCAGGTACCACAAGCCTGACAGGGTCTCGACCATATGTTGCGTCTGAAACGATGGGCAATTTGCGATGCAAGCCTTGAGTGCCATCTTGGGCTTCCTTCGTACCTGCATAGCATGCCAAAGTCTTACTATCCTCACGAAGCTGATAGATGACTCGTGTTATCTAAGGTGGAACATACAGAAAATGTTCAAATGAAGGATGTTGATACGGTACGGTAGATGAGTGAACATTTATGCGTGGGGGATCTCCCATCGTTGAAACACTTGCCGGTTGCCGAAGATGTGGAGCTGCCCTATTCACCACATGCAATAGCAACAACACACAGGCCGTGTACTTATGAGCATTATCTACGCGCGGAGAGATATTCAGGGTTCATTAGGATGCAATTATCGTTTGATTATGTTCCCGTCTACTCCAGGCACTCGGAGCACTGCAAGGACCATGCCAGCAATATAAGATCCTCACCAGTTTCCGGACAACCATTATACGTATCTATAATGCAATGCCGCGCTCCTGGGTATCTTCGATTCAAAGCCACGCCCACGCTATGCAGAAGCAAATTTTTAAGGTCAAATGAGAGGACTTTTAGAACTGAAGCCATTCTTGGAAATACTCGCAACTCCTCGCGTTCACCGGCCCTCCCTCTTCACAGAAGTCAAAGACGGGACATCGTCCACACGGAGACTCTGTAAGTGCATTTCCAAGCTCCACTCCGTCTTCGCCATCGACTTGTTTTATAGCTCTGTACGCTTTGCCGTGTCTTATTTTTTCCAGCCGCCCATCCCAGCAGAGGATGTCGAGCAATTGTCCCATCTCGGATTCCTTCATAGTCACACCCGACAATCCAGACCCATTGATAGCTTTAGTAACTTCTGACAGATTGGGGAAGCCTCGGTAGCCTGGATGCATTGGTAACATCGTCTTGCTTCTATCTCTACCATGCCCTCGTTGCCGAAGCTCTGCTGCCCTAAGCTCCTCCGCTTGTTCCTGAGTCATTTTCGAGCTTGACTTCTTCTTGTGTTCTGGTAGTGGTGGATGCCACCAACTCCTCCCGATGATGTACTTTTCCGTCCATAAAGACATCTGATGAACGAATTCCTCGTCCAGTACGCCATCGGTGTAGAACGGTCCACCAGTCACATTTTCGGAGGGTTGGAGCTTGGCCAGCATATATGTCTTTCTGTTGGGATATTTGACAATCTTGACTGCCTTGATCATGTTTTTGTTTTCGAGAGACTTGATGGCGCGATTCATGGTAGTCATGTGTAGATTAGTCTTATTACGTAGGAGTTTACTCCATATTCCTTCACGGGCCGCACCCTCGATGTACGAGTACACGAGGGCTTCTTCTTGAGAGAGGGAACGATATCTAACATTTGCAGTTGCGCGTTAGCTACTATTTTTAAACATAGATTGACAATATATCTTACTTGATGGCATCCGCTCTCTTAACCACCTTCCAGCAAGCTTTGCCATCCTTAGTCATGAGCTTGAACAACCCATCCTTCGCAAGCTGTTTCGTGTACGCCAGCAATTTCTCGACGCTGTTGTCAGGTATAATTTCGAATGCGAAGAGCTCATCCTGATTGAACACATGGCCCTCTTCAAAGCTTGCACACCGGGCGTACAATGCGTTCCTGAGCTCCTTGGGGCTTGACACACCACTTGGTTCCGTCATTGTGACATCTTGATCTTTGGGAGGCGCCCCCTCCGTCGAGGAGGTCATATTTGAAAGTAAGCAAGACCGAGCTTCAATCGAGAGGTGATTTGAGAATTGGAGTGAATCTTCAAGAAATTTGTGTAAGTGTGGGCTCCGCGATTATCAGGCGCGTGCGGAATGGATCCGCTCAGAGCTTTCGGCTAGGGCTGAGCAGACCTTCTTCCATCAGTTCTACCGATTTCTGTAGAAATCCGATCGCACACGCCCACTGTTCTCTACAAAACATCAAAAATTTCTCGGTGTTTGTCATCACCGGAAACAAAGTAACTGTATACATTAAATCGTTACAATGACGGACGCCCTCAAAGCCGAAGGCAATAAAGCGTTTACTGAGAAGAAATTTGAAGAGGCAATGTATGTAACCCGCTTTTCGCGTTTACTTTGCTGCTTACTGACTTGATCTAGTGAGAAGTTCACCCAGGCCATCGAAATCGAACCACAGAACCATGTTCTCTACTCCAATAGATCGGGTGCCTACGCTTCGAAAAAGGAATTTGACCAAGCTTTGGAAGATGCAAACAAGACCACGGAAATAAAGCCTGACTGGGCCAAAGGGTGGACCCGCAAAGGCTCTGCGCTGCACGGTACAGGCGATCTAGGTGTGTCTGAGTCCTCCGGGTACAAATCGAGAGTCTGCTGACTGTCGTCTCTAAGTTGGAGCCAACGATGCTTTCGAGGAGGCATTGAAGCTTGACGCTAACAACGCACAAGCCAAATCAGGTCTCGCTGCCGTCAAGCGAGCCATCGATGCCGAAGCAAATGCGGATGATGCAGGTGGTATGGGCGGTGGCCTGGGCAACATCTTCAACGACCCCCAGATGTTTGCAAAACTCGCAAACAACGCCAAAACTCGCTCGTTCCTGGCAGATCCTCAATTCATGCAGAAGCTTCAGCACTTAAAGCAAAATCCAAATGACATTGGCGGTGCGATGCAGGACCCGCGATTCCTTCAGGTCATGAGTGTACTATTGGGGATCGACATGTCCATGGGAGGTGCACCAGGCGAGGGGACTCCAGACTTTGGCGGCTCCAAAGAAGCGGAAGAGGACGTCGCTATGCCAGATGCACGCCCGTCATCTGCCAAGCCAGCGAAGGCTCCGGAACCGGAGCCGGAGCCTGAGCCTGAAGACGAAGAAGCTGTTGCGGCAATGAAGGCGAAGGAAGACGCCGAGGGTGAAAAGAAGCTGGGTACAGAGAACTACAAGAAACGACAGTTCGACGCCGCCATCGAGCACTATGACAAGGCTTGGGGGTTGCACAAGGATATCACGTATCTCACCAATAAGAGTGCGGCACAATTTGAGAAAGGAGATTATGAAAACGCTATTGCGACCTGCAAGCAAGCTATTGAAGAAGGTCGCGAAGTCCTCACAGACTTCAAGATCATCGCCAAGGCATTCGGCCGTATCGGCACTTCATACGAGAAGATGGGCGACCTTCCACAAGCTATCACCAACTACCAGAAGTGCCTGACAGAGCATCGTACACCTGACATCCTTAACAAGCTTCGCGCCGCTGAGAAGGCTCAGATCAAAGCAGAGAAGGACGCCTACATTAACCCCGAAGAAGCTGAGAAGGCGAGAGAGCTTGGTGGCCAAAAGTTCAAAGAAGCTGACTGGCCTGGAGCAGTCGAAGCGTACACAGAAATGACCAAGCGAGCCCCTGACGATCCTCGAGGCTATTCCAACCGTGCGGCGGCCTTGATCAAACTGATGACATTCCCTAGCGCCGTTGGCGATTGCGACATAGCAATCCAGAAAGATCGTAAATTTATCAGAGCATATCTGAGGAAAGCGCAAGCTTACTTCGCCATGAAGGAGTACAGCAAGTGTACGGATGTGTGCACAGAAGCAATGGAACAGGATGATGGTAGCAACCGTCGGGAGATCGAACAACAACAGCAACGAGCAATTCAGGCTCAGTTCGCGGGACGTGCTGGGGAGACGGAGGAGCAGACCATGGAGAGAATTCAGAAGGATCCGGAGATCATGGGCATACTACAAGACCCTATCATGCAGAGTATTCTTCAGCAAGCAAAAGGAGACCCTGCTGCGCTTCAGGATCACATGAAGAACCCAGACATCGCCAAAAAGGTGCAGAAACTGGTGGCGGCTGGAGTCATCAAAACTCGCTGAGCGTGAAAAAGGGAAAAAGTGTTCTGAGGTCTGTTATGACATTGATTCTAGCAACTTTAGCGATGTTCTACATAGACGAATTGTATAAATACCTACTGCGAGATGAGGATAGCAGTTGAAGCTTCCGCAGCAAAAGCTTTTACTTGAACACGCAGCATAAACTCAATTCTCAACCACCCTCCAAGATTGGTGGATTAAGCCGGAAAGTCTCCACAGCATGGGTCCTCGTAGCTCTGGTTAGCTACAGGCCTCGGAGTTCGCCAAGAATCATCATCCAGTGCACTGGCTGAGCTTCCTGCGCTTACAGGTAACTCATCTCCGCAAAGATGCCCACATTGCGAGAGACTCTGCGATGAGCAAATAATGAGTGATGGGACGATATCATAGCCAAGTGGAAATCCGCTATCAACCTCATTATCATGTCGTGATCCCAGTTTACTATAAGGTACTAACCTACCCACTTCAGCTGTGCAGGGATTTATGAGGGTCTTCGGGTCCATTTCATAGCGCCGGAGTTTAATCTGAAAGCTCAACGGATCTGGCCGAGGGGCCTTGGCTCTCAATTGCTAGCTCCACCAGCTCCATTCCATTCAACTCGCGACTTCCAACTTTCTTCATCTCTTCGTCTTTCAACGAAGCTAGCCGTAAGCCAACTGCAAATATATTTGAGCCAGTCTCACCTCTTCTCCCTCTATGAGCTCAAGCCAGACTTTGAGGTTCCACCATATCCTTGCATTGGCTTGTTTTCCGCCAAAATGATGTCCAATCTGAGTTCGCGGGCGGGGGAGCTCAAGTCCCAGGGCGCGGCAATGGCAGCACAAGACCCAAATAGCAACGTCACGGCTGAAGATGCGGAGGCAGTCATGACTGATGAGTCGAAGAATGCGGGAATTCCAGCATTTCAATTCGATCCCGATGCGTCACCAGAAGAAAAAGCTGCCCAAGCTAGATCGGTAAGCTTATTGTTCCTTTACTCAATTATACAAAGGTACATGATTGACACCGAGTAGCACGTTCCGCCAGGCTTTCATCACGACAAAAAACCTAAAGGTGTTGGCATAGCTACGGACATTGTTTGTCCCCCTACCCTTTTGCACAAACCTGTGCTGATATAGAACCAATAGGATGATGGTACGCCAGACGCATATGATCTTCCTCCGCCGAGTAAAGAGGGTGCGGTACCTGCATCACCAGCGCCGGATGGAGAATCTAAGAGCCCCAATGGCCACATGCAGCAAGACGAAACCGCTCGGTTCGTTGCGAAGACCGGTTGGGCGCCCAGGTTCGGTCAGGGAAGTATCACATCGGAGGAAGCCCAAGAGAGTCTCCTTGACCATCAGACGCTTTTAGAGAGCAAATTAGACGACAAATTTTTCGGTGGTACGCTTCCGAGCCTCGGGTCATGATGGACTGATTTTGGGAATGATGTTGGCTAATGGGCTGCTAGACTGGTATCACAATGCGGGTATCATAGTATTTGCTTGTTTGAGCTCATGGTTTGTAGCCTTGGTTGGAGGTGGCCTTGGATGGGTGCTGCTGATCATGGCTTGCTGTGCGACCTACTACCGTACATCCATTCGTCGGGTACGTCGCAACTTCCGGGATGATGTCAACAGAGAAATGGCCAAGAGTCGTCTGGAAACGGACACAGAGAGTCTTGAATGGATTAACAGCTTTCTGGTCAAATTCTGGCCAATCTACGCACCAGTACTTTGCGATACAATCATCAACTCTGTTGATCAGGTCCTCAGTACTTCCACACCAACCTTTCTCGACAGCATGCGTATGAAGGTATTTACTCTGGGTTCCAAGCCACCCAGAATGGATCATGTCAAGACGTATCCAAAGGCCGAAGATGATACGGTTTTGATGGATTGGAAGTTCAGCTTCACGCCTAATGACACCATGGACCTCACTGCTCGGCAACTCAAGAACAAGATAAACCCCAAGGTTGTACTTGAGATCCGAATCGGAAAAGGAGTCATTAGTCATGGAATGGACATCATCGTCGAGGACTTCGCATTTTCCGGGTTGATGAGGGTCAAGGTCAAGCTTCAAATTCCATTTCCACACATAGAAAAGGTTGAAATTTGTTTCCTTGGGAAGCCGGACCTTGATTATGTTTGCAAGCCCTTGGGTGGCGACACATTAGGCTTCGACATCAATTTCATCCCGGGACTGGAAGGGTTCATCAAGGAGCAGATCCACGGTAACCTTGCTCCGATCATGTACGACCCAAATGTTTTCCCCATCGAGATCGCCAAAATGCTTGCAGGAAACCCAGTCGACCAAGCCATTGGCGTACTAGCGGTCACGATACACGGTGCACAAGGTCTAAAGAACCCGGACAAGGTTGCAGGAAGTCCAGATCCATATGCTGTACTTTCACTTAACAGCCGTGACCCTCTTGGCAAAACCAAGACAGTCAAAGAGAATGCCAATCCTCGCTGGAATGATACATTATATCTTATCATTACCTCTCTCGCCGATTCTTTGACATTTCAAGTGTACGATTGGAACGAATATCGCAAAGACAAGGACCTTGGAACTGCAGCATTTCCTCTTGACCAGTTGGAAGCAGTGACAGAGCATGAAAACCTACAACTGGAGGTCACGGCTAACGGCAAAGCTCGAGGAATCATCCAGGCTGACGTTCGCTTCTTCCCGGTTCTAGAGGGCCAGAAGATGGAGGATGGTACCACTGGACCAGCCCCTGAATCCAACACCGGCATCGCAAGACTCACTGTCGAGCAAGCCAAGGATTTGGACGGTACCAAGAGCTTGATCGGGCAGCTGAACCCATACGCAGCCCTCATCCTCAATGGTAAAGAAATCCATACGACTCGTAAACTCAAAAGGACCAATAATCCTATCTGGGATAACGGTTCAAAAGAATTCCTGGTCACTGACCGCAAAGCAGCCAGACTGGGCATGGTGGTCAAAGATGACCGCGATCTCGGGACTGATCCAGTACTGGGCACTTACCAAATCAAATTGGACGATATGTTGCAATTGATGGGGAAGGGTCAAGAGTGGTACAACCTGGCTGGAGCGAAGACTGGTCGTGCCAAGATGATGTTACAGTGGAAACCAGTGACACTGAAAGGCGCGCTCGGCGGCTCTGGTGGCTACATCACGCCCATCGGTGTTATGCGGTTTCATTTCGGAAGCGCTCGCGACCTCCGGAACTTGGAGACCATGGGTAAATCTGACCCCTACGCTCGAGTCCTCCTGTCTGGTATCGAGAAAGGCAAGACGGTCACATTCCAGAACAATCTCAACCCCGACTGGGACGAAATTATCTATGTACCAGTTCATTCGCCACGTGAGAAGCTCACAGTTGAGGTCATGGACCAAGAGACCACAGGGAAGGATCGCTCACTCGGCCTTCTCTACGTAGACAGCGCTGACTATATTCATCAAGCCGACAACGGGGAGTATGAAGTTCACGGGGAGAAGCGACAATTGTCAGAGCCTTTGCGCATAAACGGCAAAGGATCTCCGAAAGGAACTCTCAACTTCACTGTTTCTTTCTACCCCACACTCAACGTCATTGATCCAGAAGAAGAAGAAGCAGAGAAAGAAAGAGCAAAAATTGCGGAAGAAGAGGCTGCAGGAAGACCTTCAGTCAACGGCACAAGAGCCAGCATTGATGGAAAATCTAAGAGCAGCATAGATGGAGAATCAAGGAGCATCACAGTGAACGGTTCTACAATAGCGCCGAGTTCCACAGAGAAAGACCGAGAACTTGGAAAGATCGACACCAATCTTGCCAAGCAACTTTCGAAGAACGAAAAGGAACAAGAAGAACTACAAGGGGAAGGGCCAAAAGTTCCACAAAAAATAAGGCTTACCCCGGAAGAGCTCCTCAAGCACGGTATGCTAGCCTTGACGCCCTGAACAAACGTCGTATGGCTGACTCTTGGGAACTATAGAGTCTGGACTTATCATATTTAAGCTCATAGAAGGGACACTGGCGCGTCCAGACGTGCGCGTGGAGATTGTCATGGACGACTACATATTTCCCTCATACTCCTCATCGAAAGCCAGATCGCGACAGACTCAGTTTGGCGAAAGTGAGTATTGATAGAATCCTGGCTTGTTTCAGTGCTAATATCGCTCGCTCAGCTGGGGATGCCTTTGTACGAGAACTTGATGTATCCAAGATCACTTTACGACTGAAAGAAAAGCAAGACAAAAAGGGTGACAATGAACATGATAATGATCATACAATCGCTAAGTTGCAAGGTAATACCTTGGACGTCTTGCAGAGATGCCTGGTAAGGCTTTAATGGATAGATAGTGGTGTTTCGCTAATCAACGACCTTCGCAGTACAAACCGACAGAATTGATCCTAAAGGGCGCTGAAGGTACTATCAGCAGAATCACTGTTGATCTTAGGTATCTGCCTGTCAAGATGGACCTAGACCCTAGCGAAAGCATCAACAACATGGGTACCCTACGCATTGACGTTTTAGACGCTGACGATTTACCGGCCGCTGATCGCAATGGATTCAGTGACCCTTACTGCAAGTTCAACCTCAACGGCAAGGAAATGTACAAAACCAAGACTCAAAAGAAAACGCTTCATCCCGCATGGAATGAATATTTCGAGTGTCCAATCAAGTCCCGAACAGCCGCTAATTTCAAGCTCACCGTTTTTGATTGGGATATGGGAGACAAGGACGACCTTCTCGGCGAAGCCACCATAAACCTTGACTTACTCGAGCCCTTCAAGCCGAGTGAGATCGTGCTACGACTGGATGGTAAGTCAGGTGTAGTTCGGCTGAAGATGCTCTTCAAGCCAGACTATGTCACTAGATCACGTCAAGGATCTTCGACGTTTTCAGGAACATTTGCAGCACCAGGCAAGATTGTCGGTGCACCCGTCAAAGGGGTCGGCAAGGTCGGCGGAGCAGTTGGTGGAGGTGTGGTCAAGGGTGCATCGTTCCTACGACATGGCTTCAAGGGCAGAAAGGACAGTCGAGAAGTAAGCAATGGAGAGGTAGAGCCACCCGAGATAGAGGAGCCAATCGCCAATGGAGGCTCCGCCATGACAACACCGTTGGGGACACCACAGCGTGCAGCTCCAATGATTGACGACAGCCCGTCGGCTCCTCAAACCCCACCACACGTACGACAGAAGAGTTTTGGAGCGGCATCTACAATGAGTGTCGCGGGCGGAGTGCCTGGCAAGGGAGAAGCTGGCAGTGCTATGTTCTTGGTGCAATCCGCCTCCGGATTCCCTGCGACATCGAAAATCCAAGTTCACATAAAGCAAGTTTTGGCGAAAGGCGCTAAAGAAGTTCACAAAACGAAAGGTGTCAAATCCTCCACTGGAGAAATCACGTGGGATCATGAGATGTTCAAAGTACCATGCTCTGCCGATACCCAATTCCAAATTCAAGTTAAGGACGACAAATTCTTGGGCGATCACATCCTTGGTGAAGCACCTTTCTTTATCGATGACTCTACGGCAGGAGGTGAGAAGACGATCAAGGTTGGGGAAGGAAATGTCACTATCCACACCACTTTCATGCAAGATAGTGGGCCAGGTAGTCCAAGGAGTCGGCGAAGCCTTCTGAGCAGGAGGCCTCGGGATGTGAGTGGCGCGAAGGGACCAAGTTGAGAAAGCTGTCAACAGGACGCTCCCTTGAGATGGAGAAAAATCTTGTTGTTCATTGATTGAGTTACTATTAGCGTGTTGATACCACTCTGTTCTTATGGGAGAAACCTCCAGTCTATAATACAACACGAACAATTCTACTTGTAGGACCGCCATCATGCGGGCTCAGTGTTCAAACGGTAGCTCTAGCGTTCTCATTCGCAAGACAGAGATACAGCAACCAGACAGACTGCTGAGTCTCGTGCGCTAGCATTGAGGTAATAGGTAAACGCCAGCGGCGAGAAGTCTAATTTCAAAATGTCTGCAATGATACGGATTCTGCGGCTATTCCATTGTTGCAGAAGGTATTCTCAGCGGACCTGTTAGAGAGTACATGGAACTTTCCATCACGTAAGGTCAATTGCTTTGGCGTCATCGGTCCATTCTAACCCTACTCAGAATCTCCCTCAACACTTAATGCAACCCACTATCTGGCAGCGACTAGGACTGCACACGCGGCAGTATCACCAAAATGCTCTTTACAAGGACCCAAGGCTCACAGGAGGGGGACACTCGTCCCTTTCCCCACAAGCCCCCGTCGCTCATGGGCTCTGCCTGGCCCGTCTCTCCCCAAGTCCCCCTCAGTTTCACCCAAAGATCTCAATGTCCGAATATTCTCAGCGGTGCAAAATAAGGCCTTCTCCGGGGCAGATTGCGTGAGCCATCCTGTCGTCCCATTCCTCCCCACCCACGGCGACCTTTACAGAAAGTCTCATACCTTTTACGCTGCCTCGATGGTGTGGCTTCATGACTATACCCTGACCGTCTATAGACAACATCAGATCCAGGTACAAACAGTGTTTTGTAGGGGCCACACATTGACAAAACACAATGCTACCTCTTAATCACCATGGCTTTTTTTTTTGTTGAGACGTCGACGCTTGATTCGAAGGCTGCTCTCGTGTGCTGTCGAACAGATCAGACCTCTTTGCCCTTGGCCTCAACAACACAGAACATCAATTTTCTCATACTGAACGGATCACTGCGAAACACAGGTTCGAGAATCTAACGGTTTGTAGGCCACTCCGCAACTTTTACCATGACTAGGGGGTTTCTTGGTCAAATGATTAAGATCGAGAACAGTGTCACAAGCGACATTAGTCAAGCCTGTCCGATATGCTTAGAGGGATACGGTAGTTTTGAAGGGGTGCCTTAGAGGGGAAGACAGATGTGCATGTGTAAAATTAAACAATTTCTTTTGTTCTTTACATGTTTCTTTCAACAGATACTCAAAATCCCGTCTCATCAACAAGCTACCAGCTCAAGACCCGAAAATCTCATGATCAATTTCCCATACCTTCCCAGCCTTTGGGGAGTCCTAACACAAACATCCACCGATCATGAATTCCCCACCCGCCATCAACACCGCCTTTACGACCTTGACGTCGAATGAGAAACTCCACAGCACCATGACCGAAGTTCCCACGCCGGGAAGTGACCACAATCTCAACTCGGACAACTCATTACTAAATCCAGGTCCATCTACGAAGAACGTTACCATGCGGCCTGTCAGGTAGATGATCGATAGAGCAGTCGAAACAGCATACACTACCCCAACGTTGAAAAAGGCCGTCGCCAAAACATCTCCAGGAACGTGAAGGAGGCGAGCGAGGAGAAGTGCAGGGTCCGCAGGACACCCGGACGCAGGGCGCGGATGAGACGGACGTTCGAAGTGAGGGAGGAAGGAAGGAACAAGGTTCCACGACGGAAGATGGATAACGATGACGGGTGATCCGGGTTTTTGGAAGACGCGGTCATCGAAGGCGTGGGTCCTACCTGTTCCGGGCGGGGGGGGGGCGCACGGACGACACGTGTTTCGGTTTCGCGCCCGAAGGGATCGTGTGCACGGGACCACTTTACACTGCTGTGTGGTCGCCGAGACCGGTCTGATGGGGCTGACGTTGTTGTTCCCGTAGACGCTCGAGGGAGTGTGGTGGAAGCGGCGACGGACCGGGCCAATAGCGGCGATTGCGTTTTCGTGAGGGACGCCCTACGCGTTTCGAGACTAGATTGATGTCGGGTGTTTGTGGGAGAAGGGGTCGGACGTCGTGAATGGACAAAGTACCCTCGTGGGGAGGTTGTCGGCAGGCGAGGGGTCAAAAAGGGTGGCAGTCGGAGCGGTACCAACCCCTGAAACATGGACGACTTTACGGGGACGAGAAGGGTTTTTGACGTTCAACGCTCAAGCTGTAGTGATTTTTGATTTGTGAATAACACCTGTTTTACGGGTGAAGCCCAAAATCGGCGTAAGAATAGACTAATTCAACGTCTCCGACTGCAAAAATTTTTCTTAACTCTTTGCCTGCTAAATATCCTCTCTACTCGTGACTTCTGATCCACTCTCTGATCGACCTCCCTGTCGCTCACGGCCTTATGGTTCGCTGTGCTCTGGTCAGGATAGATAAAATCAGTCTGTTGGTCCTTCTTTACATCAGACCCCGGCAATGCTCGCGATGATACAGCAAAGCTGATGATAGTGTGCTGATGCGAACACATCAACTAGCAATGCATGAGCGATTTTTGTCACGATAAAGGTATGTTTTCAAGAGGACTCACTTCCGTACGGCGTGAAGTATCTCGCAGGTCGACGAGACGATGAAGGTGAGTTGTGGAGCAATTGGACGGCCATCTCTTAGCCGCCCATGGGACGGGCGGAGCTCCTCTCAGGCTCAGACGAACGAGTCATCGATCCCGTATTTTTGCATTTCGTTCTCCAATCGAGGATCCTCGCTGGCTTCCTCAGAATGCGCGGAGTCCATTCTTACACTTGTATTCATGGGCTTCGAGACAAGAATTCCTTCCCGGATTAGATCATCCGTCATGGTATCCTTGCGTTGATGTCCATGACCATGGATGTGGTCATGGTCGTGGTCGTGGTCGAGGTCATTCATGGCAGTATCACTGCCATTTTCTGTTCCCTCACCAACGTTCTCGACCCACGATTTTGGATCGTTGGTGAGCGGAAATTTGATGTTCGTGTCCAGCCCTTGCGTGTCACCCCCTACGCGTCTCATTACCCACAGGTACAAGGGTCGTAGGGTCGGTATACAAGCAGCAATGATCCCAATTTGCACCTCGAATAGCCGCCATAGCCAATTGATGATGCCGTTGTATGTGCCGTCGAGGGGTACGGATTGACTGTTGAGCACTGTCCGGACAAGGCAACAAGCTCCTGTGATGAATCCCAGACACATCAAAACCCATAAACCGATCTTAGTCCTGAGATCAATCTGTACCCGCCAAAGAAATAATATCGGGAAGGCTGCAAAAGCAAAATCGGAGATAACCGATATGACCGCTTGAGCAAGTATGATGCTTTCTTTTGCCTCCCTGCTCATACAAGTGCCCCTGTTATCCCATGCCGCGTGGATCGGTTGGCACTGCATGATCCATACAACGGTCAAAATAGTATTCGAGAAGAGTAGAAACGCCACGGCACATTGTAGCGGTAACAGCAGCGCTCTGCTGTTGGGTAGTCGCATCAAAAATAGACAGATGGACACTTTAGTCCACATAAGAGTAGCAAATGTCTGAATCCACTCCCCGTAGGTGTATTTCCTAAACTCTTGCAAGTTGTGGGGGGAGAGGAATTGCTGGTGTTTGCCAAAGCCGTAGTTGACTTCCTTGAAATCGAGCCCTGCGCCTATAGTGGTTCCGAGCTGTGTGGTGGTCAGCAAGCTGGAGGCCAGTAGCGCTGGGAAGCACTTACAACCGCCAGGCAGATAGCAACATCATCGTACCAAAATTGATGCACGATCCAGACGCGGGTAAGAATACGAAGGAAGAGGGAAATCAGGACGACTACGAGGAAAGCGATGGTGAGGGCGAGGATAGCGGGTCCCCAATTGCCTTCATCGTTGGCCATTATTGCGTACTGCCTTTGGTTGTGAAGGTGAAAAGGATCTCTTGCTTGAAATGCATCTTGGAAAAGAGAAGAAGAGGGCAGATGAAACGCTCATCATCAGACTGAAGCTAGGAAGCGGCGCTGCTGATTTAGCCTTACTGTGGGGAAGTCCGCTGTCTCGAATCTGCCTCGCCATCCCGGCCCCTACTTTATGACACGAGTGAGAAATATACCCGATAGACTGGTTCAACGACAGTCTCTAACTCTTACTCAACTTCCGCTTCACCGTGCGCGAGGTTTACTTGCGTGTACGCAGAAGACGCAGGGTTCATCAAGCGAATGGGAGGGATACTCCTGTTCATTCGTTACTTTAGCTTCGTGAAGTTTTTAGTCCCTCGGTCATTGATCCTCGGCATAGTTGGCCGAGGGACAAGCTCTACGGAGTGCGCTTGGTGAATGCTAAAATCTACCTAGTGCTCAACACTCACGATGATATACATGACGAGTCAATGTCCTTCACTCTATGCCATCACGGACTTCCTGACCACCACATTTACCGCCGGCCTCTTGTCCCGCAACTCACGAATACCCGTTGCCAACATGGTAGCTACCCTAGTCGAAAGTTGTGGTGGAGCAGTGTTAGGTGATGGCGCAGATGTAGGTGTTCGTATTGGTGATGTTCTGGGCGGAAAGGTCGAGGTAGTTGAGGTTATGTATCAATGTCGTATCTTGGGGAGGACTTGTTGTTCCAGGAAGACCGTGAGTGCTCACCGGCGTTACTGAAGCTAAGATCAAAAATTGAACGACGCGGACAGCGGTACTGAGAGGACTAGTGACCAAAGCTGTAGAAGAAATGACTGATGGAAATACGGCTACTGTGGTTATTTCGGATAGTTGACTGCTACCGTGAAACTTGCCGTATTGACAGGTGTGGCGCCAGGGGCCATCAGAGTAAAGAACTCCTATACGGGAACGCAGGAGAAGGGGCGCTGATGATGATTTGCAACGATGTCCCGCCAAGGACCTCAATAAAGCCCGTGGCCGAGCCACTACTGGATGTCAGGAAGTCAGAAGTGACTGAGACTGCGAAAAGCCATGCTATCAGGACAATGCTAATCTTTTACGACTTGCGCATCATGGCGCTAGATGGGAAATAGAGAGCGGAATCTCAACACAGAAACCAATAGAGAAAGTTTCATGACATCTAGATGAGAGGTGCGATTAGACCGTAGTACTTATAGGAACGATGTCTTTGGCCACTTTCACGAAGGATCATTCTCATCTTTGATCTCTCATGTTTTCTTTCGCCTATTCTCTGACAGCCTCTGATGAATAATTAAGATCTGCTGGTATTGTGCGAAAAGACTCATCGGTAGATAGCAACAGGACGCGGGCCACTTATGCCCGATTCTGCCCTCGATAAATTTCCTCGATAAACGTATTCGATCAATTATACATGAGGCAAAACTACAAAGCATCGATCCACAATGAAGAGGACACCAGCCGCAGTGGCATCGGTCTCAGTTCTTAGCTTTGTAATCCGATCTTGCGAGCCATGTCCCAGCTGGATTCAGACAATGCCATAGGGTGGTAGCACTTTCGCTCTATGGCTCTGTCGACCATGACTCTAACTTGTGATGTGAAAGACAGCAATTTTGCTCGAGTCTTAGGAAGCCTTTAACACTTCCAAGGCTCAAAGCCATGAGCAACTTAGGCCGCTCCCCAAAAAGGACAATATCCCATCGTGGAAGGCGTTCGACGGTTCGGGACCATCGTACCCACGGAACTTATCAGATCAAGACGTCTGTCGGATATCTTGCTCAACAGGTGGAAATTGCGTGCCTTTATGGCTTCGACGACGAATACTCTATCTGTCTTTATAGTCCAATTGGCTTCCGGAGAAGAGAGTGCGTGAGATGAGTACGACAAATCTGGAGTAGTTGACGTTGACGGGTATGCAAATTTGTGGGTCCTGATAGACCGAAAAGGGGCATTCATACAGGGGGATCTGCCGCCAGGGCTATTTTGAGCATTAGGGTTATTGTTGAGTTGAATATTGAATCTGCATCTAGCACTGCTTGCCTGTCTTGGTAACCAAGAAATTACTAGTCGGACAAGACCGTTGATATTTGGCCTTATCTTCTGGGCCATTGTTAAATGAGACCGATCATGTCCATCGAGTGAAAGAAGGCTCTGGGACACGTTTTCTTGTCTTGTCGGAGAATTAACTTTTTTTTTAGCGTTACGGCGGCCCGGATAGTGCTGGCAGTTTTTAACACCCAACAAACCCCACCATTCTCTATGTGCATAACGTTAAGCCTCTCAGGTATTTTGCACTTCGGACCCTACCCTCTCCTCCATAAATACCTCTCCAGATCCCTTTCTCATTCTCTTCCTTCTTCCTTCACGCATTATCTTGTACATAAACAGCTCCAGCAGCTCAATTGAGTGAGTCAATTCTGCTTTCCCCCTTTCTGAAAGGCCAAGTGCCTGTCGAACCCCAGCATCGCTCCCCATTCGTCCCGGTCCACCCCTTCTTCGAGGTCTGGGGCTTTTACATGGGCTTCCCGCAGTCCGATTGGCATTGGACAACATGAGCAGACTGTTCTAGTCCTCGCCAAGTTATTGTCCCTTAGGCCAAAGTCCCACGTTGCACAGTTGCCATACCAATGTCGAGGCTAATTGATCTTCTGAAAGCCATAGGAAACCAGCCTGCTACCCACTCTGATATACTCAAACAAACATGGCGGCAGCACAGAGAGCTATACCCTCACACCTAAGGGAAAGTGGGGCCACAAACGGGGAGGCAGGAGCTTTCAAGCGGAACCACCATGGAAAGTCTCAATCACACGTGGTGAGTTTGGAATGTTTTCGAAACCCCTAGATCGTGTGATGTAATGGCGGCCGCGTGAGGTGCTATTCTAGGCCTGAGGAAGCGCCGGCACGCTTGTTTCAAAGCAGTCGGTGGACCTCGGTCAGAGCACGGAAGTTGTGACCTTCATTAGGAAATCTCGGAAGGCACTCTTCTATGATCTGCAAGCTCAAAGCTCGGTCCCAATCTTCCTTCACACAATAATTATTCCTTCGCGAGTGATACCTGAAGCGTCAAGCACCATCTGAGTGTCGTTCAAGGGCCTCTCAGCTGTCCAAACCTCTTGACGCAGTCGAGGGTTCAGCAACGGGCATTCGACAGATGATATCTTCATCACTCGTCACTCCTCCTCACATACCCTTACCATATCTCTTCCTTCACTCCAACAACTCACAACGCAATGGCTACTGCACAAAACGTTGCCGCAGACATGGTACCTATCATGGCAGCGTTTCATTCTTCAGGATCACAGCTGACCAGATGTCGCGCAATTTGACAGGCTTTCGAGAATACCTCCACATCCGTTGCAGCTGGGCAAATGCGAAATGCCCTTAACGCTCTAGCTGAGACTTGCAAAGATGAAGAAGAGAGGGAGCGCTTCGAGACAGAGATGGACAACTTCTTTGGCCTCTTCCGACGCTATCTGAATGATAAGGCCAAAGGGAACGCGCTGTCCTGGGACCGCATCGCTCCTCCACATCCAGAGCAAGTCGTCGACTACAACGATCTTGCGAACTCCGAATCCGTCGAATTTCTTAATAAGCTTGCGGTCATCAAGCTCAATGGTGGTCTCGGTACATCCATGGGATGTGTTGGCCCGAAATCTGTCATCGAGGTCCGCGACGGCATGTCCTTTTTGGATCTGTCCGTCCGTCAGATCGAATATCTCAACCGAACCTACAGTGTCAACGTGCCTTTCGTCTTGATGAATTCCTTCAATACCGATGAGGACACCCAGAACATCATTAAGAAATACGAAGGCCATAACATCGACATTATGACCTTCAACCAATCCCGATACCCCCGTGTTCTTCGCGACTCGCTACTCCCAGCTCCCAAGAAATACGACTCACAGATCTCCGATTGGTACCCTCCCGGACACGGAGATGTATTCGAATCGCTCTACAACTCTGGTATCCTCGAAAAGCTCATCGACCGTGGCGTAGAGATTGTCTTCCTGTCCAACGCAGACAACTTGGGCGCAGTCTGCGATCTCCGCATCCTACAGCATATGGTTCAGTCCGAGTCGGAATACATCATGGAACTGACCGACAAGACCAAGGCTGATGTGAAAGGTGGTACCATCATCGACTACGAAGGCTCAGTCCGTCTTTTGGAAATTGCTCAGGTTCCCAAGCAATACACGAACGAGTTCAAGTCGATCAAAAAATTCAAATACTTCAACACCAACAACATCTGGCTAAACCTGAAAGCCATCAAGCGCGTAGTGGAAAACAATGAGCTTGAAATGGAGATCATCCCGAACAACAAGTCCATTCCCGCTGATAAGAAAGGAGAGGCGGATGTCAATATTGTTCAACTGGAGACTGCCGTCGGTGCCGCCATCCGCCACTTCAAGAACGCTCACGGTGTCAACGTGCCTCGTCGTCGTTTCCTGCCGGTCAAGACTTGCTCCGATCTCATGCTTGTCAAGTCAGATCTCTACAGCCTGAAGCACGGCCAGCTCATGATTGACGATAGCCGATTCGGCCCAGCACCGTTGATCAAGCTCGGTAATGACTTCAAGAAGGTCAGCGACTTCCAGAAGCGCATCAGCAGCATCCCAAAGATCTTAGAATTGGACCACTTGACGATCACAGGAGCTGTGAATCTAGGCCGAGGTGTGGTGTTGAAGGGGACAGTCATCATTGTGGCCACGGAAGGCAGCACTATTGACATTCCTCCCGGATCGATCTTGGAAAACGTCGTCGTCCAGGGCAGTCTGAGGCTGTTGGAGCATTGAGCGACGGCGTCTCTGTTGTGCTTTCTGTGGCGGTGTCATTGTGTGTGCAAGGAATGGAAATAGCATATACCTAGATGACCCGCTCGTCTCCATTCGGCATGGTCGTCTCCAGTTGTAAGGTTGGAATATGAGCAGGGGCTCTCTCTGTTGGTGCTTCGCCTGTCTCCAAAGGAGATAAGTTAATGTTACATAGATAGACCTTGTTACAAATCATGGTCCTTCACCTTGCATTCATACATAGATCAACGGCGAAATTTGAGGAGAGGCAGCCCTGGTGTTGACCTACTACCACCGTAGACTGACGGAGAAGCTCAAAGCCAATACTAAGCTCCCGTACCAAGCTTTCTCACATGCGATAACGGCGCCATGTTTTCCATGATCTCGTTAATGGCATACTTTCCTATCCATGTTTTTAAGCATAAGTATCCATTGCCTTCGATACTCTACAATTTCTTAGGCAAGTATAAGGCGTAAGATCGCATCTCGGTGTAGCATGTCCGCTTGATGACGACGCTTTGCCGAAATAAAAAGGAATTGGGGCCCCCACCAGGGGTGAATAATCAATCTGCATTTTGCCCGTACGAAAACGGCAATCCCTTCACATCTTTCCTTTGTACTCATGGTATGAGACTGGACTGGAACGCTACATCAGAGGACGAGCGGACGCCTGTATCCTACACAGAAGAAATCCTCCACCGAGAGGCAAGGCAAATTGAGCACGCGACCCTTTTGGGATCTGGACGAGACATCAATTACATTTATTACAATATTTGCAATCAGAGAGACTTCAACCAGAGCCCCTTTTATCAGGCTTGCCTAGCATCTATAATGCGGCGATATCTTTCACGGCAATAATACCAATGATCCTTCGGTCACCCTGCTGGCTTTCGCTCGCCCTCGCCTTCACGGTCTTGCTGCTGCAGTACGGTCGGGTAAAAGGAGACGCAGACATTGAAAGTGTAAGGATACATCATGATTACGAAGATATGAGTGGGAGAGGTGGAGACCCCAAGGCGAAGTATTGGCGTAAGTACAGTGCATGGTCTTTCGATGCCCATCGCTAATGCTGGTGTTTTTTACAGATGAGTCGGTGTAAGTTTTACTGTACTTCTACATTGAAAAGCAGAAGCGCTAAACAGGCTCCTCAGCTTCCATCCACACTACGATGGCCGGTAGGACAAGGCTCTACTCAATGGAATAGGACAACACGCTGACTGGATCTAGCTTCACCGACCACACCCTCGATTACGAGGAACAAAAAGCAAACCTGTCCCTCCTCATGCAATCATACCTCTCGTCAATGTCAGATATAGGCGCAGAAACATGGATCATACACGGCACGCTCTTAGGCTGGTGGTGGAACCAAAAAGTATGCTCCCCAAATCACATCGCGATATCTTCTCCTGACAGTACCACTCAGATCATGCCCTGGGACTCCGACATCGATGTGCAAATGACCAATACTACAGTCCATATGCTCGCCAGGTACTACAACATGACTATCCATACTTTCGATATTGGTGATGATGAGAAGAGGGATTATATGTTAGAGGTCAACCCAAAGTATACAGACCCGTCATATGATGACACTCTCAACGTGATCGATGCAAGATGGATAGACATCGAGACGGGCCTATTCATCGACATAACGGCTGTGCGGCCACACCAGAGCAAAAAGGGAATCATATGCTCCAAAGACCAGCACGAAGAAAAAGTAAGTGAATCCCCTCCCCTCCTCCCGTTCCCATCACCAAGTCTTCCGACCAACCCACCGCCAGGTCCAAGACCTCTTCCCTCTCCGCGACTCCCTCTTCGAAGACCAAGCCGTCAAAATCCCCTATAACTACGCTCGCCTGCTCACGCAAGAATACGGCAATGCTGCCCTCACAAAGGCCGAATACTCGGACCACCGCTTCAACTCTACCAGCATGGAGTGGGAGAAATTCATGTCAGTGAGCTCCCAAGAGAAAATTGCTTGTCACGTTTCGCAGGCACTGCTGCGTGGTGGGAGAAGAGGAAGGAAGAAATGCGCTGGCTGACGCGCCGGCAGGACCCAAGCTGACGAGGATGGAGACGGGGTGAAGTATCCGGATGGGAGTGTGGAGGAGGAGGATGGGGATGAGGAAGAAGCTTGATACAACAGCCCACGTGGCGAGATGATTTCTGTGCTGCATAGCTTGCGATGTCGAATGCATTGAGCGATGGAGTATCGGAAGATATTGGCATCCCTGGAAAGGAAAGACCCTCACGTTCTGGATGATGACTGTAATATACGACCTAATTCAATCTCGATCTGGTGTATCTCTGCACCAATAAATCAACACAAGGATACTCTACTAAAGACCATGATCCCCAAAGCAGCTAGCTGCACACGGTTGAAAGGCAATCCCTCACCTCTCAATCATTCCGTCAAAGTGTACAACCAACATGGACCTCCTCGACGAGCACGCCCGCTCCCTCACAACCAACCAACCCCACCATCCCCCCGCGACCGCCCCGCCGAACCCATCATCCACCCAAGCGCGCAATGCCACACCGCCGAAACCCCAAAGGCCGCCAGACCCCCAACCCTCCACTCCAACCTCCACGGACGCCCATGACCCCGTCGATCCCACCGACGTCCCGATCCCCCCCCCCACTCCAGAACCTGACCTGCTCGCCAGGTCGGTCGCAAGATCTTTTTTTTCCCTTCCCCCACGGACACAACCCCAGTAAGTCAATCAGATGGAGCACATCGCCTCCGAACCCTTTCGCCTCTGCACCTCTGCACCTCCATCTCACACGCCGCCATGGATCCCCCACCTCGCCACCACCTCCCCTTCCCTTCCCCTTCTTTCCTCCCCTGACCCTCTCGAGCCGCCCGCCCGCCCACACCGTCCCCGGGTCCCCGATTCCCCCCCCTGTCTGTTCGAGAAACGACATCGAACGCAGAAGACGAAGAAGAAGAAGAAGAATGATGAGGATGGCGGACGCGTGCGAGATCTGCGTGCGGGAGGGACGGGTGCCACCGTTTTGACACCCGGGTTCGACGCGCCGATGGAGGCGGCGAAAGCGGGGCGGGGCGGGGCGCGAGGAGAGGAGGGAGGGGGGAGCTGGATGGATGGGGGAGCTGAATGGATGGATGGGGTGGCGTGGCGTGGCGTGGCGTGGGTTGTGTGGGTGGGGGTTGGGTGGGGATGGGGTGTGGGGATGAGGAGGTGGTGGGGGAGGTGGGGAGTTGTTGGTGGGCAGAGGGATGCCATGGGAGGGAGGGAGGGTTGAGGGTAGAGTCGGGTTTGCTGACAGAAGAGTGTGGGTGAGAGCGGTCATCGGGTTGGTGAGAATGGGGGCAACGGGATACTCTCAAGGAACGGAGGGCAAAAATCCAATTGAAGGTGCTTTTGTTGGTTGGGAGGGCTGAAGGTTTGAGGGAGATGCTTGTTTGCGGGAGGGATGCCTATGAAGTCGATCTGTGCAACGTAGGGGCTGAGGGCAAGAAAAGTGTCAGTCCCTTGGAGAGAGCTTGAGTTGACCGACGCAGCCATTGTTTAGGGAAGGAGTCATGGAGGATTTTTTAATGGAGTCTCTCGATCATTCAAGTTCTCGCATTATAGAGTCATGAGACTATTCTTCGTATATTCATGTCGTAAGGCATCAAGAGCCTGAACTTATGTTACAGGCAAATAGCCACTGCGGAAATGAGTAGAGATGCCTCCGAGTACATGTAGCGGTGAATGTTGTCCACCCGTGGTATCATCCTCGTCGGTATCCATTCTCCTTTTCTTTCAGTGATCCAACCATGATAAAAGCTGCTGGTCGTTTACCACCAACTCATCAAGTTCACGTCCTGCTGCGGGCCAGTCGGAAGACTCTGGCCATTCTGATTCTCCAGCTGATAACCCTTGATCATGTCATCCCAACCAGTCCAATTCATATCATTATCCTCAATCAGGCGATCCTGTGCAAAGATGCTGGGATCAAAATTCCATTGGTCTGTGTTGTTCGTTCCATTCATTGTATCTGTAGATTGCGGTTGACCCAGAGGCACAAATGACTGTTGCAATCCGTTCAGGCCGTTCGAGCCCGTCGCGGTGGCTGATAGGGTATCAGTCACTGGCCCTGGCATCTCGAAAGTAGAAAAGTCTAGCGAAGGGTCTCCAGTAGACATGGGGCCTGGCGCGAGATTGAACCGTGTAGTGGCGGGCCCCAGAGAGCCATCTAGTGGGAATCGAGCTCGCTTATCCAAGGCTTTCGACCGCTCGGCTCTTGCCTTTGCCATGAGCTTCCGCAGCGGTTTCCAGAGCATTCCTCGCTGGTTGGAGGTAACTGTCCCTCCCCAGTCATCGAAGACCCCTTCAATTACCATCCAAGCCTTGTCGACCTCGGGACCAATAGTCCGAGTACATAGCTGCGAAATGACGAAGGCTATGGCATGCCATTGTACATATGTGCGGAAAAGCCAGCCCCATCTCAGTGTGGTATTTTCAGTCTCTAGAAGACGGGAGAACTGAACAACCTCAAGTGAAGTGCGGAACAACCGGTCTTTCGTTTCTTGTGGGAGGCCTGCACCAGCATCTGATCTTGAAAAAGGATGATGCACCACAAGCCACATCTTGGCGAGAATGAGTCGTGCTACCGTCACTGCGACCCAATGGAGAGGGACATTCGTGTCGCAGTGGCTGAGATACTTTTTTTCGAGATATTGGTGCAGGTCTTCAATCATGCATTCTTTATCCTCGATACTAAGGCTAGCGTTCATGGTTCGGCAACGGCCTTCTCCAGGTGGAGCATAGCTAAGACGTCTGACTGTTATACCCATTGAGTATCGGATGAGATCGAAAGTCATTTCGGTAGCGCCTTCATGTTCCGCGGGAGCCTCTTTCATACTGGGATCAATGTCCTCGTCGTTGATATTGAGGGGGAATTTGGTGTCGAAGCTCTGCTCGACAATGGAGGGATCAGAGCCTTGATCTTCTGAAGCACGCGCATCGAGTGAACTAATCTGCCACCACAGCCGTCTGCGCATCTCGGTTTCAAATGGTGAAAGCCCAAATCGCTGTCCGTCGCGATGGATACCGAGACCCTGGGCAAGACGAATGAGAAGACCTGTGAGAGTCCAGACATATCGTGTGTCGTCAGATCTGCGGACACATGTCAAGAAAAGCAGCAAGGACTGCAAGACCAATAGCTCCTGAGTGTTGAGGAATCCGGCGCGCGCTAAAGCTTGCTCAACTGCAAATCGATACTTTCGAAGCGCAGCTTGCTTCTCCAAGCCCAATTGTAATATGCAGTCGTCAGTCGATAGCGTTGTAATTGCAGCAAAGTATATGGTGAACATCAGGACCTCGATGGGCTTACTGACATGGTCGAGGTCAAGCGACGCCTGAGATATCATTTTCCCGTAGTGGGGAATATGGAGGAGCTTGATCACCGGGTCGACGTTTGCCTTGAAAACGGCCCAGTATATTGGGATTTGTTCGGGCGGGGGATGAAAGTTGCGTAGAGAGCGGATTGTGGAGCTAAAGCCGAAGATGAAACCCTGATGATGTGCGGATGCTGACGAGCCAGAGCCCGGCGAAGGATAGTCCTCTTCGTCTTCGGTGTCATCGTCAAGTATATCGCGCATCTCTGCTACCTCTTCACTTAGACTGTTCCAGAATTTGTTACTGACATATCGACTCTTTCCGTTCTCCACTTTCAGCCTTCCAAATTCTTTAATCAAACTGCCCGTCTCCGCATAGACACGATTGGGCTCATGCTGTCCTAACATGCCACAATTTTTGGCTATTTTGATATCTTTGATATCCAAATCGCTAGGTCCATTTGGCTGTAATGGCTCGAATTCCTGCTTTTGGACCTCAACCGGCTCATTCGCAGTTTCTGCCTCCTCATCGATTCCCTTCCCTAGGCTCTGCACCACACCCTCTAGCCTTCTCAGTCTCGCCAAGAGCTCCGTATCGGGCGGTTTTCTGCTGCGTCTGGGCGCCCTTCCTGGGCCAGGAAATATACACTCGATTACTGCTCTGTTGCAATTTGAGCATGGATGTCTCTTATCACACTTCACTTTCCTCTTCCTGCATGTGGTGCATGATCTTGCATTTAAGCCTGAGGTAGCGTTTGCAGCACTAACCGTAGGGGATGTACCATGTTTTCCGTTGGTTGTGGGCGGGTCACTGGGTTCGCGACTGCTGTTTGGGGTACGGGTCGCCAAGCCGAATGTGCCTGAAAAGTTTGTTTCTACCGGAGAGGTAGAAAAGTCCTTGTCGAATTGAGGCATTGGAGGAGGTTCCTCGATGTCTGAAGTGTGATTTCCAGAAGGACGGCCAGTAATGAATGCGCAACTTCAAGTCCCGATGGTGAATGGGTAAATAGACGGTCAAGACAGCCGCCAACAGACAATCAGATGACAGATATTGAATTCTCTACAGGGATGTTGAGATGGTAAGCAGAGAAAAGGGTCAGTCGATAGTCGTGTGATGCTTGGATGGGGAAATGGAGAAGAATCAGGTCAGGCACGACTTCTTCGTTGCGAATAGGATTATAGGAATCCGTCCTCTCAACCTTCAACTGCGGAACTTCCCGTTCCCTCGTTTGACGTTTGACTTGTTTGAGTCATATGCGCACTTCGGACTTTAGAGCTTCCCCGAAACTTTAAGAGTACGAGTACCTCTGGGCAATTAGTTGAAGAAGCATAGAAACATCTTGTCTCTTGCACACCAACTTTGCCTCTTTCTATCTGAGTCATTACTACTTCCAATGCCAGGGAAAGTCATCTATTGGATTATTGGAGTAAGCCCCTACGCCTAATGTAAAGGTAGAGGTTCGAGTCTACGACTATGCCCAAGAGAGCATGTCCATAATCTCCCTCGATTACTGGCATCACTGTTGCCTAGAATTGTCCATCTTCATTCTTCTCGAGCAAGCAAGACTCCATCCATTCCATCAACCATGTCATCTGCTTCAGACAACTTAGCCAGATTGGCCAAAGATGTTCCTTGGGTTTTCAAGACACCACCAGAACTCAGTGACGCCGCACGAGAGCTCCTAGAACAGTATTCCCATATCCCCAAGGTCTGGTAAATCAGCACGTCCTTGATATGCGAGAAAGGGCCTGGTCCATATTTCCATATCCATGTATAGGGAAATAGCAAGGCATATTGAGCACTTTTCCAGTCACTTTTCTAGAATTCGTAAAAGGACAATATCCTTTCCTCGACCTCTCCGTCTCGCTCCGTCCCTCCTATCCATGCATCCTTTCCTCGCTCAAAGCGCCCCAGTCACAGTACACCCCCCTAGACCTAGGCTGTTGTTTCGCACCAGATATCCGGAAACTCGTGTATGACGGGTCTCCTTCTCAGAACATGTACACTTGGGACTGGAAGGGCGAGTTCCTAGACCTGGGTCATGGCCTCTTCAATGACAAGGAAGCACTAAAGACGCATGGTTTTGCGGCCGACATCTTCGCCCCAAGCTCGGCGCTCGGTGAGATGGACGGCAAGATTGATGCAATCTACGCTGCTAGCTCCCTCCGTACGTACATTTCGGAGCTGATCCTTTGAGATTGAGGCACGAGACTTGTCTCGGGAGCAAAAGAACCCTTCTACTCTCGGGACCTGTCTTGCATGTCTTGCAACTCCAGTTTCTGCCTCCAACAGGTATTGCTCACTCCAAAATATGCGTAGACATTTTCTCCTGGGACGACCAGATGAAAATATGCGAGCGGATCATCAAGATATTAAAAGCACAAAAAGGCAGTGTAGTGTTTGGACGGCAAATCGGCAATGTAAAGGGACACGAGATAGAATACACAGCGCGAGCGGGGGCTAAAATCTGGCTACATAATGCTGATAGCTTGGGACGAATGTGGGATCACGTAGGAAAAGAGACTGGAACAGCTTGGAGAACGTGGGCGGAGCTGTACGATGTGGACGGACGATGGAACCAAGATTTTAAGAGTTGAGGTCGAGAGAGTTGCGTGAAAGTTGCAATATGTGTTGTCGATCCGCAGATGTTTTCTGACTGTATCGTCGTGATCGAAATGCAAGCACAAATCTGACTCCCCTCTGTTGTTCCAGATACACACATCCTGTGCGAGGTTGCAAAATTTGATATGGCCACCTTGCAGTCTTCACCATATCTGCAAAGCATCCAATCGCGATTCAGCTTTTCCAGTCGAGATGCTTTGAGAAACAAGATTCTACCGTCAGAGGCTCGAATCGCATGACAAATTCCACATACCTCCTTTCCAGTCATAATCTACGTATTCACCCTAGCAGATCATCCAACGCACCTCCACCTCCACTCCTTTGCCCGTTGCTCTGCATCGGCTGCATTGGCGCCGTAGGCATGGCTGCCTGGCTGCTTACCGCAGGAGCTCCCCAGATCTGGGTCGACGCCTTTTCTCTCTGTATTGCCGCCAGACCTGGTCCTGCACTAGTTGGCGTTGAGGTTTTCTTGATTCCCGCACCTGCACTTGCCGTAGACCATAACGAACCAAAGACATCGCCGCCGGATGACGAGGCTTTCGCGGCGGGTTTGGAAAAACTATTCGTGGAGGCCACGCCTGGTCTTGCACTTGGGACTGAGGAAGGCTGCTGGGAAGGTGTGGGCGCTTGCACAGAAGTGAAATAGTTGGGTGTTGCGGCTTGATAGCCTGTAGGACGAGGAGGTTGCTGTTGGGTTTGTGTTTGTGCGAGCGGTGGTGGAGATGTAAAGGCGCTTGCTGGTGGGGAGGAGATGTTGTAATTAGGTGCTGGCGGCGAGGCCTTACTGCCCATAGCGCTGGGTGCTGGCGATATGGAATTGAAGCCGACTAGATCATTGAGGTTGTTACCTTGTGAGGGGGCGACGGGTCTCGGCGCCGCGAATTGGGTGCTTGATGCTGTAGTGCTGGTGGATAGTGGTAGACCAGGTATCGATGGCCTTGAAGGAGCTGCTGTGATAGGTGTGGCAGATTGGAAATCGTCGAAGTCATCGTCGTCTGTTGCGCCAGTATTTAGTGGGTTTGTAGCGGGTTTCCTCATACTGGAGGCGAACTCTTTCGGAGGGGTTTCAGGTGGAATGTCGTTGTCAAAGGCCAGAATATCGATCTCTGGTTCTTTTGGTTTAGCCGGCTCGGCTTTCTTTTGCTCTCGTTTTGGGACGTCTGCTTTCCGTCGTGAAGTCGACGAAACCTCGCCATCGTCGCCCTCGTCATATTCCTCAAATCGATCTTTCCTGCTGCTCGAGTCCTGGAAACCAGACGTATTTCCTCCATATCCACCACCATCACCGTAGACTCCACCACTGTATGCCCCGTATCCACCAGAATCTTCACTGCCAAAGCCGGCATACCGGCTGCCGCTGGACATGCCACCGCTCATCGCACCGCCCTCGACGCCTCCGAATTTATTGCGGTTGGACCTGGCTTTTTTCCGTTCGGCTCGGATACGTTCAACATCTCCTAGCAGCTCGGCCAGCTCTTTTGATCGGTTACGCACGTTTACTCCCTGATCTTTGCCATTCTGATCGATAAAGTGGAACTGCCGTAGCATCTTGAGAAGAGAGGTGTGGGATCGGGCATCGTCGATCACTCGCTCTGAACCATTCTTGATGAGAAACTCGAGTAGTTGGAGACCCTGCGAGCCGTCAGTGACCAATTGTAAAATCTCGAGCGAGCGATGTCTGGACCTTATAGATCTGCCTCCACTCCTCCGCAGCTTTCTCCGTGAATCGTTTGTATATCATGGGCATAATCTCATTAAGCAATTGACTGAAGTCGTCCCATTAGCAAGCTCGATGCAGGGAACCGTATTCCATACTAGTTGTGTGTGCCATTGGCAATTTCCTGCATCAGTGACGATGAAGCGCCCCATGGCTCGTTATTGGTAGCTTCTCGGACCTGGAATTGATAATGAACAGATTCGATGAAGCTTTGACACCACCAATGCCTACCTTCGCTTCCATCTCCGTGTAATTCATGACGGCTTGGAAAGGCATGTCAGCTTTAGCTTCAGCTACAGTGCCAATTACAGGCTCACCATTTTGAACCTTCCGTACACCGGCTTTCAGGTCATACAAGGTCAGGTTGCTGACCTGGTCTTTGAGACTGTTGAGATCCATGTTGGTTTTTTACGTTGGTGGTTGGGGGAACGAAGGGGTTGCAGCGGTCGAAAGCTGGGTTGGGGGGCTTTTTTTGTCCATCATTCTACGCTAGCCAGATCAGACCAAGATGCAGATTCACGCCTTCTACGTGCATATTTCCGTACGAATTGAGTCTTTGGAATTACCCTTCCTTTGATTCAAGAAATAGTATTAAAGACGTCTGTTAGGGTAAGCCACGAAGATCTCTCCAGAACTCCATGGCAACCTTTTCAATCAAGGAGCAGTGAAATATAGGTGACAGAGGGCAAGTGCAGAATGGCTGAAGAGCCTCTCAATTTAATCAAGATGCTCTCCGGCACCGAAGGAACGCCTATATGCTACTCCTATGCCCGCTTGCTTGATACTCGCTCATGTAACGCTGATGGAAGTTTGCGTCTAGAAACTCAATAATATTGACACGAAAGAATATCAACAGGACGTAAGACTCAGCTGACAGTAACCACCAAGAACGAAAGGGAATGTTCGGGTATCTTAGAAACGAACGTCTGTCATGTAAAATGGAAATGCAACGATAAATCAGTCGCCTGTGCGAGTGTTACCGCTTTCCTTTCGACTGATCCTTTTCGGCCTCGCTCTCCTCGTCTGCCTCCGCTTCTTCCTCCGGTCCTTTCATAACCTCGAAACCTCGCAGGCCATGGGGACCTGCAGAGGGGCTCGTGACTGTAGGACTTCCATAATGCACCACTTGGGGTGGAGTGCCTCCTGCCTTTTCACCCCGCAGATGATGGGGATAGGGATTCAAATCCTTGCTGCTCGTTGAAAATGTGCTGACTATCGGAGGCCGCTTCTCACCGCCACTGCTTACGTTGCTGCCGTGAGCTGAATGCGTGTGCACCCCCGGCTCAGACTGGGTTGGCGTCGCTACGGAGTCATGCATCGTTGTCACTGGGGACGATGGACCGCCCTCTTCAACTGGCTGCTCTCCACTCAAAGCGCTCCAGCCGCCTTCAATGTCACGCAGTAGCCGCACAAATTCTTCTGGCACAAGCCCCGATTCACCAGTCTTGGGATCCTCGGCCACCAGCCAGCCTTGACCGTGACGATAAGAAACCCATACTATCTGACCCTCTTTTAAAGGAAGCTCACTTACGCTCTCCCTAGCAAAATCGAAGAGTGCGACAGCCTTGCCGTGCATTTCCTCGTCAGGAGAAGCAATCGTAAACTGGTAGTCTCTCGAATATCGAGAATCTGTATCCTGGTCTGGCATTCCTGAACCTTCGTCGCTCGAATCTTCTGAGGCATCTTCTTGTGCGTAAGACCGATTCGGTAATGTTGCAAAATGGGAATCTCTTTGTCTGGGGCTTGCATAGGTGTTCGGAGCTAGCAGTGACTGCCGTGCCTGGTCAGGCGGGTATGTGACGAGCTCCCCTCCAGGACCATCTGCGCTTTCGTCCTCTTCGCCAATGTAGTATGTTTGGGTCCCATCGCCGTTGACACCCGCAAAGTAACTCCGCGATCCTTCATGGTTGGGTGGCAAATCATCCTCATCTTCCTCCTCCACGTCTTGCTGTGGGCTTCTTCCCCTTCTTTTTCCAGGCCTAGAGCCCGCAGCAGCAAACGTTGACTTGTTCTTCTTATGTCTCGAGCTAACCACGACTGGACTGTGCAAATCCTCATCCTCGCTGTACGGTGGGCCGTCTCCGTATGCCATCTGAGGCAGCTGCTGGTTAGAGAAGAAACCATCACCTCCCCAAGGCCCGGCAGACCACTGTGGATTTGCGCCGTCCCATGTAGCGTTTGCAGGATCTGACGACCTGCGCTGCCTTTCGCTAGCAGGCGTCGAATTTCCAGAAGGCGGCTCCGATACCTCTGGAGGAGGCCCGTAATGCCAAGGATGTACTATTGGATACGCAAAATCTCGAACTAGGGCGTAGGGGAGGCTAGAATGGAAAGCAGGAAAAGCATAGGAGACCGGTCTCGAGCCCCCGTGAGAGTATTTCGATGTCGTAGAGTACGTTGACATTCGACTTTTGGCATATGATGGCGGCCGCTGCAACGGTGCTCGCCGATTAGGGGGGTTGGTGTTCAAGGGAGATAGCGTGGGTATGTGAGCACTAGGCGATGGCGATCCCGATGGTGATTGTGTGTGATGCGGGGAGGAGGATGGAGAATGCGATGGAGACATTACGGCAGTCGTTTCGTCGGTGTAAAGTCAACCTCTAGAACGATAACCTCCCAAAAACCTCTCGTGTGACACAAGAGCCCGACGCTCCAAACACCGTCCACCGGTTGTCAGGATTGCAAATTGTTGGCGTCGAAGGTTTGTCTAAGCGTGTAGATTTCGTACCGGACTCGATCCAGGTGATGGAACCCGTACCCGAAGCTGTTGCCAGGGGTAGACACCTCCTTTGGGCTCAGTGTATGTACACCACCCGAAGATCTCGCTGAAAAGGAGCGTGCGCTGAAGATTCCGAGATGCGGAGTTTGGCCCCCACTGGGCCCAGGTATACGAGACCCGACCTCTCAAGAAAGAGGGTGTATCACGGTTGAGGATGTGGAGACACAGACCAGCTGCAAGTCTTCACCGCCAGGATGCAGTAATGTGTGAGGGCGGCAAGGAAGAGGCTGAGACCAAGAGGATCACTGGGCGCAGGCGCTTCTCGAGCTGGGATGCGGCGCCGGGCGTGTCGCCGTGTTCTAGCAGCTTCGATTGACGTCGACCGTCGATTATTTCCTTGTCGAGTAACTGGCACGGCCAAGTCTGAGAGGAGGGGATTCTCGTGTTGATTCCCTGAGAGTGGTGAAGGGTGAACTGATTTGTTTTTCTGAACGCAAAGTAATCCAGACTCGGCGGGATGTTTATAAATAGATCAGCGTAAATTCATCTTCGTTTCCTTGATATCTGGCCGCAAGGACGTCGAACTTGCTGGAGAGTTCTCCAATTACAATCATCACCAGCGACTTTCAACAAGATACTCACTGGTGTCAGAGAGATACCAGAGCCTCGGGCTTCCCAGTGCTCCGGATAGATCGGTTTATGCAGGGATCAGGCTTGGCCAAGCGTCAACATCCTCAGTCTCGCAAGATACGAGCGTCTTATTGATCTTCATCTCAAACAAGAAAGGCCTAATGAGGCTCATGAATTTGACAAAATACTGCTTCGGATCGTCAATGACGACGACGATTTCATTAATAAATTTCGCTGTGGGCTTATGGTTGCTTGACTGACAACACTAAGGAATCATTTATCAATGGAATTTATCCCATTATTGTCAGCCCAAGCCACAGGCCTTTTACTCTCGAGTATTGACGGAGATGTGGCGGACATAAATGGCCGCGCTATGAAGCGAACGCAGGGCGATTTCCAGACGTAATGCAGCGGATCCAGAGGATGACGAGATGTATCCCTCGAGATAGTCCAATGATTCTTATAAACCCTCCATACCATCCCAGAATTCACAATGAAAGTAGAAGTCCCAGTGATGCTGCTGAAGAATCTGGATCCTTCCCAACTGTGAAATGAAAGGAGTCTTCGCGTCACACTGTGTGGAAAGCATGAGTACGAGACTGACTTGACAGCTGGCAAATCGGCTGACGAAGATATACGACTCTTCAAGATCAAGCTACATGGAAAGGATAACAACCCACACATACTCACCTAATCAATCCTTTCGTGCGGATTCAATACTTCATTCAGTCTGCAATTGCTATGACTATTACGAGGTCTCTAGGCCAATCCATGAAGTATGTAGGTGTGGATTTGCAGTGACATCAATTTTTCAGTCATGCATATGCGTATGTCGCTCGCAAGAAGCGAGGCCTACGTATCATCGGTCTGAGTGCTCTATATACTTATAAATATGTGCTATTTTCAAGCAGATCAAGTCAATCCTTGTCTGAGCGGAAAATATGCCAAACTCGATTGAGAACCAGCATTTGCCATTCATCTGCGGCGAACGGGGTTTTCGGCCGTTGTGAGATAAATTATGCGGATCGCTGGCAATTTATTACCTTGCTACCTGCAGACCTGCAGCCTCTCCGGGCTATTTTGGAGTCTTACACGAACAATGGGCTGCAACACGATTGCGGCACCGGCTATAAGTCATCGAAACCTTCCCGTACCACCTCAAAGAGAGCAAGTCAACATGTGACTTGGCCAAATAGTCGTCATAACAATGGAACCATAATGGATTCTTTTTGAAAGATAGCGCTTGCTGTCGAATATTTCGTAGCTGCAACGAGGGTTTTCATGATAGATGGTTATCATGTGGGGATTTTCTGCACGCACTTGGGGCTTTGCTAGAATTTAGTATCTACCTTGTAGTTGCTGTCAAAGGTTTTTTTCTTCTTCCTTCTTTACGGACTTATGCCGCCAAGTCACAACTGTTCTTTTTGGCTTACCACGCCTACAACGCGATATCACGTGATTCAGCCCTACAAGCGAGTAAGAATCGATAGTCTAGAGGTATCAAAGCATAGAAACTGCATTTGAGTGGCAGCCAGGGTTGTCAAGATCGCTGATTCATACTCCGTACAGCAAATTGTGAGCTTGCTCAACATTTTAGCACAACCGCCATGCTTCCAGCTGAGCACAATGTCAGTACATTTATCATGAGAGTGTTGGGAGAACGACGATACGTGACGCGGGCGCAGATATAGGGGCAAAGAAACGGGTCTTGTGTTATTCTGGCTAATGCAAGCGAGTCATACATATGTCACTGATCTTTGCGGCCGGGGTGGATGAAGTTTGATTTGTAGCTGATTGAGATACTTAAAGTACCAGTGCTAAGACGAGTCATTTCTATTAACATTCGCCCGTCTCGTAAGAAAGACGTGATTCAGGCCGGGAATTTGGGGACGCCGAGGTGAATGATGCTGTGCTGATCCGTGCTTGGGGTTACATGATGGTGAATCTTGTGGTCGTCAAAGGGTCGTGGCACTAGTCGGGGTCGTGGATTGGTGTAGATGTGTCTGCGAATGGGAATCCGTTCTGTTGGTGCCAATAGAGTGGGTTGGTGTAAAGGGGTATAGCATAATACGGGAGACGAAGGAGTCGAAGAGCCAACATACTTTCGATATCCAGGCCAGGCGACAAACGAGCATTTGGTGTGATGCTTGCTCGAGCTCCTGGTAATATCATTCGAGCGAATCCGAGGGAATTGTGAAGAGGAGGCTCCTTGCAGGAACCGTGGAAGACCGGAGTGCGCAGGGGAAGCGCTTTCGTACTGAAGAGGTGTCTTACATGTCCATTGAATCGCCTCCGTTGGCAAAGCTGAAGTGTCCCGATGGTTGCGCTTGCTGTTGCTGCTGGCCGAAGCCGAAGCCGCCTTGCCCCGGCGGCGCATTCTCAAGCATGTCTGCGCCAGCCTCCTCCTCGTCAGAAAAGTACTTCCCAATGATGTTAAAAGCTTTCATGTAGATTTCCTCATTGATGTTGTTTTGACAATCATGAATCTTCTCCATGCCTCCGGCTTCTTCAATATGAAGAGCAAAGTGATTGACGCTCTGATCTGACGGGTCTTCGGAAGCTTCCTTGTCCATATCTCCCACCTTCAGAATGTTCTCCAATCCATCAAGAGCGACTTGGATAATCTTGTTATCGGGACAGGCGAGTAGATCGCAGAGCGGCCTAATGCAGCCGCATTGCACCAAGTAACGGATCTGCTCTGGCTTCTGAAGCCCACCAGAGGTTGCGTTGGAAATGGCCCAGCATGCCTCTTTGCGAGTCTTGAAGTCTCCGTTGGACAACAGATTGATCAACGGAGGAATGATATGAGCGTCAATGACTGCCTGGATCTGGGTAGAGTTCCCGGCTGTAACGTTCGAGATGGTCCAGCATGCCTCTTTGCGGATACCGTCCTTTTGGGAGCCGAGTAGTGAAAGAAGCGCTGGTAGTGATCCACAATTAATGATAATCTGGGTCTGTACATCGTCACCGGTGACGATGTTGCCGACGGACCGAAGTGCAGGTGTCTGCACTGATGTTGATTGATGAGTAAGAAGCTCTACCAGGCGACGAGGGATTCCTGCTTCAATGACTGCCTGGATCTTGTCGTTGGCGCCGTCAGATAGATATGAGATAGCCCAGCAGGCGTCAATCAGAACTTCGTCATCGAGAGAGTAGACCAGCTTTGCGAGAACGGGCAATGCGGGAAGGATCTGAGAAGACTGGTCAGCAAGGTTGACAATTGGAGTGTGACGAAGGAGGTAGGAGACCTACAGTCTGCCAATCTGGCTGGGGCGTCTTCCCACGACAGAAGTTGCTGAGAGTCCAAGTTGCATTTCTAAGCATACTGAGCTTACGGCTGTCGCCCAGAAGAGCGAGCAATGGTCGTAATGCACCAGCCCCCAAGACAAAGTCTCGACAATGCGGACTGTCACCAGCAATGTTTCCCAACGCCCAAACAGCTTGCTCTCGAACATCGGGTTCATGGCTGCTGAGGAGTTCGACAAAGATCGGCACGGCTCCGGCGTTGATGACAACCTGAGTCTGTTGTGCTGAGCCAGACGCGATGTTGGTCAAGGCCCAGGCGGCCTCAAATTGGACCAGGGTATGAGGAGAGCGGAGGAACTCCACAAATCGGCTGACCACACCAGTCTCAATAACCTTCTCAATGGGTGGATTGCGTTCTTTTGACAGAAGCTTGCGAAACTTTGTAGTGGCTTGGATCTGTGAATCGATCTCATTGGAGAATACACCATCTACCATCTGAGGAAGTTCGGTAGTAAGCTGAACAGAAAGAGTTTGATTAGCTTGATGTATCATGAAGCCCTAAGCATGGATTTGCCCTCCGAGCATATCATTTTGGGCGCGTAATGGTCACGCATGGACTGCAACTGAGAAGTGAGAGGACCCTTGCGGAGCAGCGCGATCCATACCAAGTTGGCATCAGAAAGATGTTACACCACTCAGGTGGCAATAGGCGGAGGTAGAGAGATACACGAACAATCTCGAGTCTACGTACCTGGCTTTCGATCGTGCCTCCCTCATCATCGCTATCGATTGAAGCGCCCAAAGAAGCACCAGGTGCTGACGTTTGTGTCCCATCGCGACCAGCAATACCTCGTCTCTTTGCTAGATTCTCCTCTCTCTTTGCTTTTCGGATTTCAACTTGTTGCTCTTCACGACGACGACGCAGCTCATCCGGCTTGAAGGTATTCTTAGCTTTGAATTGAGTGCGACGATGCTCCGGGATGAAGCGTTCAGCCATTTTGACGGTGAAGTATCGATCTTAGTCTTGGCTTTAGAGGTAGAATACACTGCACAGTGATGTGAGACTGTGTAGTAAATCAAGTGCAGTGTCGTGCGTACGTGAGTGTTGTGGTTTTGCAGAAGTGGGCTGCTTGGAACAGGCTAGCCATTTCGCCTCAGACCTACCTTTAACCTTAGTCCAGGCCTGTTCCGGTACCTAGTACTTCATGATTGGTCAGCCTCAGCTAGCCGGACAACCCGGGCCGGCTAGCCTGCAGACTTCTTTCAACATGCTATTTTAGCGCAATATCGGAATTGGCAAACCCTCCAAACACTCCAAGACTCGCAGAGAATTAATGCCTTACCTATGGGATATAAACGAGCCCTGTTTGGAAATTCGATCATCATAACGAGGAAGTATCTCTTCAAAGAGTCTTAATGTGAGTTTGTCTTCCGAGCTTCAAATACACATTCCATACCCTTCAACATGATGAAAGTTCTATTGGAGCTGTCCTAAGTGGCTGGAAACAGTACATGAGGATATAAATCTACCTATACGCATACTCTCTGACAAAACAAAGCACATTCCTCTTTCAGTCTTAACACACCCACGCACACCGATGTTGACAGCGTGTTGCCAGCCTTAGGAATATTTTCCCCTTCCTGCTCAGTTGGTGAAGCTCACTCACTTGCGTCGCTTCTCCAACAAGATGGCCACAGACCCACGATTAGCACGTCTGGATCCACGGCGGACAGCAACTCCAACACAGCCTCCTCCACCACCTCCACCAGCAAAATCAGATCAGAAGCCTCTGGGTGGGTACGATGGAGTCGAAGATGCGGACCCAATGGCTGTATCACGAAATGAGGAGGGTGGCTTCAAGCTGAAATTCTGCACAGTATGTGCAAGTAACCAGAACAGGTACGCTTTTTACCCATCACAATTTTACCAGTTGTCCCTGTAGTTTATTTCCCTCGCCGATTGACCTAGCCCAAGTGACTGCCGTAGAACACTTTGTGCACCACTCAAATAATGTAACTACTACTTGAAGCCTACAACAAACACATTATTACGAATGCCGTCTAGGTCTATGGCTGACTATCCAACGCTTAGATCAATGGAAGCCCACCTCCGCTTGTCGCTCGCGTCCTATCCCGTCCTCTCTTTCGGAACCGGCTCCCTCGTACGCCTTCCCGGTCCGTCGATAACCCAACCAAACGTCTATCCTTTCAACAGCACTTCTTACTCGACCATGTACCAAGAGCTCTCGCAGAAAGACCCTCGCTTGTATCGCGCCAACGGCATACTTTCCATGCTTGAGCGCAACCTGAAGGTCAAATGGGGTCCTGAAAGATGGCAGGATTGGCCAATTGGGAAGCCGCGACTAGATCAGCAGAGGGAAGACAAAGGCAGCAGAGGCGCAGAGGGAGGCGTAGTGGACGTGGTGATCACATGCGAAGAGAGATGCTGGGACGCTGTGGTGGACAATTTGCTTGAGAGAGGTAGTCCATTGAATCGGCCGGTGCATATCATTAATGTAGATATCAAAGACAACCATGAAGAGGCGTTAGTAGGTGGAAAAGGGATCCTTGATTTAGCAGACTCGCTGAATCAGGCGGCAAATGAAGAGAGGAGGTCTGGAAATGGAAACGGTTTCGACGAAAGGGTGCCAGAGCTGCTGGCAGAGTGGCAGGGGAGATGGCCGCAATTGCCGGCATTGTGGACTCTGGGGTGGTTTTAAAAGCTGGGCTTTGCTGGATTTTGTCGACCATTTTGCATTACCGGATACCCCCATGCAGCTGTATTATGAGACTTCCAGCATCTGAGACGGTGAACATGCAGTGACGCTATTGGGACAGTGGAAGCAACTCAGAACATGATCAGGCCGTTCACACCTACCTTTCTCTCCCGGCTTCTAGGTGCCTTGTAGACTCGGGTTAAAGCAGACTGAGTAACAGAATATATGGATTGAGTCCGCCTTATCTTGTATTTTGTAACATTACAGACTACCAGTGATGTTAGCAGCCGCGGTTGGGGGTCAAGGTAGTTACATTATTGAACCTTAGCTGCAGGGGCTGGCGGCGGCGCGGTCGATCGTACTTCGGATGAGGGTATTTATCGGACAGACGGGATGAAATTAATAATAAAGTTCTTAACGACGGAGGAGGGGGGTCAGCACAAAGAGCAGTCCTGGACAGCGCTAGTCGAGCCCTAACCCTATTTTCGAAAGGCAGCCCTGTACAGAGGTCTGCCACCGAAAGTCCTAACCCCGCCAAGACTCTTGCGCTTTCTAGATTCTTTGGAATTTTTAATCGCCCCACCTAAAGGTACTTTTGATACAATTGCGTCTGTGAGTTCTTCGGAATCGCACCTTAGCCCTAGCCAGGTTTCGGGGCTTAATACCCCTATCAAGCCAAAAGAAGTACCTAAAGTCCCATCCATGCGCTGTGAGAAGATATTTCTAGGCTTCCCCTCTACAGGGCCGCTTTCCGATAAGTAGGGTTAGGGCGCACTAGTGCGGGTGCATGGACTTTCAGGTTCAGACCTCTTTACAATACCGTAGAATTATTCGTGACCCCCTAAGCCCATTGTCTAGGCAACCTTTTAGGCGGGGCGTTATCCGGCAGCAGTCTTGGCGTCCAGGACCCTTTTAAATGCGCCGGAGGGGAAGGAATAGGCGGATTTTCGCCATCGTGTTTAACACCGAGCCACCATTCTCCATCACGCAACAAATGCTCAAAATACACATTCTTGTGAGAGAGTCAAATATCGTACGGAATTCTCATAGAGACTTTCAGCACCCGAAGTCCCCAGTTGTAAAGCTTGGACTTCGATTTTTAGATCCTCCATGTAGTGAAATGAGTCTTTGTACAACCGAAGAGTGGGGATGAACCGAATATACTCGGTAAAAAGAGCTTGGAATCCGTCATTGGGTATGCAGATCGCGAAGGAGATATCGCTGAAGGCATACGAGTAACCGTTGCGTAGTCGGTTAGGATCGACGTCGTAAGGTGTCTCGGTAATAGTCATCGAGTGTCGCGACGGCCCTAGGATTGGTGGATAGTAGTTCTTCGGAGACCTCCCTTTGGTCTCTGGTGTTGAGGCGCTATCGTCAGGGTTCTGCTGATTTAGCGTGTGAACCTGCCTTCTCCTCAACCACCGTTGAAGAGTCCTTTCGTCTTCTGTTTCATCGAGTTTTGCTGACATAGTAGCACGCAAAGCAAACCATATCTCATTAGCATCGCTGGTCTGCTTTAAGATCCTGCCGCCGCGAGGGTATGTCACATACTCCTCACTGATAATCGAAAAGGTCGAAGACATAGCACTTGTAGGCTAGAAACATCAGTCAGTCAGGGTAGAAGATAGAATTCTTTGTCCAGGCACTGACTCTAGGAATGTTCGTGTTTCTAGACTCTCACTTGTTCCCAAGTCTCGCGAAGTGCTTCTAGATCTGACGGGGGAGGTGACGTTGAGGAGTCAAAGTCGGGATGGCCGCCTGGCTTCAAGTAGCAGTCTACTTTACTCGAGTGGTGTAAAGATAGTTATTGATGTGATGGCGATTTGCTCTGCGAACAAGACGATCTCCAGGCTTCATCATGTCTAAATCTTTAAGCGTTTGATGGTGAAGTCATAACGCATTCTTGATTTCCCAGCTGCCGCTCCGAATCCCTGTAGAAGTGCTTCTACGGCCGGCCACGGACCTTCACATCATGAGAGATTGTGGGATGTATTTGTCTTCTTGCGTGATCCACTTTACCCTCAACCTGTGTCTCCGCAGATGATCTGAGTCTATACCATGAAGATTGTGTGCCGTTCGGAACAGGCGAACTTTTCTCAAGGTATAAGGCTTCTTTCTGATCCGTGTTCGACGCAAAAAGCGTAGCCATAGTGGTGATATAAAGCTGTATTGACTACAGGCAAATATTATTCTCATTTTTGTGTTTGTTTTCTATATATCGAAAGGTAATCTCCTAAAAACGGGCTGCCTGGGTCGCGATTGTTAAGGAGATAGATATTCGGTAGCGGAAGAACTTATGAACATGGCCATGAAGAAAAAAACAACAGAATTATGCCAGATACAGGAGTTTTTCTATGAAATCTAATGAATCTAATAGTACGCCGTTTTTAATTTCTCATGCTTGCTGACTCCTTCCTCATGATCCTTAGCGTTGGGTTGAAGAGGTGATGAGTCTCTTAGCCCACCAGACGAAGCAGTAGTAATCAGCTTTCTTCGTCTGGTGCCTGATCCAAAAAAGGTGTGCAGCAAACATGTAAAGAAAGCCCGTGATTCCCATGATTGAGTTTGAACGCCTGTATCACCGTCACACTGAATCACACAATGAAAGTCTCACCACGCTCCCCCTCCCCTCCTCCATTTCCTTTCCCGCCATCTCCTCAAAGCGCCCACGGTCTTCCAAGAGCCGCTGAAGAGCAGTGTGATGTAGCATGATTACCCCAATACATCTTGCGGACAGCCTGTGCGGGCTGCGTTGATTGAGTCAGTCCAATATCAATGAGGTCTCCCTCTTCCGTAACCGCCATTTCGTCAAATATGACTTTATGGGTGGTAAGATTTCGAGATCTCTGAGCTTTTTCGGCCACAGGAGCAAGAAGTTGAGAGCCCCTACTTTTTTTTTGCGCGGCGGAGAGTTTTCGTGTTGTGGAGTTGGGTTGCGTAGAGTTGACAGAGTCAGGGTCTTGCTGGGTGGTGGTAGTGTAAGATGCTTGTTCCTTGCTGCCCTTGTCTTCATGCTCTGGATTGTGGTGTAGGGTATTCTCAGTTGTCGTTTGAGCTTGAGAATGCTGTTTATCTGCCATTGCAGGTGTGGAGTTGGGTTGCGCAGAGCTGAGAGAGCCCGGGTCTTGCTGGGTGGTAGTATAAGATGCTTGTTCCTCGTTGCCCTGGTCTTCATGCTCTGGATTGTAGTGTGTGGTATTCTTAGTTGTCGTTTGAGCTTGAGAACGCTGTTTGTCTGCCATTGCAACATGAGACTGTAGGATCAGGGCTAGTTGGTCCCGGGACTCTGCAGAACCAGGGCACTTTGGTCTGTGTGTGTTTGTGTGACCTCTCATGTGCCGTTCGGATACATACGTCTTTGGGCAAAATGAACATTTATATTGTTTGGCTCGGCCGGGCAAGAATATAAAGAGAGGATGAAAGCCATCGTAATTTCCATAGAGGTCACCGGCGTTCGAAAAATGAAGCTGACAATCTGGATCTGGACAGGGTAAAGAGTGAGTGCTTGATAGTTCTGCAAGTTGAGAAGACTCTGCAAGTTGAGGAGACGAGCCGGCAGACATAATGGTTATCTTTCGAAGATAGATAGATTGGAGAAGTCTTGATGCTCTTTGGTTGAAGTTGAAAGGTTGGGAAGTGTTTGGTGGAAGATTCGAAGGATGAGGATGGTAAGTCGTACAGAAAATGAACTCTTGGTGCTCTTTGGTTGAGGTGTTGGCAAGTGTGCGGTAGAGGATTTGTAAGATGAGGATGCTAAGCCGTACAGAAGGGCAACTCTTGGTGCTCTTTGATTGAGGTGTTGGCAAGTGTTCGGTGGAAGATTTGTAGGATGAGAATGGTAATTCGTAGAGAATATGACTTCTTCTGGTGAGTCTGGTAGTCTGATCGCGATCATTTCTGTTTTTTGGGTGCATCTCTATTTCTTTGTCCCATGAGTCAGATGCAGAGCTCCGAGACAGCCATTGCCTGATCTGGCATAAGACATGCCCGGTGCTCTGGTCGTTACCCCAGTTCCTATACGAAATGTTTCCATGGAAGCTCCTTCAGGCTTTGTTCGGAAGTCGTAATTCCATTCTAGAACAGATTCTTGTCTTTGATTTCGACTTGCTCAACTATACTGATGGCCGACTGCATCGTGGCTTACCCTATTGTAACTTCCGAGAGACGCAACTGATTCTCTTTTGAATAATGCGGTGTATAGTGTGAGACTTAATGCTTGGGAACAATGGTATAAAAATAGCCACTTATCTATCACGGTCCACAGTGATGAACAACCTGCATTGTATAATGAGTACCCTTAGAATCTTGACCGGTGATACAGCCTACATGTTCATCATTATCCCCTTTGCTCTCTGCATTGTATTGTCTTCCTTACACTTATTGCATGTCAGAACTCGTAATGAAGTCTAACTTCAACTCGCATGAGCTCTCGCCTCAAGAGAGTCAGAACAGTACGTATTCATCAGGCACCTTTCCAAGTAGAGTACGTTAGTGACTTGTTACTCAGGAACAATACGCTAGGGGAACAAACCCCACAGATCATGGCCGCGCAGATCGTACTCGAAAGTCAAAATACGTCCGTTTCGAGGCAGCCATCGACCGAAGGCTCCAAGAGTTCGAAGCAGACCAGGAGACGTCACAAACAGCTATCAACAGGAATGGCAAGCGACCTCAACTTGGCTACGATCGAATCGCCAATGCTCGTCGTCGGCAATCCATACCTGACTACGAAGTCAAACAATCTAAGAAAACGCCTGGACGGTAAAAAGGGTTAGATTGGCTAGAGAGGCAGGGCAAGGCCAAATTCGAAGCGCAGTTCGCATCGATCCTTGCGCAGTGGGGGGTCAAAGATACGCATAAATGGACCTGTGTTCTTCTCCCAGAGGATTCGAAGTCGTTGGACCCTATACTTCTCAGCAATCTGTTCACTCCGGAGAGATGCCCACTTGCCGGCTCTGGACGCAACTCTTACAAGTACTCGGACCATGTTACAGGCTTTGCGCGAGCGGTTGCACGGTATCAAACGTGGCCACGGAGAGCAGCCGATCTTGACCAATTCCTTGGGTCTGCAGCTTACAATGATAAGGATACTTCCCATACCTGTCACCAGGAATTTTGTCTCATACACATCACTTATGAGGGAGCTGACATAAATCATGACCGAAAATTGTGCCGTGAGAGAGATAAATTCTTGCGCGCGGAAGGCCGACCGATTCCAGAAAACTGCACCAGGCATAATCCCCCCTGTTCAATACAGGTAAGCTAGCCCAACTCCATTATCTTCTAATACTTATTGCCATTAGCATGCCTCCCTGACGACACTTGAAGCATTCAACATTCAATTCTCGGTCTTACGTCAAGCAAGAGGTATACAATGAAGCGAACCTCTTGCAAGGCCACGCCGACATCCGTTTTCCTTCTTTGAATCTCAACTTCCTCTCTCCTCTGGCTTTACCGCAGTCACCTTAGGCTTAGATCACCTCCATCTCCATACTCCGTCACCAAGTGAGAACGGCAAACCCGACTTAATATGCGAGTTCTGCACCAGGATCAAGTCCTTTCCAACTATTGTTGGGTATCTTGCTCATCTGTTCCATAAACACGGAGATGTTGAGGAGGCGGGACGACCGCATGAACGGTGTCTGAAGGAGATAAAGCGTGTTAGCTTGCTTTGGCTCTTATACTGGCGTCGATGTCCAAACAGAAGTAAGTATGGCCAATCAACTCTTAAGAAGCAGGAACAGACTCGGGAGGAAGACTTTGATTGGGATGTTGCTGAGAGTTGGCAGCTTCGTCGTTGATTTGGCCTCACTCGATTGGGTATATCAGGCCTCAGTTAGAATCAGGCGTGCTTTGCAACTAGATTTTGAGCATTCGGACTTACTCACGTTTTTGATGTTTGCATCCTCATTTATCGCAGTAAGAGTGGTCCTCACCATATTATAATGACGATTGTGCGTATTTGGTCAGGTGAGCTTCCTTCTTTTAACAATCTCACTTTTTCAACGACTCTATATCACACACAAAGATCCGTCAACAAGTCGTGCTCTTTAAAAACTCCTAATAGCTGTCAATCGTGCCCAGTAACGAGCTAGAAGCCGAGTATTGTGGAACACATATCAACGTTGCGGGCAATGACTTGCCAGTGGATCGTGCTTCCCTCCGCCCATCCCCTCTCCGCCCCCCATCGAAAACACACGCCAAACTCTTTTTCCGAACTAATGAGACGACTGCTCGCTTCTTCACTCCTTTCCCACTCAAATTATCTTCCTTGTTCTGTCGTCTGACCCCTAGATCCTCCTAAATTAGAAATCGCGGAAGACGTTTCCGACGACTCTCATAGAGAACTGTCAGACGGCAGACAGCAAATACTCCTCCAGCTTTCCACGACTGCCTCCCTCAACGTCCAGTAGACGCCACACCGCCTCAATCCCATCCGCAATCGTAGACCCGACATCGCAACCCAGAAATGTTAACGCTACAGCTACATTTTCTTCTGTCACCTTATCCTTTACATCAAAGCTGCAAGTAGTCTGAAAAGCTGGATCAGAGCGCACATCGGCAGGAGATCGTATTTCCCAGATCTCGTTAATCTGCGAATCCGCCACCTCAGGAAGGCTGAGATGACGTTCAATCTTCTCGTCTTCAAGTTCCGCTGGAAAATTGAACTTTTCGCAATTCCAACACCAGGACTCGAACAAGATGTTGCATCTTTCCGCATCCCACGTCCTCCAATCAGGATATTCATCACCTTGCCAGTATCCCGTCGTCATCTCCTGGCCATGAATCTTATGGGCGATCGATGCAGTACATGGTGTACAATCGTATGGCCAGAGTTCGAGACCCACCCGGCCCCCTACCGCCCAGAGGTTTTCTCCCGGGTGGTCAGGGTCCGGTTCCCCTTTGATCTCCTGTGCCATACCGAGAAGCCTTCGCAGAGCTACTTGCATAAGGATATCGGCGTTGAGAATCCTATCGTTGTCCTTGTTGCACTGTCCTCGCAGTACAGATACGCGATAATTGAACCAAGCCTCGCAGTCGGCTTCTGTCCATTTCGCGGGATACGAGCGCTCCGAGAAGGGGAAAAATACGCCTTCCCTTAGCCAAAGCCGTTCTGGAATTCTCTGGTATCTGAACTGACTGGCTATACCTCGAAGTTGTTTGTCCCGATAATCAAGATTTTCCTTGGAAGGAGTCGACTGCTTTCTTCTTCTAATCCAGGTTTCCTCGCTGATCCTCAATTGCCGACTGTATTTTCTCGTCGCGAGAGGCTGCGCGGTCCGCATAGTTTCATGTAGCTCTACCATCTGTGACCGAGTAATCGTAGAGTTAAGGCGAGCTGTAAGATCTCTGCCACATTCATGGTGCGTGTCGACGAGGTTTCGGAAGCTGATGGCGACATATTTAAGTTCTGCTTTAGTCCACGCTTGGGAAGAGAGCTTGGTCAGAGGCAGCAGAATCTTTGGCCAGGCACCGCAGAAAAGATTGAACGCCCAATTAGTAATAGCAATATTCCCGGAAATTTGATAATCCGATAGTACCATCAGAACAGAAGGTTATGGGTCGAATATCGTCAATGCTAGCGACAAAAGGGTTACGGATTGTTCCATCCCAGCTAGTCATCTGGGATTCTAAGAGAGTATGATATCAGTATCATCTTGTTGGAGTGATGAAGTACTTGTCTACCTAATTTGTTTTGACAGGGTATAGCGCAATACTGGTCACGCCACTGGATTGTATCATCTTCAAGCTTATAGACCTGCGTCTGAAGCGTATTCCAGATTGTCGTTCCTAGAAGGTCAATATCTCTTTCGGGTTTTCCAATTTTTCTCAGCGCTTGATTTTCTTTCCGAAGTCTGTCCAACAGCCTTTCACACAAGGACCCTGGCCTCAGTCCTTTCTGGGCAGACAAACTATGCTCAGGTACAATTGAAAGTCCTTGTTTTAAGGCGGCTTCTCGATTGTCGCTAGTAAGTTCTCGATGTTAACGCTTCGTCGTTGTGATGTTAGATTTCTGACAGTTCGTGCCGTCTTTGTTACGGCCAGCACACACACTTGTATTTGGGAAAGGGCGAGTGAGAAGGCGATCTGAGAGCGATGCGCTTCTGGTGCTGTCCTCGCCGGAGTCACACATATCGACAGAGGAACTGATGCCTTCCTGACGGAGATTTAGCCCAAGAAAATTAAAAGCCTCTATTGGAGAGCAAATGCGTAGGTCGGAGTTTGAGGTCATACCCCGAACGCGTAAGAGTTCCTTGTAAGGATGGCTCAATTGCCACTTCAATGTAATGGTTTTAATCCTGCGAGTGATTATGAAGATGGCCGTAAGGGATATCTTGATTGAGTAGGAATGCTGCTCTGAAATGTTGAAGTGGCGAATTTCGTGAAGGAAGACATTACTTTCCTCATTTCTATTGCCTGACGAAGCCATCAACTTGTGTTGGGCATCTGAGTCTTACCTTACACTTGAAGCAGATGTTAGGGATTTGGCGTGATGCTAAGGTACGTTAACTATATTTTAGTCGTTGGGAACGAAAATTCCCGCAAGCCCCCCTCAAACCAAAAATTGAAATTTCTTGAATATCTTTACAACCACCAGTCTTTATATCTACATTTTTATAATCTTTTCTTATATTAAATAATTGATTCTAATTTTGAAATTTTAATTTAGATATGTAAGATTATATAAATTAAGATTCGCTTGCGTTGAAAGTTTTATTCTATAATGCCACTTATCAAAAAAATTTAAGAATTTTGATTTTTTTTCGCTCATGTAGATAATTAGAATATTCTAAAATATTGAAAATTATATTTTATTAATCTTCTAATAGTTATAAAGTTTTTAGAAAATTATGATTTATCGTTGTAAAATTATTAGAAGTTTAATTTTCAATTTGGGGTGCTTGGGGAACTTTTGGTTTCCAATGATTAAGCACCCGTTTACCCCATGCGTCGATCGCCCCAAAATAGATCTTCACAGGTGAGACTTGCAATTTACTCTACTCATACCAGACTTTTGGACTGCCCTGCCAAAACATGGGTCGTTACAGTAAGGATATCAATGCGTCACCGTTCTGGTACCCGCTTGGCCTCTTTCATCCGTTACTCGGAGGTTCCCCGCTGCTTCATTTCACATCAATGGTGATCAGTTAAGAACCTGGCTAAGAGCATCCTGACGCTAATTGATGGCGGACGACGAAGGAAGAGTGCTACCCACGACGCCCGAAAACATAGCAATGCTACAAGCAGAAGTCGCAGCTAAGAGACAGCGGAGAGCAGATCGGGCTGCGAGACGACTAGCAAGGGCTCAAAGTAGGCCGCTGGAGTCACAGGCTACGGTATGACTTCATGTCAGCATGTGACTTCCACCAGCATAATGACAGAGAGGATATTAAATACAAACTTACTGCTCTATATAGGAAGACATAGGGAGTGCCTGTCAATGGAGAAGCCGACGCAAACTATGTTGCGTCTTTACAGAATACATCCCAAGCACCAAGCGGCCTGGCTATTGATCCCAGCCACGACAATACGCGCCAACGCATTGTCACCGCCTTCCGAGCCTCATCCATTGGATCCATCGAAATTTGTCTCCTCAATCCGCTTCCTTCATAGCGAGCCCTCCAACCAACGAAGCTCTCCCTCCCCAATCCGCTTCCTTTTCCGCAGCACACTCTGCATCCATTCATACGGTGAATACTCAGCGGCGCGGTCCAGTCGCTATACTACCCAACGCGTTAGGAGAAGGTCTTTACGATGAGAGGAGGTTCACCAGTCCATACAGATTCACGGAATCTACATCTTTTACTGGAGACGATGTCGCAGAGACTGTCGCTACAGGTTCTGCAGACCAAGAACATCAGAACCTCGAAACGTGGCGCTCTATGCCTTCATTGCCGTCCAAGGATGAAGCAGGATCTACAGACAGTGCCGCAAAAGACGACTCCGAGATGGAAAGCGATGGAGAACACTTGACGACCGAAATTCAACGTGTTTTCATGACTCTCAGGGCTTGGACTAGTTGCCTTGCAATTAGGGACACCCTCTCGAACCTCTCAGAGTCAATCTTCTGGATGTGGACCCAAATTATCTTGTGGATCCTTGCATCTTTCCCTTACATTTCTCGACGCGTTCTCAACAAAACTACACTCCTTGGGATATTGGCTGTTCTTGTTGGTCTTGTCGGCCTAGCGGTTTACGGATGGGTCGCTTCTGTCCATGCAAGTGTTTACGGATGGGCCGGTTCTGTTCTGCACATAGGTCCATGTTCAATTTGCAAGGCATCCAGGGAAAACTTCTTTCGAACAGCCTGCTACCCAAAAGACATCACCGCTGATGTCATGAACACGTTCAACGAAACTTACGCCAATTTCGATACAGCTATGGCTACCAGAAATCTTATTTCCACCGCTCCAATAGACCTTCGCTGCAGCCGCAGCTCCCTTCACGGTGACCTCTTGCGTCTCCGAGCCCTCAATGCTACTCTTAATATTCCTAGTGCCAACTTCGCTTCTATCGATAGCCAAACCGTCAATGTGCTCGAACTGAGCAAAGCAATATCGGACGTACTGTTCCGCTGTCTCTCAAGACTTGCATCGACAGTGGCAGTAGTGGACTACCAGACCAATGTTACGATAGCGGAAATTGCAGCCTTCCGAGCAGGGAAGACGTCTCCGTACATCTCTATCCCTGGAAAACGGCCTCGCCGAGTAGATGCTCAACATGCTCTGTCTATCAGATTTGAAGGGCACGTTCTCTCCTGGCAAAAATTCATGGAGCCTCTTTTAGCCGTTGATAAGGCCCTTCTCGATACAATCGGGCAAGTATAGATCCTATCGAAGCCTTGAGCGTGTCTCTGGAAACCGCTAGTAACGCAATATACGATTCACGAGTCCACGTCAATTCCGAATGGGGATTACTAAAACGATCTCTCTATTGGCTCACCGGCAAAGAGCCTCCAGAGACAAAAGCCTCACTGCAAACGCTTTCAGTGACTGAGGAAATGAAAGGTCCACTGCATCATCTATCGACTTGGTTTGGGCCAATGTGGCCAATAATTTAAGCGTCAATTTGGGGCTGGAGGAGATTTTGAGAGCAATCGAAGGGGGAGGTATGTTGGCATTGGGGGAGGGGTGCGGGCATGGACTTATTGAACGAGATGCTAGTGGTATTCAATGAGGCGAGTGCAAGGATGGTCGAGGGGAGACGAGGGCTCGAGGCGACGAAGATGAGAAGAAATTCCAGAGAGGGATAAGATAGATTGTATTGTACTAGGCGGATAGACTCAATCGTCTCAATAATATCTAATACAAACGATTCGACAAGTGAAATGTCTACATGGCCGCTCTCTGTTTGGACAGCAACAACAATGCTTGTGACTTGCTAGTGAGAATGATTGTGAGAATGCTTCTATGTCTGTTTCCCAGACCGCAATCTCACTACCAAAAGCTTGGCGGTCAGGTTGGAGGCTACCTACTGCCATCTTTGAGTTTGACCCACTGTCAAAAGGAGACCTGCGCACCCAGTGAAGCATGGACATCTTTTAACATACCATACCTTCACTCTTCGGCGCTTGACGTTCTATTGTGCGCAAATGCTTTGGATCGTTTGTTAATTGTTTGCGCGTATACCCCCTCTTTGTTTTTTGTTACCTGGTCTCGATTCTGGCCCGCCTCCTCATCGCCTACATGTCACCACCTCCACGTGCAGGAATCTAGATATCTCGGTCTCTATTTCTCAGGGGACACAGGATAATATACCCATATTATGAATGGCCACTTAGGCCCGCTTTCGCCAAACTCAACACACGGCAGCGAAGTTTCACAATATCAGTACTCCGGCCCGCCTCCGTACTCTCCAACCCTTCCCCACAACCGCGGCAACCTTGTCACTCCTCCTATCTCAGGCTCATCAAATGGTGGTCAGCGACGGATCTCGAATGGGATGAACCACAGACCGGGCGACCCATCCCCACCACATTCAATAGCACGCTCCAGCTATGGAACTACAATTTCCATCTCCGAGGGTCAGAGAAGGAGGACATTAGTCATGGAGGAAAGATTATCGCAACACTACACAATCCTCAAGAGGTTCCTCGCTCAATCTCTGCGCGATGAGAAGGGCAATCCAAGACCAAATAGAGCGAGGGACAAGCTGTTGCGATTATCACCAGTCCAATTCCAAGAGTTGAGTACAGACGTTTATGACGAGCTGCTGCGAAGGCAAAGCTCTACAGGACAGCAAACCAATGGACCAGGCCAGGTGCCTCCTTACTTGCTCCCGAAGGACAACTTCCATCCAAAACGAAATCAGGCCCGTCAAAAACTTGCTACTTTACCTCCACCAAGGTTTCAGGACCTGGCGACAGACGTCTTCTACGAGCTCGAAAGAAGGTTTCCAATGTTCGCTGGGAATAGTGTCAGCCGCATTGGCAGTCCAGCTATGAGTACGAGAGGCCCACCAAGTCGAGTGGGCTCGCCCAACGGTGTGAGACCGAATTATGGTCAAAGAAATGCATCATTGGGAAGTCAGGTCATGGCCGGTTTGGGCATACCCGGTGCGGAAGGGTCCAGTGACAATCAGGGGAGGCCAATGGCGAAGACATCTCAAAGTAATACTATAATACCGAATAAGAGCACGATGGTGGAGGACGACGATGAGGAAGGGAGTGATATCTATGGAAGCCGGAGAGATACCACATTCACATCTCGGAGCATGGGTGGATCGGACAAGGACCGTAAAGCCATTGCGGAGTTTGAGACCCAGGTCGAGGAGCTACAGGTGAAAGTCAAAGGGTTAGAGGAACACGTGCGCGAAAAAGACTCGGAAATGGACAAGATGCATGAGTCTCGAAGCGAGGAGCAAAGCGTAAGTCTCGAAGATCCATCTCCGAAGTTGAGCGCCTAACACTTTCAATCAGGCCAATGATACAGAAAGAGAGAAATGGGTGACCTTGCAATCCGACCTTGAGGACAAGCTGACTGAAGCTCGCAATCTCAACAATAACTTACAGTCAGAGCTTGATAAAGTCAGAAATAAACAAGCCAACACTGAGCGCGAGTTACGATCCCAGGTGGACACTCTGACAACACAAGCCAGCGTGGGTAAGAGCGAATGGAAGGCTCGTTACGACAATCTTGACAGAGTCCACCAAGAATCGCGGTCAGCACTTTTGCGGCAAGACAAGGTCACGACCGAAGTGAAGCAAGAGGCAGCTAGTTTCCTCAATCAAATGAGAGCACTCTCTGAGCGAAGTAATGAATCCCAGGAACGAGAAGAGAATCTGGTTCGTCAGGTTCACAAGCTTGAAAAAGAGGTTCAGGAATGGAAAAGTCGATATACTCGGAAGAGAACGCAAGCACGGACCTTACGCGCTTCCGCGATGAATATATCGTTACAGCAGTCAGACGCTGGTCAAGTAGCTAAGGACAGAGACTTTACAGCGCAAGATGGGCTTGTCAAAGACATACATGTTACCAGGTTCCAGATCGCTGTTGACGAACTGTTGCAAAGCGCGAGAGAAGATGAGCCGAATGCTGTTATAACCCGTGTCAAACCTGTGGTCGTTGCGGTTAGGGATATCACAATAAACTTGGGTGATACACAATCTAGCCAAGACGGAGCGATGCAGCAAAGACACAAACTCAGGGTCAAAGTGTCCGCCACAGCTAACAACCTCGTTACAGCCTCTAAGAATTTTGCAACCTCGAAAGGCCTCTCACCAGTGTCTCTCCTTGACGCAGCGGCCTCTCACCTCGCGTCCTCCATAGTCGAGCTCATCCGCCTTGTCAAAATACGGCCTACCCCTACGCAAGAGCTGGAAGAACAGGAAGAAAACGATGTCATCGCCGACTCTCCAGCGGACTACTATGGCATGTCCCGGGTAAGAGAGAGCACTGGTGCAGACTCGGTCTACAGCACCGTAACCGACCCTCGACGCTCAGTCCAGCCTGCGTTTCAAGGTAAATCGGCAAAATTCGCCCAAAATGGCTTCCCCAATGGCGGGCAATATGGTACTAGCTCCAAGCCTACGCACGGCATCTACAAGTCTCCGGACAACAAAATGGAAGAGCTCAGGGTAAGTTTTCCTTTTTCTTCCCCCCGCCGCCCTTTGAAGTATGGCTAACAATTCCAATCAGATTTTCCTTGAATCCCGCACTGATCACCTTATTCCCTCGATCCAAGCGCTCGTCTCCTCTATCCGGACGTCTGCTGAGGCTCCAGACATTCTCGACCATCTCGCAGCGATTGTATCCACTACCTCTCAAATCATTGCCAAAACGCACGACGCCTCGCCCAGCGAGCAGTCGGTGCAAAAACTCGTGCTCAGCTTATCAGAATGTGTTGACAGACTCGAGGATAAGGGCAGGGAAGGTGAGGGCATTGATGACGATAGGGATTGGGGCATCTTTGTGAAAGGTCTGCCGCCGCTGGCGTTCGAGATTGCAAGGAGTGCGAAAGAGTTACGAACGTGGGTTGAAGGGAAAGGAGACAAGGAGTGAGGAGGATCGGGCTGATCCAATGTACAGTATTTAATCACTGGTGTGCTGATGGGTTTGGATCTGCATGACACGGCGTCTTGGGATGGAAAGGCCTGAACATGCCTGACACCAAGTCTGATGTGGCATATATTTTGGTTCTTACGGTTTATACAGGATTTAATCGAACACCAATCCTTCTGTCCGTGGAGGATACGCTTCATTCGTTGCCAAGGCTTGCCAAATATTCAATCCCAAGTAATCGATTGCGCATACCTATGATTCGTCAAGTGAATAAAGAAATAAAGAAGGACCAGCCATCATACTCAAGAAACGTGTCCTTGAGAGCAGGATTTCGACGCATTGTTGCCGTCTGAATCAATAGCGCTCCCTCGAATTAAATATTCCAAACTGAGTAGCCCTTTACATTCATTACCGAGTCAGACATCGAAGACACGCTATGTTCAAACCTCGGGCCACCTACCGTCGACACAGCTTCCATCCAGCTCGACAGAAAAATCACACCCCGTACCGTCGCAGCTAGCATTGCGAGTAGCTCACTGCTCACTTCAACCAGACACGACATGAGTGTGACGGTAACATCCAACTTTGACACTATAAAAGCCCCAGCCAACGTGTCCTTTCCCTTTTCCTCTTTTCCATCTGAGATCCGCCATACCTCCGTACGGTCTACGTACATCTCTTACTGACCCCAGGCGCCAACAAGACTATCACGTCCGACCTAATGCGCAGCCACCGTGATGAGTATGCCCTTTCAGAGTGGCTCTACGTGGTCGGATCTGACGATGGTCCTCCTCGTCAGGATCCCAATGATGCCAGTGTCCACAGGGTCAATATGGGTAGTGGCCTTCCCTTTTTGCAAAAGTGCCAGCAAATGCATAGGGAAACGACAGCGGTGTTGTATGGCAATCGCGTGTTCCGATTTGACGACACGCAATATCGCTAGGGACGTCGTGATGTGGTTTTTCCAAAGCGTACTGGTACTGTATGGAAGAGAATTCCAGGGGACCTTCTTGGGGCCACTACCTTCATTTTCCATACTGCGACTACGTGCCTATGCATCTCCGGCTTGATCGCATTGAGGAAAAGAATCGATTCGAGATCAGGCATCTCTAGCTCACTTTCTCTCGCAAACGATTCATCGAGTATTTGAGTAATAATGTTGGCGAGATATACCGGAGCCAGAGTCTGGCTGTCTTGTAGGCAATGCTCTGGAGACTCTGTTGGAGAGATAAGACCTCCGAACCGTGATATCACGCCCACAGAAACACAAGCAATCCGTGGGCTGGAAGCAATGGAGGAGAAGACGAAACATAAAGCGAAACTTTCTAGTGCCGAGACTTGCTTGAAATCGATATGAGGAGACGATTGTCCATGATTCAAGGCACTCAGGAGCTGAAGTATACGATCCTCTCAAGAGAACTTGAGCTCGACGGGGCAATGGAGTCTCCAAACACGACAGGGAACAGGTGCGCGCTGAGCTCAACGAAGTCAGAAGATATGCAGTCCGGTTATCTGACACGTACCCAGTTTATTACCTCTGACTCTAGGTCGAAAGCTGCGACTGACGAGGTAGACACAACACTGTACGGTGCGAGTCAATTGACTGGTGATCTCTGTACGCTCGGACTGCTTTAAAGCAGCTGGGGTCATTCGCCGACGTCCGGCCATCTAGCAAAGTCGAAAAGACGTATTTGTCCATGGCACGAACTCTGAACAGGTCTATCACATTGGACCCGCAAAGCCCGCGGCTTTAAGTGCTCCTCGAGAGCCATTGGCTAGATCGACAAAGCAGTGCAAGGGACTGGTGGAAGGTTGGGGGTTGCATGGATGCTCGCTTTGCTTGATGACCGCTTCCACTATCGAAGTTGCAGAATTGGGAGAAAGCATTCAGATGGGAGGCAAGATGCAAGAAAGCCGAGCAGAAGCGCTTTTGGAGGGTAGAATTGAGAATCTTAGCGAGCTGCATGTAGACAAAGACAGATGGAGACTTTCTACTTCACTTCATGGATTGTTCTATTATTCGTACTTCATCACCATCAAGGATCGTGCACATGAGTCTATGCTCGAATCTTCAGCAAGCAAACAATCCAAAGACGAATTTGCGTAGGTATGTTTGTTTCCTCGACAAAATGCTAGAGTAGAAGTCCCCGTAGCTGCTTTCGCCCTCCCCTCGCACCACCACAGCGATGCTTGGAGAGTTTCTACCGGAGTCTTTTGTAAACCAATGCCGATTCCGTGGTTGTGATTGTCGTCTCTGCTCTGCTCTGCTCTCGTCTTTTGCACGTTTGGGTGGTGGTGAGGGAAAAGTGAAAGTGCGATGTCGATGGACCTCGGCGTGTTCCAACAAGCTATTCTCGAAGCGAGCTAGAAGGAAGCAAGTCCACTTCCTTCCTCTTTTTCCACCAATCATCACAAAGCGACTTATCAAGTTGGTATTGGTCAAGGTAAAATTCGCCTATCTCTCCAGTCTCCAGACACCAGTCAGCGCCGGCGACGTCCGTTCCATGATTCCATCGTATCTAACTTACCTCGCTTACCGCTATATCAATCAAGCCCTTACTCGACTAAGTACTCATGTATCTCGCCACTTATGTTAGTATCCCGTCTACCGTAGAGTAACACGACCGGGCGAGGGCCGGGTCTAGATGATACTCTCTCGCCAGCGCCCGGCAAATCAGACTGCCAGCCATACAGACATCTGATCATCATAGGTCTTAATTTCTTACGCAGCGCTTTCCCGTGTCGAAATCGGATCTACTCATGCCTTGCCACACACATGGTCAATCACAAGTGTGGCATCGCTGGGACAGCTTCGATGCTTATCAGCGAGCTTCCCCCCAACGCTGGGCGTATCCTGTGCTTTTAAAATCCGTCGGCCACCTCCACTCTCTCCGCGAGTGTGCATGTACAAGTGCTGACCTCTCTTTAAGCCTCTTATTCTCTCATTCTCTCATTCTCCCTTGAGATTCTTACAGAGATCTCTCCTAATTTCTCTCCTACGCACTGAGCATAATTCTCCTAACCTCATCGCTGTCTATCCCCGCATTTGAGGTCACCCCACCCTCACGCGACCCAGCAGACCTGCTCATGCTCTGCATCTCCCTGCGATAATGGACGACAAAAACGACTATCACGTGGGCAGCTACTCCCCGAATGGCACAGATGCAGAGAAAGGACCTCCGATCTATACTTCCGAGGCTCCTGCCGTACCCACAGAGATCTTCCTCACTGGCGATTCGGCGTACGCCAAGATCCAGCGAGCAGTCTTCCAATTCGGTGTTGAGCCGCGAGGAATTGAAAGAGTACCGGAAGATGAGAGGACGGATACGAATTTGATGAAGGTTGGGACAATGGTGGGCATTCCCAACAAGTGGGCAATGTGAGCGCTGGAGGTGCTGATATGGCTTGACAGTGGTTCTCTGCGAATATGGTGGTCTCATCCTTTGCTATTGGCGCATTGGCTATTCCAGTCTTTAGTCTTGGTTTCGTGGACTCCCTCCTCACCATCTTCTTCATCAATTGTCTCGCCATTACTCCCGTTGCCTTTTTCTCCACATTTGGCCCCCGCTTTGGTCTGCGCCAGATGGTGCTCTCTCGCTACTTCTTCGGTTTTCACGGCGTCAAAGTTAGTAAGTGGCTACGTGCTTCCCCTAGCAATGAAGCATTTTCTCTATCCCCGAATCCCTTTTCCTCTCCACAGGAGCCCAATAACTAACGCCGCTCCACAGTTGCATGCTTCAACGTCCTCGCCTGTGTGGGCTGGTCCGCCGTGAATGTCATAGTCGGCGCCCAGTTAATCAACGCCGTCAACACCAACGTCCCTGGCTACGCTGGCATCATCATAATCGCGGCGGCGACGTGGATTGTCACCGTCTTCGGCTACAAAGTTGTGCATGTCTACGAGTTCTGGTCGTGGATCCCTAGTCTGATCATCTTCCTCATCGTACTCGGCGAGTTCGCGCACAGTGGGAAATTCAGAAATCTGCCAATGAACAGCGGTAGCACGGAAGCGGGTTCGGTTCTATCATTTGCGGCATCTGTATTCGGCTTCGGAACCGGCTGGACGAGTTATGCAGCCGATTACACCGTGTATCAACCCGTATCAGTCTCACGAGTCAAAACTTTCGCCTGGACATGGGGCGGTCTCATCTTGCCCCTCTGTTTCACCGAAATGCTTGGTCTAGCTGTTGCAACAGCGACCCTCGACCCAGTCGACACCAGCTACGCAGACGGCTACAATCAATCCGGCATCGGCGGACTCCTGGCAGCCGTGCTTTTCCCACCCCTTGGCCGCTTCGGCCAATTTTGTCTTGTCATCTTAGCTCTCAGCATTATCGCGAACAATTGCCCCAATATCTACAGCGTGACCTTCAGTCTGCAACTGCTGGGTCGCTGGACGCAGGCCGTACCGCGTTTTATCTGGACATTCGTCGGCACCCTCGTATACTGCGCTATCGCTATCCCAGGCTACAGCCACTTCGCGCAGGTTCTTGAGGACTTCATGCTGTTGATCGTAAGCCCTCCACCTCCATCCATCACCCCACGCCTCTTTCTCCGTTGCAAATAGACATCTAACACATCACGCAACAGGGCTACTGGCTGGCAATCTACGAAGGCATCTCCCTAACCGAGCACTTCATCTTCAAGCAGCGCAAATACGATATCACCATATGGAACAATCCGGGCCTGCTCCCGCCCGGTATCGCCGCGGTGTTCGCTTTCTGCTTCGGAATCTTCGGCGCCGTGATGGGTATGTCGCAGGCGTGGTTCATCGGTCCCATAGGCAAGAGGATCGGGGACCCGAAGTATGGGGGTGATGTGGGCTTCGAGCTGGCCTTTGCGTTTAGCGCCGTCAGTTTTGCGGTGTTTAGGAGTTTGGAAAAGAAGCAGTTCGGGCGGTAGAGTTGAAACGATTAGGATGGGTGGGACGCTCGTGTGGATTGGTAAGATAGGTTGTTTGGCTTGCGACATGTAAGTGTATGGGGGAATGAGGCATATACCCTCTGTAACTCCAAAAAAAAATTGCAAAAGGAAGATGCACCTTTGCATGTGAAAACTCCGTCTCCGCTCACACCTGCTATGGGGTATCTACCATCTTTTCCATCCAACGAACGCCTCGCTCACAGACAATAAAAAAACCAAAAGCAAACCAAAGCAAAGCAAAGCAGATCCACACAATCATCCCTCCAATCCTTTCACCAATCCCACCCCATCAACCTTCTTCCCCTCCCCAACACCCAGCACCAGCACCAGCACCAGCGCCATCCAATCCCAACCCCCTCCTCCTCCCCCGATAAAACTTATCCAAACACTCCCTCCTCTGCGCCTGCGTCCACCCCTCCACCACCAACGCAAACTCCACCGCGTCGGCAAACCCAAACGTCGTCGCCATGGTGCACAGCTGCCTCTTCATGACCTCCCGCGGCGGATGGTACCGCCACTCGACCTCCCCGTCCGCAGGCCCGGAAGCGTCGACGTCGTCGTCGTCGTCGCCGTCGGTGGCCGGGTGGTGTCGGCGACGTTTGGCGCGCCGTTGGGATTGCGAGCTGGCGAAGATTTTCCGATCGCCCATGTCGACGTCGTTGCCGGCCTCCTGGGCGCGGCGGGACAGGGAGGCTTCGACTTTGGAGGAGCCGACGACTTCGGAGTTCTCGTGGCTGTATTCGACGCCGGCGTTGGCGAGGATGGCTTGGACGGGGTCGCTCTTCTTGGCCCCGCCGGGGACCTTCCTCCGTTTCGCCTTGCCGGCCGCTTCTTCCGCCTCGTCGACAACGAGGGCCGCGAGTTGGGACATGGCTTTGTTCTCATTGTCCGGTTCGTCTTTATCGGTGGGTAAGAGAGGGTCGTCGCCCGCTTCTTTATCGTTTGGGTTATCGAGATCAACGCTGATGATCGTAACGCCGGCTTTTGATTCCGCTACGTTGGTCTTGTTGATGACGTCTCTCAGAACGAGGTTTTCGTTGTTGAAGGAGAAGAGGTTTGCAAGCCCGAAGATTTCGCCTTTTTGGTCTTTGTTTTCCTGCACGCCTTTGAAGTAGCGGCGCTCGGTGCTGGCGGTGTAGCCGATGTTTGCTTGTTGCTGTTTATAGATCTGTCTAGCGTAGACGATTTCTTCAATCGTGCCGGCGCTGACGAGACGGAAGACTTCGACGTCGCGGACTTGGCCGATGCGGTAGGCACGGTCTTGGGCTTGAAGATCGTATGCGGGGTTCCAGTTTGGGTCTACGACCACGACTTTGTTTGCGGAGGTGATGTTGAGGCCGACGCCGCCTGCTTTCGTGGAGATGAGGAATGCGAATTGGCCGGGATCACTGTTGAAGTCGTCGACGGTCTTTGCGCGATCTTCGTATTTCATGGCGCCGTCGAGGTAGGAGACGTTATAAGTGGTGTGTTGGAAGAGCATTCGCAGCATCTTCAGCAGACGCACGCTGTGGCTGAAGACCAGTACTTTGTCGCCGTTGCCGTGCCAGAAGCGCAGAAGTTTTTTGAGGATTTTCCATTTACCGCAGAATTCGGGATTGGAGTAGTTGAGGATGGAATCGGGGTTGCGGTAGAGCTTGCGCCACTGGTCGGGGACGGCGACCTGGAGCATTTCCAGATCTTTGTCTCGTTTTTCTTTTGGATCGTCGGACTGCGGGATGAGAATTGCGAGGTGGTTAGAAAGCTTTTGGAGATGGGCGATGGCTGGGAAAACGTAGGATTGCCATTTTCCACCGTCAGGGAGGAATTGCTGGCAGCACCAGCCTTGTTTCTTGCCGGAGCCGCAGTTGCAGTCGAGAGTGGATTCCTTGACATAGCGGACGACGTCGCTGTCGATGCACCTTTCGTAGGCGTCGGCCTGGGTTTCTGTGAGGGGACAGAAAACGACTCGATCGCTTTTCTTGGGGAGTTGGTCTGCTATCAATGTCTTCATTCGACGTAAGAAGAATTGAGGCAGCAGATTTTCAACTAGAGCTTTGGCAGTTTTGCGAGCTTTGCTCAGCTGATGGACTGTTGCGTCATGGGACTGACCCATCTTGAGTGGTATACTGATGCTCTGCTTCCACGTTGATATCGGTCCGAATTTGCCTGGATTCGTCCAGTTTAGCAGCGTCCACAACTCATCGTACGAGTTCTGAATAGCAGTTCCTGTAAGCCCGATCCTGCACAAAGCATTGATCTCATTCATAGACTGCGTAGTCTCCGAACTCCTTCCCTTGAGCTGATGGCACTCATCCGCAATAACGACATCCCACTCGACCATATTGATCGCGCTCTTGTTCATCCTGTAGGTCGTATAAGTCGTAATCATGATCTCCAGCCTCCCCTTCGCCGCAGCCTCCAGGGCCGCCTCTTTCGTATCTCCATGGTAGACATCCACATGCCACCAACCCCACCTCTTCAACTCGTCCTTCCAGTTCTCAATCAACGTTCCCGGACACACCACTAGAGCTTTCGGATACCACGGCGCGTCCGCCCTCCTCATCTTCCGCATGCGCTTCGCATCCCTCTCATCCGCCGTCTTCCCAAACGCAGCGGTCAGAAACGCAATCACTTGCACCGTCTTCCCAAGACCCATATCATCTCCCAGTATCCCACCCGTCTGATACACAAACAGCGCATGCAAGAACGCTGTCCCCTCCACCTGGTAATCTCGTAGCCACTGTGCGATAGGCGCCGGTATCAGGCCCAACGACTTCGGCAGCTGCTTGTCCTTGTACGGAGCCGCTGGCGTCCCTCGAGGGAAGTCAGGCCTCTCAGCCAATTCTTCCAGCCTCTCGTCGTCTGAGAAGTCAACGTCATCGTACTTCGGGGGTAATTTCAACCCTGCTGCTTGCAGTTTCTCAGTTCTCCTATCGAACCTAGCTCTCCTAGTTTGCAGGTAGTCTGGCAAGGTGTATTCCATCAACTGATCATCGTCGGTTTCGTCACCCCACTGCTTCTCCTTCCCATTGACTTTGCCATCCTTGGTGATCCTCCTCTGTTTCTTGCCGACCAGGTCTTTCTCTTTCTCGACAGCTTTGGCCCTTCGAGTACTAGCAGCTGCTGCCTTGCGCTTGACCGATTTGCGGGCCTTGAATGTCTTGTACGCGTCCGAGTCGTCGTCTTCGGACCAGTCAACCTTCTCACCATCATGGAGCGCATCTCGCATGCGCGTGGGAGCGGCGTGATCATGGATTCCGGCCGCTGAGGATTCGTCTGAGGTCTGGGTGCCTACAACTCCTGGGGCCAGAGGGTGTCATTTCACAGCTGAAGAATATGGGTGGGGGGATAGAGGCGCACTTTTGATGAAGTCTTCATGACCAAGATCTTTTCGCACGGACTGTGTGATGTCAAGGTCGTCATCGCTGTCGGTTGCGGCTCTCATATCATCCACGTCGTCCATAGCTGGTGGTGTAGATTGTGTAGAGCGACGCGGGGTGAGGTTCGCGTCACAAAACTCCGCAACAGCTCCGCAAGTTCAACACTTTAGGGCGCCAATGATTTTTCGTAGTTGAATCCCACTCTTTCCTCAGCTTCACGACCACCTTCTCTCCACGGATATCGTCCCCCGTCTCCTCCTACGCACACTTTTCCGCAATGCCCCTCGACACCTCAACCTACCACCTCGCGCTCCTCCGGCTCGATGGCCGGCGCTGGAACGAACTGCGCAGGCTGCACGCCCAGATCTCGACCCAAGCCTCCGCCGACGGCAGCTCCTATCTGGAAATGGGCAACACGAAAGTCATATGCACGATAGCCGGCCCTGCAGAAGTACGCGGAGCAGCAAGGCGAGAGGGTGCGGAGAGAGACAATGCGGTGGTCACGGTGGAGATTGGCATAGCGGGGTTTAGTGGGGTCGATAGGAGGGGAGGAGGAGGAGGAGGAGGAAAGGGGAGGGGCGATAAGTGTGTTCGTCCGTGTTGACCTGGCCATAGGGGCAAGGGAGGGAGTAGGAGACCGAGGTGAGGGCTGACTGTGACAGGCGAACGACGGAGATGCAGAATACAATTGCTTCAGCGTTCCAGAGCACTCTCTTCACACATCTATATCCTCACTCCACCATAACAATCAGTCTCCACATCCTTTCGCAAGACGGCTCCCTCCTCGCTGCCTGTCTCAACGCTGCAACTCTCGCCCTAATCGACGCAGGGGTTCCAATGAGTGATTACATCGTTGCCTGCACGTCTGGCCTCACACCCCCCAAATCAGGAACTGAGAGCGCGGACCCGCTGCTGGATCTAAATGGCATGGAAGAGCAAGAGTTACCGTGGCTGACGGTGGGGACGTTAGGAGCTGGCGAGAGGGTTAGCGTACTAGTGTTGGAGAGTAGAGTGCAGGTGGGACGGTTGGAGGGGATGCTAGCGGTTGGGGTGGATGGGTGTAAGCAAGTTAGGGAAATCTTGGATGGGGTGGTCAGGAGGCAGGGAAAGAGGGTTTTAGAAAGTGTGATTAGCTGACACCAAAAGTATAGCAGAAGAACTTGTAAATCAAGGCAAGTGTGCACTGATGCATGAGTGGTGTAGATGCTTTTATTGCCTGATATTAGAGCTCGCTTTTGTCTGCAGTAATTCCACCTCGGTTCCGAAGCAGATTATGTCGATTCTTTCAAGCCTTGATAACATTGCCAAAACCCGCCTCAACTATGCTTTTCCATGTCTTTACTGTTGACCAGCCTTTGTGATGACAGGGTCCTTGGTGTATTGGATCTTGCCGGACGTGCTGCCAGTAGACTCGATGGCCTTGACAATCTTCATTGATTCCGAATCCGCGACTTCGCCGAAGACGACGTGCTTGTTGTCCAACCAGCTGGTGACAACGGTGGTGATGAAAAATTGAGATCCGTTGCTATTCGAAGCGGGGAAGTCAGCAACTGCCAAATGGCATGGAAACTAGATTGAGAGCTCACGTGTTGGGACCAGCGTTCGCCATCGACAAGAGACCAGGAGTGGTGTGCTTCTTAGTGAAGTTCTCATCCGTGAACTTCTCGCCGTAGATAGACTTGCCACCAGTGCCCTGGGTGGATAAGTCAGCTGTCTTCATATTCCTGTAGGATACCAGCGATGTAGAGACTCACATTGCCACGGGTGAAGTCGCCGCCTTGAAGCATGAACTGGGGGATGACACGGTGGAACTTGGAGCCACTGTAGCCAAAGCCCTTCTCGCCAGTGCAAAGGGCACGGAAGTTCTCCGCGGTCTTGGGGGTGACATCGTCGTAGAGGTTGAAATTGATACGGCCAGTTTGATCTGTGATGGAGTTAGACATAGATCTGATGCAGTGATGCCAGCAGGATTGAAGGATTTGATTCAATGGCAAAAGGCGGGGCAGCAGTGTTGTCTCACCTTTGATTTCCTTCGTTGGACGTGAGTTGGAATCAAGGACAGGTCCCTGCCAGGAGACATCGAAGAAGACTTTGACCGTCATGTTTGCTGGTGATGTAGAGAAGGTCCTATGTGATGGTCTGATGTGGTGGAAAGGTTGTTTGAGAGTTGTTCGTGTGAGGGATCGAGGGGTGTTAGAAAACCACGAAGATAGTGGGGTTGAAATCCTTAGCGCCATTTGGTGGGGCAACTGGTTACGCAGAATTTGTGAGTTGTGAGTTGTGACCCCAAGGGACTATGAGACTAAGTATGATGCGGCGAGTGGCGAGGCTTCCCTTTACTTCCTTGGACCTGCAAACGACCCTAAGTCCAAAAGAGGAAACTCCAAGACAGAATATATATTTCCAACGCTTGTAGCAAGCCGAGTGATTGGTTCAATGTAGAGTACGAGTACTGACGGGCTCCCAGGACTGTCTTTGGGCAAGAGTCTGAATGTGCCGGTCTCCGTCTTGTAGAATGCAATAATGCAATGGCCGCTGCAGCTGGATTGATAACAGTCTCGGTGGGGGTAAAGGGGATGTTATCACTCTGACATGACTGGCTCCTGATGGAAGATGTGGAGAATCTGCGTGAAGGAGGAGAACGGATGATGTGCGTGAAAAGGACTCCTATCTCACGCGCTCTCGGCCTCTCGGGTTCTTCTCCAGAGATGAGGACCGGAGCTGCTTACATCATCACTGCTGGTCTAACAGCTCACAATAGGGTACCTACAACATAGCCAGGCAAGGCACACTCGTGTTGAAGGGCAGTGAGCTTTCTTCCCACATTGTACTGTTACGAGTCTACTGTCCTTCGTGTATGGCGATGTTGAATGATTCTCTATGTCTTGTATTCGTGTATCGATCGCATGCTAGCCGACTGATGAAGTTGTGGCTAATGCAAGCAACTTACGGCAAGCCTTCTAAGCTGTAGCTGAAAATGCAACACATGTACGAGAAGAGAACAAGAAAATTCGAACGTCGCAAAGTCCGCAGGTGGTATAAGTACAATCGAAAATGGGATTTCGGTCTGCAGACGCAACCATCAACCCTTGGGTGTCATCGTTAACCCCTCCACTCTGTGTCCTTTGCCCGGGGCCGCACTTAGGGCACCAGATGTAGGCGTAGCGGCAGTCATGCTTAACCCTTCATCTGACGCGCTTTTGCTGGGGGTAGAAGGGTTCGATGCAGCAGGTCCTCGCGCATTCGTAGTCATTGACAACCCTTCCGCTGCTTGCGCTTTGTTGGGTGCCGCGCTCGCCACAGCAGATATAGGCGTGGTCGACCTTGTTGGCGCTTGGCTCCTATTGTGTGCCATGTGTGCTCTGACGAGATGACCTGCCGCCAGAGCACTGCAGAGACTAAGTTCTCCGGCAAGGACACTGGCGGCTACGATTCTCGCTAGCCGCCGCGCGTTTTCTCCAGGGTGGGTTGGATGAGCCCCTCTGACGCCGAGTAGGTCGAGGCAAGCGCTCTGGGGCTCGAGGACCGTACCGCCGCCGATGGTTCCGACTTCAATCGAGGGCATTGAGACGGATATCTGAAGGTTGCCGTTATAGCTGTTGACTGTTAGCGACAAGTCTTAACATCGGTCAACAGTGACCACTTACTTTCGCATAACCGTGATACAATTACTGCTCTCCACGTTCTGTGCAGGATCTTGACCAGTGGCCAAGAAAATCGCAGTGACAATATTTGCTGCATGTGCATTGAAACCCCCAATACTACCAGCCATGGCACTTCCAATCAGATTCTTGCTCGTATTCAATTCAACAAGGGCATTGACGTCGCTCTTCAAGACGCTTCGAACGACATCTCCAGGGATAATAGCCTCCGCAACGACGCTCTTGCCTCTACCGTCAATCCAGTTGATGGCAGCTGGCTTTTTGTCCGTGCAATAGTTCCCTGATACGGAGATGATGGACATATCATCGAATCCGCTCTCTTCCCTCATGACGGCTAGGGCGCATTCGACTCCTTTGGAGATCATATTCATTCCCATCGCATCACCCGTGGTCGTCTTGAATCTAATGTAAAGGTAGGTACCGGCTAGGGCTGTCTTCATCGACTGCAAACGAGCAAAACGGCTGGTCGAGTTGAAGGCTCTCTTCATCGTTCTCTGACCGTCTTCGGAATCCAGCCAAAGCTTGGCAGCACCCGCTCTGCTCAATGTCTCGAAGCCAACGCAAGGGCCTCTCGTCATGCCATCGCCAGTGAGAACAGTGATCGCCCCCCCAGCAGCATTAATAGCTTTGCAACCTCGATTTGTACTAGCAACGAGGACCCCTTCGGTGGTTGCCATCGGCAGATAGTAAGACTTTCCGTCAATGACCATTGGCCCAGCAACACCAACCGGTACCGGCATGTATCCGATGACGTTCTCACAGCACGCGCCATGAACATTCTCATAATTGTACTCTTGATACGGTAGTTTCGATTTTTCCAATTGGCCGGAGTTCTCTGCTGTCGCAGGGGTTCTTGATACCAATGTTCGCCGGATCTTGACAGCTCGCGTTAAAGAAGCAAGCCTTGTCATAACATCGAGATTCTCCAATGTCTTCTCAAGTGCGTACCCTGGAATCTTGCCTCGCACAGTCAAATCATTCAGTTCATGATCGTTGAGATAAGCCGCTTGACGGTCTTTCACCATCTGCTCACACTCTACGGGGTCCCTAGATTCTGAGGCTTGAGTAGCTTCAATGTCGATGAATCCATTCGGCTTGGGAACATGGCCGTCGGCGTTCGGCAAACTTCTATCGATTGCTGGTAGCCTTTCATGCCCCGGCAGAACTTTGTGCTTAGATGTTTCTAAGGCATGATCGTCACGGACAACTTCCTTGGTAGCCCGAGGTTCTTTAATGCTCCAACGGGCGGCGTTGAACAGGTAGCCATTGAGTACAAGGCTCACAGTCAATGTAACGATGATCCACTTGCTCACGACTGGGTCTTCCAGGCTATTAAGCACCCCTCCGACCACCCTTCCTCCAACGACGTAGTCCAGAAAGTGGTCCGTGTAGTCCCCGTCAGACATTGAGCCACTGATATTCTCAACGTCCGTATCCAATTGAGATGATTGAATGTCATACTTGATTGGCGGTAGGACGGTGACAGTGATAGAGTAGTTGTTGTCCACAGCCTCATTATAGAGGAGATCGAGCCCATTTTGTGCTACCTTGAAAGGATCCATGGAAGGTGATGTAAGCACATTAGATAGTCCGGAGACAGATGTAGGCGCTGCTTTCCTGCTGCGTGCTCGAAAAGGCATGGTGCCCAGATTCAAGGCATTGATGAAGAGGAATCCGCCGACCATTATAACCTTGAACTTTGGGATACTGCTGTCGCGCGCCTTCTTACCGTTACCGAACACGTCGCTGACACCATTGCCGTTGGATCCCACACTTTGTATCCTATTACTTGCTAATTCGTCGTTTGAGGCGACGTTCTCAGCTACGCGTTTGCTGATTCCGTCTTCTTGCAAAGCTCTGCTTAGAGCCACATGGCGTTTGATGCGGTTAATCTCCAACTTCACGCTGAGTATAGCGGTATAAAACGTAAAAAGTAGTAGACAGTCAAATACCAATATCCAAGCAGCAAGAAAGCAGAATTGTGTCAAACCACCCTGCACTCCCGACGCAGAACCAGCAATGAGAATGGCGAGTTCTACGCAGTAGTCTCGAATTATTGCGAAGCCTTTCTCCTGTACCGCTACCTGAAGCGACGATTGAATAGTCTGCGAAGAGCTGGCGGTTGTAGAGAAATCCGAGTCTTGTCGTACGCCTTGCCCTCGCGAGTTTACTGAAGCTGAAAGAACGGCTTTTGTGAGTATGATAGGCTTCTCAAAGCCGATAGTGACGACAAGGAACGGCAAGCCTTCCGACAGCAATACAAAGTTGATAGGGACCCCGAGCTGGTTGGTCATGCCGAGGCCGAAAAGGAATGCAAATACAGAAGAGATCAATACCGAAGTTGCAAGCCAAAAGTTCGAGCCCATATGTCGCATCGACATGAAAAGTGAAACAAACGTCAAATGCATAGCTAGGTACCCGATGACCATAATAATGATGTCTAACGACTCCGCGTTCTACGTTTTTTTTAGCATGAAGAACCACTGTTGGTGATACTAAACATACCTTTATGAGGTCTACAAAACTCGTCCATGTATTGGCAGCTGAAACACCTATCGTAGCCTGGGCAGATTGACGACCCAATTTTGCGGCTTTAACAACCCATGCGTTCGGCTTCGGTGTAGGACCGCCGTCATAAGCCCCCTCTTCTCCTTGCAACTCTGGTCTATGTGGTATCTCTTGAACAGTGGCCAAAAAGTCTGATGCTTCATTGGCGGGAACCGCGAAAGCTAGAGTCGTGTCTTGCGAAATTGGAGATAGCGGGTTCCACGTCGTTGGCAGAGTGCTCACTGAGCTGTTGGCAGGTATGGAAACCTGGTCTGCCATTGGTGCAGTTCTAGGGAAAGAATTCGATAAAGAATCGGGAAACACCAAGGTCATGACCATCGTGTGATGGGCTCCCTAAGCTTGATGAGCGAAGTCCAGTCAACAGTGTTACAGGCTCACCGTACCTCAACTGGGTCCCTGGAGGCTCCATTTTCGGACTGCCATTTCCATGATGTTTCTTCCCCGAGCCGTAATCGTCGACCGCCCTCGACGAGCGACGTAAGATCCGTGCCAGCTATATCTTTACCCACTTTTGCATGGCCGAAGAGGCTGCCTTCCAGGAGACCGTGATATGATGTGCTTGCCAATATCGCCACGGTGAATATGGTGTACATAGGATGCGTGAAGGCGGCACGAGCGACGCTCTGGAGTACTTGGGTGATTTGCCGATTCAGGTAGCCTGGATTCGACGGCGCTGGTTGATCGTGCTCATGGCGTAAACGAGCGGGAAGAAATGAGGCTCCTAACATTTTGAACGCTGGACAGGTCGAGAAGGTTATAAGGAGAGGGATCAGAGAGGAGCACTAGTATGTCGACATTGATGGAGAGATGCACTATGGACGTCTGGAAATCGTGAGCTTCTGGACTAGACACGGCGAATTCATGAAGTGCAGGGAAGACTGCCTCCGATTTCTGCAGCACACCCACCTTATCCGCCTTATCCACATACTCTGCACTCAGAGCCGACCTGGTTCTGATTTGCTCTGCCAAAATTGAAGAGAGCCGGTGTGTTGATGTTGTAGGCCAAAGAATGGCACCACTATCTGGCAGCTTTTGCAGCAAGTCTTCCGAGGCCTGCTGAATATGAGTAAGGAATGTATGCTCAGAGGAGCAGCGACAAACAGATGAGTGAGTGGGGCTTTGGGGGTCGTTGTTGTCTCTGAGTAAACGGTACTGGGTTACATTGAAGAATTCCAAAACGCTTTTTTTTGTTCCGAGGGTTCCCTGGGGCAAATGCTTAGGCGCAAATTGAACCTTGGAAATACAAAAGCGACCAAAGCCAATCATAGACAAGAGACTCCGCCACTCTTTGCTTAGCGTTCTTCGTTCTAAGGGGCCATTCCGGCCCGAGTGCACGTTTGGCCACTACCGAGTCCCGACACCTTGGTTGCCTGATAATCAAGTACCTTTACTCTAAGGTACTTCAGCAATTGGACCGCTTTCTCTATACTGGCTACAAGTCAGGAAAGACGATAATTTATGCCCTTGGTGCTCCGTATACAGGTAGTACAAAGCTTTCAATTGCTGGAACGGGTAGCCTTTTGTACGGCTTTGAAGGAAAGTCAGCCCGGAGAAAACCTCGTCGCTGCTTCAGGGCTATCGCTCTGACATAAGCTGATACCTAGTGAAACCCTTGAGAAGTGTCGTGTCTCTGAATTCCCAGGAAGATGCTCGAGTACACATGGACCAATGGCAACGCCAGACAACATGAGTCCAATTGACTGCTCGCGAAGCCCGCAATTACCCGTCTGTGTTTGATGATGAGGCCAGGACGTAGTCTGTTCATCTGATCTACTGCCGTGAAAGGAGAGGCCTGTAAGAGGCGTCCCACTGCTGTTTAGAGATGCTAATTTACTCATTCCGGGTATCGGCAATGAGAAAGCATTAATTCATCTTCAAGGTGCCAAACGACCATTTGGAATAGAACTCAGTGGCCATTTGAGAACGCTATTTTCTGACAATTTTCATAATCAATTGCTGGCTCAGAAGGCTAGTGTGTATCATTGAAGTGGGTGAGGTCTTCTACAAGTGGCCAACACTTCGCCCAGTCAAGTCGTCCGCTAGATGGCCTAGAGCTCGATTATCACAAGGAAATAGTAGGCCTTTGTAAACGAAAGGGATGATTGGCTTCATATGCCGATAATGCAAACAGCCACTTTTTGTAACGCCAACAATTTGAACAGCACAAACTTGACGTTCCTAAACAAACCAGATCACAGCAACAGTCAAATCTCCGGACCGCCGTCTACTCCAACTTGGGTCTGCCTCAGTAACAACACAGCTATCAATTCAAGCTCGATGATGGTCAAGGCAGTCAGACAACCGGCAGCCGTACCGAATCTCTGTTTGGTGGATCTAACTGGGGAGCTCGTCAACTTGGTTCATCATCACGCTCTTGCCTCCGGCCATACCACCATCCTCTGTGCGTCTCGCCGTGTTTACAGCGAAGCTCACTAAATTTTCTACCAATCGGCCTTCTTTCGCATCTATTATCAAGGACCCTACGACAAAATTCCATGGCCGGTTACAGCTACTCCCGTTAGCACAAACACCGTGATGCTTGTCCAAAAGATCGACATATGCGTTGATTTCGCCATGTCCAAAGTTGAATTGAACGACGTGTCAACTGGATTGCTGGCTTTATCAAGTGATACCAACGCCGCTCTACGGCATACCTGTATCCCCAAACTTAGAGGGTTCCAACCGGCCATCAATCTCGACAAAGTATACATTATACTCCGTACTATGAGCGGCTTGGTTAGTTTTTAGAAAGTGCATGTGACAGCCATGACCGAACATGACTTCGGGTCTACCTTGCCTGGTTACAATATGGATGAGGGGAGGCTTCTATCTGGTGATACGTGCACGCAATATCCCAGTTTTCAGATTAGCCAAGAAGGTACCGGAGGCTACTTCCGGTCCATCAATCTGGCACGACGGTAAGAAAGAGTCAGGCAGATATTTTGACTTCCGTCCTCTGGAGAATCAGAAGAGTCTTTGAGGTCGTGTGTTCCGAGAGGGATGGACTGGACCGGATTGCGAGCACAAGTACTAAGAGATTGATGCGTGACGAGTACTTTGATTTGTACCAAGAGGCTAGAAGTACCGAGATTCTCGAAGCAGCACTGTTGCGCTCTCTGAAGAATTTAGTGTGGCTTGCTCAAAGCGCTGGACGAGGAGAGATTGTTACTGCAGTTGTCACGTGAGAGTCAGACAAATTGGTTGCCTCACGAAGAAGTTGCCAAGCAATGTGTTAAAGGGGTTTGACAGGCTTGTTTCACCATACGACCAAATGTAAAACAATAAAAGCCCCGCTACTCCCTCTAACCTTCAAAACACATCATCAGTGTTCCACTTCTTGACCTCCCAACCATGCATTTCCACCTAGCAAAAAAGATATTCCCTAGCTTCCACAAAAATGGAAAAGACGAGGACGACAACGCATCTACAGTGTCAAAGAGAACCTCGCGCAGCTCAATGACACTTGTGAACCCTGACAGCTTTCCAGTTCGGTCTCCCAGTCCACCTCATGCCGAGGTTCCAAACGACGTCCCCTTTGGACTGTCGCGTGAAGATAAGGCTGTTGTAGCTCGAGCCCCCGGTGCCACCGACAAGACCTATCCAGAAGATGCTGTCGCCGCCTCACACCTCATCAATCGTTCCGAAAAAAAAGAGACCGATCTGGGACCACATGCTGTCCACACCTTTGTGAGAGTATGCCCGCACGAGAACTTATCTTTCGAACGTCTACAAACCATCTTGAAACTTCCGGGTTTCAAGTCCAGCAAGGAAGACATAAACGCCATTGGAGCCATGGATGAAATACAGCAACACAGTAAATCCGGCGCGAGGGTTTGCTTTCCCATCGATGGCTTTCCCCAACGCCCTGCAGGCACCTTCAAACTAAAATACAATTCTAAACATAAACGTGGATGGACGGGCCCTGTCATCGGTTTAGAGTTGCACGCTACCTGGACGCTCGACTCATACAAACCTAGCACGACTCGGAATGATATCCAAGCTTCTTTACAGAAACTCGAGAACGTCCCGCTCTGCCCTCACAGAACGATGAATGATCCGTGGATTCTCGAAATGATTTACAAGATAGCACATCCACATGAGGAACCATCAGATCCCATTGACGAATGGGGGAAGCCGCCAAGCAGCATATCGGACTTCGCTGAACGCAGTCAAGACTGCGATCGTTGCAAGACCCCTATCACTATCACAGTGTGCAAAGGTGGTCTTGACGGTCCTCAGGTGAAGGTAATTCGTCGCTTGGGGCCCGGGTCCTCGGAGAATGACCCAGATTGGCTCGCTCAGTGTGGCGTGTAGCCAAAGAAAGGTCTGACATGGACCCGCAATGGCTGGCTCGTTAAGACAGGATAGAACGTCTGATTTGATCATGGCAGCACGGAAGGTGGGAGGGCCTGTACCTGAGACTGCTATGGCCAGCAGTGCCGTCCAAATAGAACTACGAAGAAGCTCGCCCCAAATACTGAACATGTGTCATGACGCTCGAGGAATTTGAACTCAGTCTCGAAGCCGCGTAACATTCAAAAGTAGTTTGAACATGGCGTCTATCATGAGGCATTTTCCGCAGTAAGAGGTACAAACGGCACGCTTTAGGAAGCCATGTCGGTGCTAGCGTCAGATTTGTGTACTTGAACATTCAGAATGTAGTACTAACAGCTCAGCAACCCCAACATTATCAGACCCATTACATTACCTTGAACTGGTTTCTTCTCTTACGCAGCTGCTCATACTCGAAGATCACTGCATCTTCTTACACGAGACGAACCCCACTTTTGAACCATGCCTTTCAGCCTCATGGAGATGATCTGCGCAACGTTTCCATAACCGAGCCATAGGCAGAGACAACTCAGCCTCGACGGCATCACGAGCAAACTCCCTAACCCTTACGAGCCCAAGCAGCGAGTCCAAGGTACCCATCCATGCTAGTGAGGAGATTACTCAACCTCTGCCCGCCGGTGCATGCGTACAACCGTGTCCCTACGAGATCATGTCTTTCGAGCGAAGTAGTCGCATCACAAATCTCCCAGCGTTCATGAAAAGTCGCTCAGGCAACAATGCTCTAGGATCGACTACCTGCGCGCCACGCTCGTCCTGGTTACCCTCGCCCCATCGTTCTCGGCTTGAAAGTCGCTGTTAAGTATATTGCAAATGTTACCTCGTCACTAGACCCGATTTGAGGGCTCTCGAGCTGCGTATCTTTCGGAGGGGCTCTGACGTCCTTGAAGACAATAGGAGCAAATGGTATCTCTTCAACCGTTTCGATAAGCTGAAGTTTTGGCCTTGCCGTCATAGGAGCAATAGCGCATCTCACGTAGTGGATGGACTGGGTGCTGTGACGCATTCGGAGTTGGGTTCAACATATCCAATACACGAATGGCTAGTCAAGAATCCCCTCGTGCCAAACGAGAGGTGCTCACATTGCGATACGATGTCTGAGGTGGTAGACCAGGGTGAGCGTTGGCCTATTGTGATTGTCACAGGGTCCGTGGGCAAAGCCGAAAATGCGGAGGATCCTGAGCGGCTTGCTCCATTCATTGTACCGGCGACCCACTCTTGATACGGTATGGTAGCTCAAACGCATCATGAAGGGATGTTCCCACAACCTTGTGCCTTTCGAGCAAGGTTAGTGGTGCAAGACGAAAGATTGCCCCAATGCCAAGGCATGTTGAGAGAATAAGAGGCGATAAAACTTACTCACCACGCTATGAAAGCTGGTGACTCCCTTTGCTCCTTAATTCCAAATTATCCCCCATCATCTTTACGTTGTGTCACAGCTATCATGGTGCTCAAGAGACTTTTTGCGCTCTTCTTCCGGCCCGATGAAACCAAGAGCGCATCAACTTCGGGTAAGAGTAATCGAAGCTCATGGACTCTCCTTCCCGAAGGGCAACGAGCGACATCTGAACGTGGTCCGAGTGAGGAAACGGACGAAAGGAGACCCGCAACCACGCCATCAGCGGATAATTATGTACGACTGTGCCCTCACGAAACTCTGTCCTTCAAGCGTGCACAACGGATTCTCTCCTTGTACGGCCAGGGAGACATCCACCCAACCATGGATGCATTCACGTCAGCTCCGCAGCTCCACCATAGCGAGCTATCCGGAGGCGAGTTTGGACGTCGTAAACATCCCCGGCTCTGTAAACAAGACCCCAGCGGCTATGATGTCCTTCAAGCAACCAGCGACTATGGCTTCGAAAAGGGCCTTATATTGAACATCCGTTGGCAATTGAGCTTCAAGGCCCACCCAGAGCTTTTGAAGTCAGTGGAATGTCTCCAGCAATTCTTGGACTCTTGCGACATTTCTCTATGTCCGCATAAAAATTTGAGCGACGAGGAGATAGCCTTCAAAACCTTCTACTCCTTGAAGCCACCGACAGATCCGATCGAGAAATTCGAGATTGCGTCAATGAAAATTAAAGGGTGCGATCAATGCGGCACTGATTTCTGGGTATCGGGAAGGGATGACAAGAAATGTCGAGTAGAGACGTTCAGATATCTGGGTACAATTGAAACTGTGGATGACAAGCAGTGGCTCGCTCAATGTAGCGACTAGGAAACCTGTTTGACTGCGCTGTGAGAGAAAGACGTGGAACTCGACGCAAAAGGTTCGACACGAAGCCTATCACTAAATATTGTATATATATAGAAGAGCGGAAAATGACACTTTAGCACAGACTCTGCCTATGACTCTGTGCAGGAGGAGTCGGTGGTTCATGCTGGGGAGTCATACTTGCCAAGAACATTCGAGAGAAGCAAAATAATGGATTAAAATAAGTGCAGTTTCAAGGATGGAGAAGAAGGGGCTTTCCCTTACGCTTCATTTCAACCTCCGAACAAAATTCCCTGACGAGAGAGCCTGGTGCACCTTCGGTCACAAAATGGCCCCAACACTGCACAGAAAATTGTTTGACAAAACTCCACAGCGCACAGACGATGAGAGGCTTCCCCCTCCAACCCGGAGCTCCAAAAGTTCAGAGACACTTGTGACTGAGGGTTCTGATACTGATATCTATAAGAAACCCTCGAGTGCCGAAGAAAAGGGCCGCAACAAACTCGATATCAAGACCAGCTGCGTCCAGATTTGCCCTCATGAAACACTAACATTCGAACGCATGAAGCGGATTGTCCACCTGCCATACTTCAGGTACAGCGGAGACAAGGTTGATGGATTTACTAACGGCTTTGGTCCCTACCATGTGTCGTCAGTGGTGGGAAATCACCTGTGCAAGCCACATCCAAATCGCTTTAGCTCTCTCAAAGCGAACAGCTTTTACAAATACCAGCGGGGCTATGAAGGAAGTTACGACGGTCTCTTGTTATGCGTCCACTGGACGATGAGTTTCGACGACCACATGGATGTTGCGAGTTCCGTTTCCGACTTTCAAAGGTTCTTAGACATATTGGACATACGCCTCTGCCAGCACACGAAGATGAGTGATTCTAGGATCGCCGCAAAACTTTATAAACTTTGCGATTCAAGTCGTATGGCCCGGGACCCTGTGGAGGCCTATGAGGAAGGGTATCGTGGCTGCATAACCGAGAGATGTAAAGAATGTCACACGACATTCGAAACCTATAAGGAGGGGGAGGCATGTCACATCCTGGTGAAGAGATACTTAGGCAAGGGTAGTTCCGCATACGAGAAGCGGTGGTTGGCTCAATGTGGTGAAAAAAGGCACAGACTGTGGAGTTTTGCGGCTGCATTGCGAAGCTGGAGGACCTGAGATGGTAGCGGATGTAATGAAACTACGCGGTGTAGATAGGAATCCGATACCTGGTAGATAGACTCAATGTATCTTATCATTCCAGAGTGTGGAAGATGGAGAAATCGCCTGGTGCTCATGTCACTTCTCTATCTGTAAGGCTGAGCAAGCCGCCAAGACGCTAAGCGAGACCACGCACCAAACCCTTCCGTCGACAAATGTACGCCTCGATCAAAGCACTCGCAACCACAAAACTTCTCTCTCCGCAACCCCCAAATCTACGGCAACCATGGAGAACGACAAAGGCGAGCTCGTCGACCTGTACGTCCACCCTCTCTTTCCTCCTCACCCATTCCCCAATCTCCACCCCATTCCCCGCCCCATCCCTCAGGACCACACCAGCTAACAGAACCCCCCCCTTTCACAAACCAGTTACGTCCCCCGCAAATGCTCCGCGACCAACCGCATCATCAAAGCCAAAGACCACGCGTCCGTGCAAATCTCCGTCGGCAAGGTCGACGAGAACGGGCGCTACACGGGGGAAAACCAAGTCTACGCGCTGTGTGGGTTCGTAAGGGCCATGGGCGAGGGCGATGACAGTTTGAACCGGCTGGCGCAGAGGGACGGGCTGGTGAAGAACGTGTGGACTGGAAGTTCGCAGCGGTAGAGGCGTGTGTGACGGAATGGGAGGGGCGGGGAGGTGAGTGTGAGGATTCATGGGTTGGAGGGGGGAATTGGCTGACGGTTTGATAGGTTAGTGTTGTGGAATGACTGACTGAACGAATGGATGGTTCGATGGGGATGTGTGATGGTTCATCGTGCCATGAGGAGGGTCAGATAAACCAGGCAAGCAACAACAAGCTTCGAACGCCCAAAACCGTCCATCGAAAAGTTCCGCATCAATGAACGTGTCATTAGCGGACTCCTCCATTCCATTCAAAATTCATGCCCTGCCTTCCAATGCAATTCCCTGTCTCTGCTTCAAATCATTTTCTCCGCACCCTAATCGGCCATCCATCGCAGGCAGCACGAACCCACCTCGTGGGATCGTCTCCTCTTCTCTCCTTTCTCATTTTCCCCATGAGTCAAGAGAAAGATTTTACAGGCCGTAGATGACATTTGCAATGCAAGCTCGCCTATGAAGAGATAGGGTCTTTAAGCTCACAAGTCCTATCACAGATACGGGCGGGACAATCATATTAATGCTCGAGGATATGGATGTTTTGAACGAGAAATTTCTAGGCTGGTAGAGAGAACAATATTTGTACACTGGTATCAAGTCTCATAATTGGACAGTGGTATAGCAAATAGCATCCATGATTTGGGCAGCATTTGGCTCCCAATCTGTCAAGCCGTGTCTCTCCCCAATCCTTCCTTATACCTCTTCAGACACCTCTCCCTACTCTCCTTATGATCGACGCACATCTTAGGATACCCTGCTTTCTCTGCTGCCTTCGTTGCCTTTCTGCCATAAGGGTCATGTATCGCCTTCCCTTCTATCCCTTCCAACTCCTTGACCCATTTTCTGATGTATTCCCCGTCAGCATCAAATCTTTCACTCTGCAACAGGGGATTGAAGATCCTGAAATACGGTTGCGGATCTACCCCGGTTGAGGCACTGAAGCCCCATCCGCCGTTATTTGAAGCGAAGTCACCGTCGATGAGATGTTCCATGAAATATCGCTCGCCCATGCGCCAGTCAATGAGCAGGTCCTTTGCAAGGAACGAGGCAACGGCCATACGGGCACGATTGTGCATGTAGCCAGTATGGTTCAATTGGCGCATGGCAGCGTCGATAAAAGGATAGCCTGTCATTCCGGTGCACCACTTCTGGAAGAGCTCGTTGTTGTACTCCCATTGGATGTTGGTATACTCGGGCTTGAAGGGCTTGTTCATGCACACGTATGGCCAGTGGGCAAGGACATGCTTATAAAAATCTCTCCAAGCCACCTCTGAAATCCACCCAACAATACCCTTTTCACCTCCGTCAAGCTTCTTGGTGCTATTGGCATCCCTCGCAGCGGCTACCGCAGTCCTTGCACTGAGCGTCCCAGAAGAGAGGTGAACACTGACTATTGCTGTACTGTTACCTGCAGGAATGTTCCTCGCGTCTGCGTAATGGTGAACTTTCTCCGAGAGAAACTTACCCAACCGCTCTCGTGCCTCATGCTCGCCAGGCGGCCACATGCTTCGAAAACGTTTCTTCTCTTCATCAGTGAGATTTTTATTCTCTGGCGCCTCCGGTATCTCGCACTCGAACAAATCCTTGAAATTTCTTCGAGCATCCTCGGGGTTCTTGTTCGGAGGATCGAAAAGGTCGAGCTGATGAGGATGCGTGTGCAGATATGCAAGCCAGGCGCGGAACCATGGAGAGTACACCGAATACTGGTTTCCGGTACCGCTCGAGAGCTCACCAGGAGCAACCACGCATGTGTCCGGGACTGCATGTACTGCAACGCCGTTACTCACCCCAGTTCTGGTCATCAATGCTTCCCGTCGCAGTTCGTCGACTTCATACTCGATATTCGTGTAGAGATGGCTCGCGCCCCATTTTTCACATAATTCGAAGATGCGATTTGGTATCGCTTTGCGCTTTGCCACTGTCTCGACATACAGCGGTATATCTAATTGCGCTAGATCCTCCTTGAGAACCTCTAGTGTCCTGAGGACGAAGTCCACACGCACAGCGCTGGTCACATGCGCCTTGTAGTCTTGCGGTGATACAATATGTATGCATATCAACGGCACGCTCCTGCTCTTCGCCTTTGCCGACGCCAAATGCAAGGCCTTGTTGTCTGTGATCCGTAAATCGCACTTGAACCAATGCACTACAGCGTCTTTGACTCGGGTCTTGTCCCGCTCGGACTGGGTTTCTCTCTGGGCCTCTTCGAAGGTCTCGATTGGACGTTCAATTGCACTCGTGTTGTACTGCTTGCATCGCTCGTTTTCCATTTCCGGAGGATAGAATTGGCGGTCAACAATGTCGTATTCCTCTTGTGGCGAGTCGTTGTAGCCCGGAATATCACTCTTCGCCTTCTTGCTGGGACTGTCCCCAACGCCATGTGCTTTTCGCTTGGCGCAATTTGCGGCAACTTGAGAGGGGACCATCCTGTATATGGCTGAAGTTTTGTAGGATCGTTGTTGAGATATTGGAAGTGATTGGCGTGAGGGTTTGAAAGGTAGGACTACGGCTTTGATGCACAATTGGAATGGCGCAGTCGCTGAAAGATGGCGTAGAGTCATACAGATTTCAAGTAAAACAAGCACAGATCTATGAAGACGACGGTACTGAAAAAGCGACGAATCAAAATCTTTCTTTTTGACGAGCACCATGCATTAAAGCATCGGCGGCTATCATGACGTTCTGCCTTTGCTAGCGCCAATCCTCGAAGATGCGCGAGATCTTAGCGGCGTTTACCCCTGAAGGCGGCGCTTTTGACCCCCCATTCCTGGGTTTTCACGTGTTACTATAGTACTTGAAGCTTCACTTCGTCTTTGAACTTGAATTTGTCTGACTTCATTCATTATTTATTGCATGCACTCGACTAGATTCCCAAACTGCCTAGCCCCTAATTCACAATCATTCCGTCCCGAACAACATCTAGCTGACTCCAACCCACATTGAACATTAAGTGGGGCGACCGCACATGACCTGAACGCCTCATCGCCTGAGCCGCGAGACCCAGCGCCATCAACCATCCATGAGATCAGGGTGTAGAGGGTGGACTCGCGGGTAGTCGGAGCTCCTGGGGGGCTTGGATTGCGAATTCGGGGCCTGCCAAGGGTGCAACAGGGTATGACCCTGGACTGAATTGCCATTGTTTAGTTGTCTTTCCTACATGAAGAGAACCGAACAACGTACGCAGAAGGTGCGGCGGTGGCCCATAAACGTTGAGCGGAGTATGTTGCTCGTGCTTTGGCTACGACATTGTTTTCGAGGCTGTCGCGAACTTCTGTTGTCAATGCTTTTCTCGGAGTCAGTATTGCCGATTCGAGGCGTTGCGTGGAGCCTTGGAACTTGTCTACAGAGTAGAGACTCCCAAGACATGTTTCAAGACTCAACATTTGGTGCAAAGGAGGAAAGATGGACTCCGAAGATACATACCATCATTGGGCCGTTTGAACTTCTCCACAAGCTCTATGACGTCCAAATCCCGCTTGCCGCACCATTCGGCAATCGGTCTCTGGATCGACTCAGCACGCATCTGATATACTTCTGTACGCTGGACAAGAGTATAGATAGCTTGCAGCTCTGAACGGCTCAAGGTTATCTTCTTCTCTGGTGTTCCGTAGTTATCCATGCTTTCGAGTGTGATTTAGGATGACTGGAGCGAAGTCTGATCTGAACCTCGTAAGGAAACGTCAGCACGTTATCTCCCTCTCTCAAGAGAGCTCCTAATACTTACTTCCGGTGATTGAGGGTTTGCTGCTGGTGAGTCTGCTGGATGAGTGAAAGATGTTGAGGAGCCTGAAGAGAAAGATTGAAACCTAGGGGACGCAAATGTTCTTCTATAGGTGAGTGAGCGTCGCCTCAGCTGTCTCTGCATAGCTGAAAGAAGGCGTGCAATCTCGCGGAATAGAGGTCGCCTCGCTCTCGAGACGTTTGGGAATCAGCTGGACCTGCCAAAACATCCATTTGCCTCAACCACCTCCGCATCACTGGAAGAAGGCTTGCAAATTCGCCGCACAGAGCTCGCCTCAATTTCGAGACTCGTGGGCCTTTGTTGGACATGCCGAGATGCTCTTCTTCTTGTCGTGAAGGACCTGGGCAATATTGAGGCAGACCAGAAAAATCTATGCCGTGGCTCAGCCATTTCGTTTGCGATATCGTTTCAAAATCGAAGCTCTTGACGCACAAATGGATCTCTTGAAGCATTCATGTTTCAGCCTTAGACGAGTGCTGACCGACGGTTGCGGCCAACATTATTGGCTCAGCCACTTACTCTACGACGTCACTCTGATACCAATTAGGTTAGAGGCTCTGTAGGAGGCCCAATTAGGTGCGTAACTCACTGACTGTATTGAGCGATGTCTCGGACACAGGCTTCGGGTGCGAGGAAGGATATCAATCACGAAATAGGTTAAGATATCCCTTAAAGAAGTCCCCGGACGTAGATACACAATCCAATCTTGTTGACTCTCACATTCATTATCTGCTGAATCTTGGATAATTAACCTTTTACGAAGGTTGGTCAGAAATTCCTAAACCCTCTTTGTCTCTGCCAACACAAGTCCTTGGTATGTAAGTTCTAAAGCACCCCGGATTGACGGACTGTATTGGGGCATGTCGCAGGACTTGGGTAACGACTGGGTTAAGGGTCTATTGCACTTCGAGCTGGTGACTTACTCACTACATCAATTGATGTTCTCGAGTACATAGCTAAGGGTAGATTCTTCCCCTTAAAATATATATATTAACTCTTAAGAAGTTTTATCATATATTAAGAGACGTAATACACGTATATCTTCTTTTAATATATATATACCCTCTTTAAATATATATATACCCTCTTTAAATATATATATATCCTCTTTAAATTCGATTAGTTTCCGCGTAATCGCTAGCTATATAGAGTATAAAATCTATATATAGTCGAAGTACGAGTAACGAAATAAATAGAGAGATAGTCGATAGCGAGATAAATATAATACGTTAGTCTATAGTAAGAAAATAAGATTATATTTATAATCTTTTAACTATAGAAAGATTAGATATTAATAAATAATAAACGTATTTCTAATAGTAATAAGAGAGAGTAATTAGCTAATTAGCTATGATCATAAAAGAATAATTTAAAAATCTTATTATTTAACGATTTAAAATCGTTTAATCTTTTAAACTTTATTAGAATAAATCTAAGAAAACTTATTTACTATTATTAAGAGTCTCGATAATATTTTCTAAAAAGCTATATATAAGATTTATATCTTATATAACTAGCGATTACGCGAAAGCTAATCGAATTTAAAAAGAGTATATATATATTTAAAGAGAGTATATATATATTAAAAGAAGATATACGTATATTAAAAGAAAGTATACGTATATTATATTTTTATATTAATTTCTATTATAATAGTCTACGTTATATCTAAGTATAAATTTAAAAAGAATATATATAAAGTAAGATATTTATTATAGTCTCTAAGCTCTTTATATTCTCTATATTCTCTATACTCTCTATACTCTCTATACTCTTTATATACTTTATACTTTTTCTACTCTTTATATTTTATTCTATATATTCTATTACGAGCGTATTCTTAATATATTACTACTTAGCTCTATAGTCTAATATCTTAGCGAAGATATCTTCTATTATATTATATCTTCTTTTTATCTATATAATTCGATAGTCTTATTACGAGCGTATTCTTAATATATTATTTAATACTTAGCTCTATAGTCTAATATCTTAATAAAGATATCTTCTATTATATTATATCTTCTTTTTATCTATATAATTCGATAGTCGTATTATTCTTAAACTATCTTATTTATATTAATATCGTATCTATACTAGTTCTAATATTATAATAAGACTTCTTTATATACTCGACGAAGAGAAATATAATTAAAATCTTACTCTATTCGAATTAGCGAACGAATTTAAAGAAATGCGTTAATAGAGGCTTTAATAAGAAATTAAATTAAGCTATTATATTTTTAAATAAGTCTATTAAACGAGTAACTCGATTTTATAGCGAATTAAACTCGATAAATAATAATTAAGAAATAAATAAGATATTAGATTATTTATACGACTAGCGAATCGAAAGAAATCGCTAATATTATCTTTTAAATATCTCTATATTTATTAATAAACGTATAATCTCTTTATTAAATATATTAATAATATATATAATAAGTTTATTATAATAGCGACGAAAATAGTCTTAAAACGACTCGATTTAATCTCTTTATTAAGTATATCGATAATATATATAATAAGTCTATTATAAGAGTATATACGATATTTATATAGTAAGTTTACTATTAAATAATATTTAATATATTCGATTCTTTTTCTATCTTCTTATTATATCTACGAATTAATAGAGTTAAAATAAAGAATAAAATATAGAATAAACTTAATAATAAGAGTATAAGAGATATAGAATAAATCTATAGTAAATCTTCTAGACTAGGCTATTAAAAGATATTCGAGATAAATATATACGTTAAATTTTCTTTAATTCTATCGAAGAACTATAGTAAGAAGAAGAACTTAAAGAATCTTATTAGTACGTAGATAAGATATAGTTAATATCTCTAGAATCTCTATAGAATAATATAGATATAGTAGATATAGATAGCATAGTTAAGATTAATATACGATTCGATATTTTCGACTACTATTACTATACCTCGATAAATCGTCTTCGATCGAGGTTTATATAGACTATAGATATTTAAAGATATAAAGTAAGTAATAAGCGTATATCTTCGATCTATTAATTATAAGAGCTATAACTATTTAAGAGAGAAGAATAGTATTATAAGCGTACTCTTAATATATTACTTAGTACTTAGCTCTATAGTTTAATATCTTAACGAAGATATCTTCTATTATATTATATCTTCTTCTCACATATATAGTTCGATAGTCTTATTATTCTTAATCTATCTTACTTATATTAATATCGTATTTATACTAGTTCTAATAAGTCTTATTATTCTTAATCTATCTTACTTATATTAATATCGTATTTATATTAATTCTAATATTATAATAAAGCTTCTTTATATATCTCTTAACGAAGAGAATTAATAGATATTTTACTTTCTATTTAAAGTAAGCGATCGAGTCTAATAAAGAAAACGCTAGATAGTTCTATTATATAGAAGCTCTATTATATATTTAAATTATTAGATATCTATATTATTCGAAAGAATCTATATTAAATAATCTATATTATTAACGATAGTTTAATTTATTAAAAAACGAGTCTTCTATATCGAATATAAGAAATTCTTTTTCGCTTTACTTCGTTATTATTTGTATATCTAATATATAAGATAGAACTAACTAGAAACCTTGATTTGTATGTGCAGTCATTATTATTTAGGGTTCTACGTTTTGTTGCCCGCTGAGTCATCGCGGGTAAATATTGCGTCCGACCATAAATCTCGCCCTTCCGCGCCTCCCATTATTATAGGTGTACGTTATTCATAGTATACTTTTTGATTTCTATTAAATTTTGAATTTTTTTTAATTTTGAACGTTTTGGGCTTCCGAATTTTAAGAATTTTAAATTTGTCTTATAATCTTAAGCGCAAGGAATTCAATATCGCTCCCAAGTTCGCTCCCAAATCGCTCACTTTTACTCGATGCCCCGGCTTATTAAAAATCTTGAATTTAATTCATAGGCCTTTACTCGTCTATATTTAATATATTATAAATTCTAACTTAAATTTACTTATATTAATATTAAGATATCTCTCTTTATATCATTAATTATCTATATATTATAACTAGCTCTATCTTATATACGACGATTTATATAATAAATAAATATCTTTATATAATATAATAAGTCTATTATAATAGCGACGAAAATAGTTTTAAAATAATATATCGATTTCTTTATTAAGTATATTAGTATATATAAAAGAATAAGATAGAGCTAAGCTTAAAAATCTTAAATTTATATATATAGTTAATTATTAATTTATTAGATCTACGCTTTTTAATTAGATATCGCGGGTAAATAAATTAACGTTCGTAACTATTAAAAATCTCTCTCTCTACTTTTAATCTTTTAATAACTTTACTATTTTCTATTAAAATTTTAAGATTTTTTTTTAAATTATAGTTCGAAATATACGCTTTTTAATAATAAAAAAATTTCGAAATTCGATCTTATAATTATTAAAGCGTAAGGAATTTAAATATCGCTTACTAAAGTCGCTTATCAAAGTTCGCTCGATAGCTCTAATTAAAAAATAGATATAAATTATTTAATTTTAGAATAACTTTTTTATTTTTTATTAAAATTTTAAAATCTTTTATTTAAATTATAGAACGTAATATAGGCTTTTAGATAAAAAAAGAATTTCTAAATTTAGTCTTATAGATATTTAAAAGCGAGGAATTCAGATATCGCTTATTAAAGATCGCTTACTAAAATTTACTCGATAGCCTCGATTAAAAAAAATGATTATAAATTTAATTTATAGGCCTTTACTCGTTAATAATAATATAATAAATCTACTATAAGAGTAGTAAACGTATAATCTCTTTACTAAGTATATCGATAATATATATAATAATTCTACTATAAGAATAGTAAATATACG